TAGGTGGTTCCATCTGAGGAATTCCATCATCTGAGAAGCTCCGAGGGAAAGGGGCTTCTGGGCCAAGGCGGTGGCCGGGGGACACGTGGAAAAAAGCTCTGCGTGCTGGGCCTGTGTCTGGGACAGGCTAGTGCAGGGAGGCGGGTGGAGGTAGGATCGTGCAAGGCCCTGAAGGCAGTGCGGGCCATGACGGCTGGCAGTCCACTCTTCCTGCCCTATGTGGCCCATGGCTTCCCTGCTGGACGTGGGCTCTGGCCACCAGTGGGGTCCAGGAAGGTCAGGAAGCACGAGGAGGCAGGACTCGCTCTTCCAGCACGGCTCCCTTAGCAGTGACATTTGGCTGTTGGCAACTGCGTTTGGTTTAGTCTCCAGGTTCTTTCCACCCCCCAGAAACAGCCTTGGTGGCCTCCCTGAGTGCCAGCAGCAAAAACAGAAATAAAAAATAAACAGCTGCCTCTCAGAGTTCTGAATCCCAGCCTCCCAAGGCTGGGGACGGGCCTGTTCTCCAGGCCCCGCTCTGGGCCCTGGCAGCTCTGCCGACCCCTAGGTGCATTCTCACCGCAGGTGCACGCATGTGGCCCTGCCCCATCCCAGCCCATTCTCTCTGGCTCTTTTTGGTCCTCTACTATCTCTTTAAACAATATCCTATGTTATTTGTAAGCTTATTTTAGGGACTGCTATCTGCACAGCTAAGAACAATGGTTCAAGGCCTAGCTGCTTCACTACCTATGCAGCCCCCTGCTTAGGTGCGTGGAAAAGCAATGGAGGGTGACCCAAGTGCTCAGGCCCCTGCTACCCACACGGGGAACCCAGCTGATACCCCTGACTCCTGGCTTCAGTCTGGTCTGGGCCTGGCATTGTAGTCATTTGGGGAGCAAACCAGGGGATGGGACGCCCCATTCTCCTCCTGCCCTGGCTGTTCCGAGCATCTGAGCAGAGCACGAGGGAACGGACCATCTCCCTCTTTCTGACTCTCATTCTGCCTTTCTGAAAAACAAAAATAAGACTGAATGAACTGAAAGACCATTGTATTTATATATAACCTATGTATTTAACATTTTCCTGTATATTTGAAATCAGTTCTAGATCACATGTTTAACACAGTGTAAATGTTTACATAAATGGTTGCCATACTATGTTGTTTAGGTAATAATGAGTAGTAGGACAAGTTCAGAACACAGGCAGTTTTTCCTCAAGTGTTTTCAAGCCAGGGTTTGAGGAGGCTGCAGCCCATGTTCACTGAGGGCTGACTGCATGAGCAAGTTCCACAGCTGCTTGCCACTGTGATCCATAACCCAGTTCAAGTACATATGTGTGCAGTTCTGTATTATGTATGTATGTGTACATTTATTTATATTCATAATGCATATCTGCATACATAATAACATGCCTTATATTTGCATAGCTACATTAATATGCAGAATATGGGGCCCAGCACGATAGTGTAGTAAAGTACTTGCCTTGAATGCACCGGGATCCCAAATGGGCACCAGTTCTAATCCCAGAAGCCCCACTTCTCATCCAGCTCCCTGCCTGTGGCCTGGGAAAGCAGTCGAGGACGGCCCAGAGCCTTGGGACCCTGCACCAGTGTGGGAGACCTTGGAAGAATCTCCTGGCTCCTGGCTCTGGATCAGCTCAGCTTTGGCTCTTGGGGCCACTTGGGGAGTGAACCAGTGGATGGAAGATTTTTCTGTCTCCTTCTCTCTGTAAATCTGTCTTTCCAATAAAAAGAAATAAATCATAAAAAACATGCAAAATATATTCTGTACGTACAACATGCTTGGAACCAAAGCAGGTGTAGCTTCTACTTCCTGGGCTGCTTGTGGAGATTTCCTTTTTTCTTTAAAGTCTTATTTGGAAGGCAGAGCTACAGAGGAGGGGAGACCCCGAGAGCGCTCTTCCATCCACTGACTGAGTTGCCAATGACTGCACAGCACAGCGGGGCCTGGCTAAGGGAGCTTGGCCCGAATCTCCACGTGGGTGGAGGGGCCCAAGGACTTGGACCATCTCTGTTGCCTTCTCAGGGCACTGGATAGCAGGTGGGGCAGGCGGGCCTGGCGCCCATATGAGACGTGTCAGCCTTGTGTGGCCCCTTTTCATGAAAACTGAAAGAGTGTCTACACCGCACATGGGAATGTATAAATCGGAAATGCTTGGCCATTCCTAGTGGATAAAGCAAAGCCATAGAGGAACACTCTGGTACCTAAGAAAGGAAAAACGGCCCAAATCCCCAAGCCGCTGCACCCACGGGGGAGACCCACGCAGAGTTCCAAGTTGAGGGCTTCAGCTGGGCCCAACCCGAGCCATTGTGGCCACATGAGGAATGAACCAGGGGGAGTGGGAGACATGTTCTCTGCCTTTCACACAATCGCTTTTGCATCTTCATGGGCTGCTGGGATCTGGCTTCCCTGATACTTCCTTGCTTTGGCATCGTAGGAAGGAGGCCAAAACCCAACCCTTAATCAGCTCCTCAAGACTGGGTTCCCAGCTGTGTTCCCTGGCAGCGACAGAGAGACAACGGACACCTAGCATGCTGTCAAGGCCTGCATTTAGGCGTCAGATGATGGAGCCCCAAGTGGCTTTCATGTGCAATGAAGGCTTTTTTTTCTGTCAGATGAATATAGCTGATTTTCTTCCCACATTTACAGTTAAAAAAGAAAAGGTGAAGCAGGGTAGAAGAAGGGGGGAGCAACAGTGGCTGTCTGATGCCGGGAGCCCCGTTCCCCCTTTGGGGACAGAGCTCTGAACCTAGGCGATCACAGAGCCCCGAGCGCTCCCAGCCTCTGGCTCCTCGCTGCAGCTTGCAGCAACTGCAGGGGCTGGGTCCTTGGCACCCACCAGGAAGACCTGCATTGAGCTCATGCTTCCCAGTTCTGGCTCTGGCCCAGCCCTGGCCATTCTGGACAATTCTGCATGCTTGGAGAATGAGCTAACACGGGGCGCTCAGCGTAGGTCTTTATCTCTCAGGTAACTGTCGTGGGGCTGTAGCACAGCTGACCTCAGCTCCTGCCGGGCACATCCATTCCTCCGGGATCCTGTGCTTCAAGCTGAGTGCTGACACACCCCGGGAGAAAGCATGTGGACGCCGGAGCTGAAGCCCGTGTTACCCACACGGCAAACCTGGATAGAATTCCAGGCTCTCGGCCTCAGCCTGGCCTGGCCCTGGCTGTTGCGGTCATTTGGGGAATGAATCAGTAATTGAGACACTCTCATTGTTGTTTTGCCTTCAAGTAGATGAATATAAATATTTAAAAATATCTATGGGGGGATGGTGCGACAGCCTAGCAGCTAAAGCCCTCGCCTTGCATGCTCCAGGATTCCGTAAGAGCACTAGTTCTTATCGTGGAAGCTGCACTCCCTATCCAGCTCCCTGCCTGTGGCCCGGGAAAGCAGTGGAGGACGGCCCAAAGCCCTGGGACCCTGCACCCGCGTGGGAGATCCGGAAGAGGTCCTGGCTTTGGATCGGCGCAGCACGGGCCGTTGCGGTCTCTTGGGGAGTGAGTCATCGGATGGAAGATCTTCCTCTCTGTCTCTTCTCCTCTCTGTACATCTGCCTTTCCAATAAATAAGTAAATAAATCTTTTAAAAAATGTTGGTGCAGAGGTTTTCAAAACGCATTTATTTTTAACCAGAGAAACTCTGCACAAACGTGCTGAAGTCCCTGCTGGAAACAATCTTGCATTTACCTAGACAACACTGAGCTGTTCAGGTCATCACTACCGGCTGTGTGCTCAGTCAGCAGGCAGCTGGACGTGCAGCCAGCAGGGGGCAGAACCACCTGAGTGCCCGTTGCCCAAGCTGCCCAAGGCCGATGGCATACTCACAGTGACTTTACAAAAAAGGGACACCAGAAAGTTAATGTTTATTCTACATAAGGTCATTGCAGATGAAAACAAGACAGTGAGAAGGGCTAGGTCCGCGGGCCGCAGGTTTAGCTGGCTGGTGAAGCCTCAGAGGAAGGGGCCTTCGGGTTGGGTTTACGATCTCAGACCGCCTAAGGGGGCTCCCCTTACTGGGGTCTCATATTCCACAAAGTGCCTTGCACGAGCTGAACACACCATGAACATGCCCATTTTAATGCTACAATTTACTAGGTAGTGAATAATTTTTCCTTTCTTTAAAAGAAAGAATACAGGGAGAGGGAGATCTGTCCGCTGGTTTACTCCTCAAGCGGCCGCAGCAGTCTGAGCTGATCCAAAGCCAGGACCCTCTTCCAGGTCTCCCACACGGGTGCAGGGTCCCAAGGCTTTGGGCCGTCCTCAACTGCTTTTCCAAGCCATAAAGCAGGGAGCTGGATGGGAAGTGGGGCAGCTGGGACACGAACCGGCGTCCATACGGGATCCCGGCGTGTATAAGGCGAAGACTTTAGCCACTAGGCTACCGAGCCGGGCCCACGAAGAACTTTGCAAAACCAGAGCTACGCCACTGACTGACTTCCTGGGTCACAGCAACCTACCCAAAGGGTTTCTGAAAATAGCTGCGGGCCGCTCCTAGCGAGTTTCAAAGCAGGTGTGGGACGCATGCGCCCTTTCCACCGGCTGACCTCCCAGTGACAGCCCAATACCGACCTTCTTCCCGACAGTACGCGGGGCGGGACGGGGTGGGGACACGGAATTCTCGCGAGTTCTCTAGGAGCGCCGGGCGGAAAGGGCAGACACGTGACTCTCCTCAGAGGCCTTCGGCTTCCCCCCTCCCCCTTCTCGGAAACCCGGCCCCCCTCGGCGCTCGCCCACCCCCGAGCCGCGAGGATGGACCGTTTGCGTTCCGGAATCCTCTCGGATGCAGCCGCGGGAACAGGCCGGGCGGGAAGCCGGCGGAGTCTCTCCTCGGGCGGGCAAGGCTTCGGGCGGCCGCGATGGGCGGGGCGGCCGGCGGAGGCGGGGCGCGTGCCGGGCGCGCGGGGGCGGGGCGGGAGGAAGTCACGTGGGCGCGTGCGCGCGGCGTGCGCGCCGCCCCGCCCCCTGCCCGCGGCGGGGCGGGGGGGCTGGGGGAGGGGCGTTAAGATGGCGGCGGGGAGGTAGGCAGAGCCGGACGCCGCTGTCGCTGCCTCCGCCGCCTCCGCCGCGCTCGGCTCGCCCGCTGTTCGCGAAGCTCTCGTCGTCCGGGAGAGGCTGTCCTGGCGTCGGCTCCCGCGGGGGAAAGTGAGTGTTCCCCTCAGCCCCGTTTCTCCGTCTACTCTTCCCCCCCCACACACCCGGACAAGCCTCCCACTCGCAGCCCTCCTCGGGGTCCGGGCCGGTGGTTGGAGCGTGGTCGCGGGGGAGCCCCGGGTTTTGGGGGGCCTCGCTCGGCGCGCGCCCCGGGACCGTCCCAGCGCCGGGCCCCCGCCGTCCCGGGACGGGAGGAGGCAGCGGCAGCGCACGCCGGCGGCTCTGGGTCCGGGCCGGCCCTCGCGGCAGGCCGGTGGGCGCCGGGCGTGGGCACGTGGGGGGCGCCGTGCGGAAGGGCGAGGGTCCTCGCAGGGGCGGCGGTTGGCGGCCGGCTCGCTGCGGGAGAGTTCGGCGGCGCGGGCATGCCGGCTTCCTCCCCGAGCCCGGGGCTCCGGCTCCTCCCCGCCCGCCCGCCGCTTTGTGTTTGCGTGCAGGTGATGCTCGGACCGCCGGCCGGGCGCTCCTGGCCGCGGCGAGCCGCGGTGGCCCTGGGGCGGGGAGGCTTTTGTTTTGGGGAGTCGCTGCTGGAGAACCGTGGGGGGGAAGGAGCGGGCGCGAGTCGGCACCGCAGCCTTGTGAATCCATTGAGCTGCGCAGCCAATTGTAGCCGCACCCGGAAGTTTGTGCTGAACACGTGTTGCGGGAAGGCAGGACTCGGTCCCTCCGACCTTTGAAAGTTGCTCGCTGGCAGCTTGTGCCTCGGGGAGTCGGGGTGCTCGGCCAGGGGACCCCGTTAGGGCTCAGCCTTGAACCAGACAGGGGTGGTGCCGGCGACGAGGACTCTCATGATTTAAACAAGTTTGCCAAATTTTTCTGACGTGAAAAGGCATTTTTCTCTCAGTTGTAACTTTATTGCTTACGGTTTTTTTTCCTAGAAAATAAAAATGATTTGCCCTTCAGCTGCTAGACAAGTGTTAAAAAGGAGGGGTGAGGGTGGCCGTGGTCTGGCAGGGTACAGAAGCAGCACTTTGAGGGAGTCGGAGGGTCTGCGTGCCCCTGTGCTCCGAGTTCCCTTGACAGCTAAGATGACGTCATCCTCAAGTTTTTGCGGCGATCTGATTCGCTAACGCACACGTTTGTGCTTGGCCTCAGCTCGCCAAGTATGAAGGATAACTTGGGGAATTGTGGATGAGGGACATACGGAGGAGAGCCCACCGAAATTTTTTCTTTTTTGTCTTGGGAGATATATATGGGATCCCGGCATGTGTAAGGCAAGGATTTCAGCCGCTAGGCCACCGTGCCAGGACCAGGCCCAGATCCTTACAGGCTTAAAGTCTGTCAGTGCTAGCTCACACTCAAGTCAGTGGGTCTCATTTATTCATCTTATTGATAATGTGTATTTATGCTGTGCATCATGGCTCTTTAATGCACGTATACATTGTAGAATATCTAAATCAGATCGTAATCCCTGGAGTGATTTCTGAGGTGGTCACTCATTTGTAGTTTAAATGCTTGCTGTATTTCTTTCTTCAGAAATTAACTATTATGTTGTTAAAACGTATTTGAAAACTTGTGCATTCAGCGTTGACTTCAGTGCCTCTCCCTTTTTGAGGTCATGCCATTACTGCAGTATGGACTCACTGGGTGCTGTCCCGGGACGGTCATGGAGCCCTTGGCCTCCAGAGGACTCCAGTCTGCGCTTTGGAATCTCTGGCTTGAAACAGTGTAGTCTTGTTTCAGTTGTAAATCAATTATTTCCACCGTTTGCTGTAAAGATAAGATCTTGCTAGGATTTGAAGAATAAGCCCATCCACAGTGGGTGATGGGGTGGGCCATAGGCCCCTCCCATGCATAAATCATTGCCCCTGATATGGCTTGCAGTTTACTTTTAAAATATTTATTTATTTTTTAGATTTATTTTATTTTTATTACAAAGTCAGATATACCCCAGAGGAGGAGAGAGAATCTTATGTCCAGTTATTCACTCCCCAAGTGAGCGCAATGCCTGGTGCTGCACCAATCCAAAGCCAGGAGCCAGCAACCTCCCCAAGTCTCCCACATGGGTGCAGGGTCCCAAGGCTTTGGTCTCTCCTCGACTGCTTTCCCAGGCCACAGGCAGGGAGCTGGATGAGAAGTGGGGCTGCCGGGATTAGAACCGGCGCCCGTATGGGATCCCAGCGCAATCAAGGCGAGGACTTTAGCCACTAGGCCACGCCGCTGGGCCCAATATTTATTTTTATTGGCAAGATTTACAGAGAGAAGGAGAGTTAGAGGAAAGATCTTTCATCCGCTGGTTCACTCCCCAAGTGGCCACCACAGCTGCTCTGAAGCCAGGAGCCTCCTCTGGGTCTCCCACGCGGGTGCAGGGTCCCCATCCTTTCCCAGGCCACAGGCATGGAGCTGGATGGGAAGCAGGGCTGCCAGCACCCATAAGGGAGCCGGAGTGTGCAAGGTGAGGACTTCAGCCACTAGGCTTCTACACTGGGCCTCCACATGTGTTTTTAAAGCATTGTTTTAAACTTCTTGGTGCATATTTGTACCAGACTTTGTAATGTATGGTCAGATATATTTGTGCTGGAAATTCCCCAAGGTTTTTGTTTGATTTGAAAGTGTTAGGAAGAGAGATAGTTTTTGTTTCATGATTTGCTTACATTGGAAAGAGACAGAAAGCTCTGTCTGCTGGTTCAGTCTCCAGGTGACACAGCTGCTGGAGCTGAGATGATGCAGAGGCCAGGAGCCAGGAGCCTCTCCCATTGGAGACCTCCTTCCTTGCCAGCCTGTGTCGGTGGGATTGTTGAGTGGATGTGGAGCAGCTGAGCCGGGATTCCGCGTCTGAATGGGTTGCTGGTGTCCCTGTTCAGTGTAACATTTATTACGAAGAACGTGTTGAAACTTGTAGATTGCTAATGTCAACTGAAAATTCTGGGCTTTGAGGATTGGAATGTTCTGGAGGCGAGTCTGCTCCTCACAGTGAACTTGGGCAGGTGATTTTAAGTTTTGTGAGCCCCAGTTTTTGCTCTAAAATGATGGTCCTGTTCTCACCCATGACTGGACCCCAGTAGGCAGTGTGGAAGAAGGCCCTAAGAGTGCAAGCGGTGGAACACTCCTGGGCAGCCCGAGTTCCTCCTCCATACCGTTTGCAGTGTTTCTCTGCTTCGCTCTGAGAGGCTCAGTGCGTGTGACTCTGGGCTGTCCGTCTCCCCTCCCATCCTCGGAAACAGCTATTCTGCCTGCGTTTTCGTTTCGCATGTGTTAGGATTTATGTCTGATACACGAACTTGGATACAGAAGAGAATTCCTCTATTCAATGTTTGGTTTTTATCTTCAGCTTTGGAGGTCATGGTCACAGTGTTCTTAGCTCACGCCCTTTTGTAGGACATCATGAAATAGTTGATGCTTTTATCATTCAGTCTGAGAACAAAATGAGTGAAAATTAGCATCCTGTAGCACAAATTTTTCTGAGAAAAATAAATGCAGTTAGATTTTTAATACTTATATATAAGGGTCATTAAAAACTGGAAATGGGGCCTGGTGTGGTAACCTAGCACTTGAAGTCCTCACATTGCCTGTCCTGGGATCCCATATGGGCGCTGGTTCTAATCCTGGCAGCCCTACTTACATTCTGACTCCCTGCTTGTGTCCTGAGAAAGCAGTTGAGGATGGCCCAAAGCCTTGGGACGCTGACCCACGTGGGAGACCCAGAAGAGGCTCTGGGATCCTGGCTTTAGATTGGCTCATCTCTTGCTGTTGTGGCCACTTGCGGAGTAAAGCATTGGCTGGAAGATCTTCCTCTCTGTGTGTCCTCCTCTGTATATCTGACTTTCCGATAAAAATAAATCTTTAAAAAATAACTGGAAATGGAATTAGATTTGTTTATGCAAAAATTTTGAAACCCATCTATATTTTATTATTATTTCAAGATTTATGTTTTTTATTGGAAAGACAGATTTACAGAGAAGAGATAGAAGGGGAAAGATCTGTCTCCTAGTTCACTCCCCAAGTGTTCGCAGTGTTTGGTGCTGCGCCGATCCGAAGCCAGGAGCCAGGAGCCTCTTCGGGGTCTGCCATGCAGTTGTAGGATCCCAAGGACCTGGGCTGGCCTTGACTGCTTTCCCAGGCCACAAGCAGGGAGCTGGATGGGAAGCAGGGCTGGCAGGATTAGAACTGGCGCCCATATGGAATCCCAGCGTGTCAAGGTGGGGACTTAGGTTCTAGGTGACTGCGTCTGGCCCAGCTGTAGCTGTTAGAACGTGCAGTCTTGAAGGTCCTGTGCCTTGGGGATCGCCTCCCTGGGGCTGCGCTCCCTTGTCTGTTCCCCAGGGCGTGGGCGTAAGGTCTGATACCGCATGGTGCCTGCACTTCTCAGTGTGAGGATCTTGAGAAGGGACTGTTTATTTTTTTTTCTACTCTTCCCTTGACGCGTGTCAGTTCTGTGGATCAGTAGATCTGGTTAAAAATATTGGATTGTTGGGCCCGGCGCGGTGGCGCAAGTGGTTAAAGGTCCTCGCCTTGCACGCCCGGGATCCCATATGGGCGCCGGTTCTAATCCCGGCAGCCCCGCTTCCCTTCCAGCTCCCTGCCTGTGGCCTGGGAAAGCAGTTGAGGATGGCCCAAAGCTTTGGGAACCTGCACCCGTGCGGGAGACCCGGAAGAGGCTCCTGGCTTCGGATCGGCATAGTATCGGCCCGTTGCGCTCACTTGGGGAGTGAATCATCGGATGGAAGATCTTCCTCTCTGTCTCTCCTCTCTGTATATCCGCCTTTCCAATGAAAAAATAATAAAAATAAATCTTTAAAAAAATATATATTGGATTGTTTCTAGGTAGAGTACACTTAACTGTCACTTTGTTTTCTCTGTTAATATCTAATATCTTTTTTTTTTTTCCCTGAAGATGGTGGAACCAGGGCAGGATTTACTGCTTGCTGCTCTGAGTGAGAGTGGGATTAGTCCCAATGACCTCTTTGATATCGATGGTGGCGATGCGGGGCTGGGCACCCCAACCCCCACTCCTGCGGCTCAGCAGGTAAGAGCTGGATTCCATCTGTTGCTGCCCTTTCCTCTTGCTGGGCTTGGCTGAAGGCAGAGACCTGGAATGGCAGGGGCTTCAGGGCGTGTCAGTAGGAGGTGGGCTTGCAAGTGGAGTAGCTGGGATTTGCATGAATGGGCCACTCTGAGGCGTTGGCTGGAGCCACTGTGCCGCTGCACCTGCACATTCCTAGTCTTCATTTATACGAGGAGGTTGGAATAGATGTGTTAGGGTGGGCAGTCAGCGTCTTTCATGAGGTAGGCAATGTTGGTAAGGATAGCCAAGGCGTCGTTTTCTGTCTTCCTTCTGCACCCTCTTCCCCCTTTTTTTTTTTTGGACTTAGTGGAATGTCTGAGGAAAGAGAGCTATTTAATTATTAGTTTATTTGTTACGTAGCTGCAACACCAAAGGCTGGCCAGGAGCCTGGACCTCCATCGGGCCCATGCGAGTGGCAAGGGTTGCCTTCTGGATTCCTCAGCCATGCCAGGATGGAGTGTTGAGTGTCTGTGGGTAGTTCATCTCTGCTCTAATCGTCTTTATAGGGAGATTCTTGTTTGACTCCACTGTACACTTTTTGTGAAAAGTGGAAGTAAGATTCTGCTGTCGGCTTAGCTCCGCTTCATTGAGAGTGCTGCGTGTCAGGGTTGTTGGCCTTGCCTCCTGTGTCCCTGCGGGACGCTCTCCGAGTACAAGTGCAGCTCTCCTGACACAGTCGCTGTCCTCCTCTCCTGTCCTGATGTTCTCTCTGCAGTCAGTGCCACTTAACGCATTAGAACTCAGTGTGGAGCCTGAAGCAGCAGTTCCTGCTAAACAAGAGCCAGAGGCTGTCCCTCCTGCAGCACTGTTAAACATGAGGGTAAGCACGCTTCCGCTGCGCATGCCCACCTCCTTCAGCATGGTGCTCATCATGTGACCCCAAGGGCAAAGAGTTCCGGCTCCCTCATTTTAAAAAAGATTTATTATTCATGTATTTTGAAGGCATTGCAATAAATATTCTGGCCTCTGGTTCACTCCCCAAGTGGCTGCAGTAGATAGGTCTGAGCCAGCGTAAAGCTGGGAACATTCAGGTCTCCTGTGGTGACAAGAGCCCAGTGACATAGGTCATTCTCCACTGTCTCCCAGTATTCGAGCAGCGGGGCAGCTGCGACTAGAGCTGGTGGTGCCATCCATGCCACCTGTGCACGGCTGCAGCGCGGCCACCTGCTGTGTGGTGCCGATCTTTGTGCCTGCTGTGTTCCTGTGCGCATCCCCTTTACTGCTGCTCTGTAACGCACGGCTGTCTCTGTAGGCACTTAGGGTTTTCAAAAGAAAAATGACATTTTAGGAAATTCACCTTTATCTCGCTTTTTTTTTCTTATTTCTGCTTTTGTTCCTTTTCTTACTGTGGAGTACTTTGACGTGGTAGTTTGTAGCTAATTATTAGCAAATGAGAAATGAAAGGGTAGTCATCAGGCAAGAATAAAATCAGTGTTGAGCTCACAGGGCCCCTGCTTCCTGCTCCTCTTTGGGAAGGGTGTCACACACTTGCTCTGCCTCTCTAGCAGCAGCCTCCATCCACTACGACGTTCGTGCTCAACCAGATCAGCCAGCTTCCCACCTTGGGGTCTACGATTGTCATGACCAAAACGCCACCTGTGACAACCAATAGGCAAACCATCACTTTAACGAAATTCATCCAGACGACCGCAAGCACTCGGCCTTCCGTCTCGGCGCCAGCAGTGCGGACTGCCACGAGCTCCGCCTCTTCCAAGGAGCAGGTGCAGCTGAAGGATCTGCTCAAGAACAACAGTCTGAACGAGCTCATGAAGCTCAAGCCGCCGCCCAACATCGCGCAGCCCGTGGCCACGGCAGCCAGTGAGTGTGTCTCCCCAGTGCACGTGTCAGTGCCTTTTCTTAAAAGGGTTTGTTTTGGTCTTGCACTGGATGCGGAAGGTGGTGCTTGCACAGTTTCTGTGGCATAGCTAGAGCATTTGAAAGGAACTGTGGCATTGTCAGGTACTTTAATGCCTGGGGAAAGACCAAGTTAGGGTAGAGGTTGAGAGTCGCCTACTCATTGCTTCACTTCCTAAAACTGCAGTGGCTGAGGCGGGGCTGGGGGAAGCCGGAAGCCTCACCTTCCAGCCAGTTCTTCCACAAGCATGGCAGGGGCATGAGAACTTGGGCGTCCTCCACTGTTCTTCCTCTCATGACCAGGGAGCCTGAAGGGAAGTGGAACAGCTGGGTCATGAAATGGTGATCATGTGGAATCACAGCGCTTGGAGGTAGAGGGTTAGCCAATTGAGCCAATGCTCAAACCCCAGGTGTACTTCTGTCTCATGACCCCTTGAACTTTTTACCAACTCATTCGTGTTAGATTCAGCCCTTCTCATTTTTGAGCTTCAAGTGGCATACCTGCCCAGTAGTCTCTAAGCATTCGTTTCCCAGAATTCTCTGCGTTCTTGCATCCTTAAGGACCATGGTGTCATGCCTGAGGTCCCAGGAATACTTCCTATATTAGGAGTTCTTCAGGGACATTTAAGGTTGTTTCCAGGAACTCTGCACCCTGCTCCTAAAATACAGAAATATGAAATATTTTACCTGAGTTACAGCGAGAGAGAGACTGGGATTTCCCATCCATTGATTGTTCCCCAGTGACTGCAGCAGCTGGAGCTGGGTTCTGCACAGTCGGAGCCGTGAGCTTCTTCAGGACTGCCCTGGTGGGTGCAGTGGTCCAAGATCTTGGACCATCCTCTGCTGCTTCATAGGCCATGACCACAGAGTTCGGTCAGAAGTGGAGCAGTAAGGACTTGAGCTGGTACCTGTATAGGATGCCAGTGCCACATGTGGAGGCTTAGGCGACTATGCCACAACACCAACCCCAGAATAATAAACTTTAATAAAAAGAAGGAGCTGAATCGTTAATCGGCACAGGTAGGATTGAAAACTGCATCCATATTGGATGCTGGTTTCCCACGCAGAGGGGTTAGCTTGCTACGACGCTGTACCAGCACCTCTTGTTATATTTAAAAATGGCTTAAACACCATTTGTATAAGTTGTCTTTTGAATTTTTTTTTTTTTTGAGGCAGGATGAAAAATAGTTTCGAAGTTCATTTTTTCCTTACATAAATGATTGTTTTGCTTTGAAACAATAGCACTAGTAAATCAGGCTAGATTTACTTCCTCATGGTGGTAACATAAATTTTATTTCTATTTTTGTGTTTTATTGAAGGAAGCAAAATGTCTCTTTGTATTTGCTAGTTATCTATCATGAGAGCAGTAATTGTTGTGTGTTTATGTACACACATTTTTTTGCTGGCACATGTTTCTATCCGTAAAGGTGTCTAGCTCGTATGTAATGTAATTAGCTAGACAGATTGAGCTCCTTTGGTTTGTGAAATGGGTAAACTTTGACTTACTAAGTGGTAAGAAGATAAATTGGGATTTTCTTCTGAAATATAAATTGGCTTCTTCCCCACAGCTGATGTAAGCAATGGTACAGTAAAGAAGGAGTCTTCCAATAAGGAGGTGGCGAGGATCTGGATAAATGACATGAAGATGCGGAGCTTCTCCCCGACCATGGTGAGTCTTTGTGCAAGTGTGCAGGAACGTCCGTGCGTGTGGGAGGCGCTCAGGGCGAAGCTGGAATGTCACTGCAGTAAGCACTACCATTCGGGTCCTTAAATTTGGGCCTCACCCCCTTTTTTGTTAGATTAACTTATTTGACGAATGGAGTTACTGAGAGAGGGGCAGATCTTCCATCTGAATTCACTTGCCCTGGCTGGGACTACAAAATCTGCCCCCAGGTCTAATTCTCTGTAGGTCTGGGTGTGGTGGTGGTGTGGCCCGGCCAGGCTTGCTCCTCAGACCCTGCTTTCACATGTGCCAGTGGTTGGCAGGCCATGTTACTTGCCCCAGCTCAGGTCCCCCCATGTGGCCAGGTGCTTTGGCCTAACCCGTATATGTCCTCCAATTTTCCCCACCAAGCCATTCTTAGTCTCCGCTCACTTGCCTATGTGCGAGTGTAGTGGCCCAGTCAGCGGAAATCCCAGAACGCATTCCTCCCCTGTCCAACGTGCCCTCCCTCAGACCCTCTTTCCCAGGAAATCTGCAGCGTATACCCAGTTCACACACCCTCGGCAGGAGCCAGCCTGGTGTTCAGCCTTCCACACATTGTTGAAAGACCAGGCCAAGATGCCTACCAGCTCTTGGTTACTTTTCTTCTAGCAATGTGACACTTTCCTGGGTACAAGGCCAGCTTAGGCAATTGCCTACCTCTGGGGGCAAATACTGTTTTTTAAGTGGAAATGCAGGTTTACCCAGAGGAGGAGGTAATAAGAAAGATCATCTGGGCCTGGTGCAGTAGTGCAGCAATGAAAGTCCTCCCCTTGGATGCGCCGGGATCCCATATGGGTTCTAATCCTGCCAGCCCCGCTTGCCGTCCAGCTCCATGCTTGTGGCCTGGGAAAGCAGTCCAGGACAGCCCAATCTCTTGAACCCTGCAGCTGTGTGGGAAACCCAGAAGAGGCTCTGGGATCCTGCCTTCGGATCGGCACAGCTCCGGCTGTTGTGGCTTCTTAGGGAGTGAATCAATGGATGGAAAATCTTCTTCTCTGTAAATCTTCTTTTCCAATAATTTTTTTGGGCATGCATAAATTGTTTTGTTTTTTTTTTTTTTTCCTCTATTTTGACAATCTTTACGTAGCTAACTAGAGCACAAAGGTTCAAGGGCTACAGGAAAGTGGCTAAGACTGTCATTTCCACATTGTTTTTTTCCCTGTATCTGAGGTAAAGGGGGAGATAAAGGGAGAAGCCCTACCCAGTCTCCCACCCACCCCTGATGTGGGGCATGCTCTGAGGGTCTTGCTCAAGTGGTTTTGATAGTTCAACAGTTTTGAATTGCTACCAGTCTCGCCATTCCAAGCATGATGAGGTCTCTGCAGAATCCACTGATTGGGCCAGTTTTTCACTGCCGACATATGGCTGGGGTAGTTGATTGATTTGTTCTGTCCTCTCTTTGCTGCTTTACTCCTCAAGTGGCCAGAATGGTTGGAGCTAGACTGATCTGAAGCAGTAGCCTGGAGCTTCTTTTGGGTCTCTCCTGTTGGCATGTGGTCCCAAGGCTTTAGGGCATCCTACACTATTTTCCCAGGCCACAGGCAAAGAACTAGACTGGAAGTGGAGTGGCTCATATGCATACTGACATCCACATGGGATGATGGCGCTTGTAGGCAGAGGATTAGCCCTTGAGCCATCATGGCTGGAGATTGCGTTTTTTTGGGCAGAATTTTCTTGTATGTTTTCCAGGTCTGTTGTCCTTGGACTTGAGATGATTATACCCTTTGTCTGTTACAGAAGGTACCCATTGTAAAGGAGGAAGATGAGCCCGAGGAAGAAGATGAAGAAGAAATGGGTCATGCAGAAACCTATGCAGAGTATATGCCGATAAAATGTATGTCCTCTGGACTGATCGAGCTACCAAGAGATTTCCCAGTTCCTCTTGAACCTTATGTCTCTCCCCCCCATGCACTGACTTTTCATTTACCTGTTTGAAGGACGTAGTTAATAAAAGAAAGGGAGACGGGGACTTCTGTAAGGTGCTTTTCTCCCCAGGTGCCTGAAACTGCCAGGCTGGAACTCGGCACGGAGCTTTCATATCACAGCAGGCCGAGGGCTTGGGTCATCTGCTGCCTGCCCTTGTGTTAGGGAGCAGCTGGGGCAAATGTGTGACAGCTGGTGAGGGCTGGCCTGGTACCTGAGGTGCTGGGTACCCATGTAAACATGGGCTTGACCTGCTGTGCCACGGTACTGGTTCTATTAATGGTGTATTTTAAATTTGAACAAAAAATGGATTGTTTAGCAACTACATATGGATATTGAAAATCCCATACTTTAGTCATGTAAACGAGTTAGGTGCCTGAACTGCAGTGGGTTGTCAGCTCCCGGCCTGGCTTGCTGTGTGAGGGTCCAGGGATCCAGTTCCCTGGTACTGCGTTCAGGAAAGCAGGGAATGGTGAGGAGGGTGAGGAGGGTGACGCCCCAGCTCCCCGTGTGGTCCTGGCCAGCCCTGACTGTGGTTGGCAAAGCAGTAGAGGGGATGTTTGACTTCTCTGTTTCCCTCCCTCTCGCCCTTTCTAGGCCTCTGTCTCAAATCTTTCTGAAAAATTAGTTTTTGGTTATTATTCCTAAGCTCTTGATACTCCTACTCTTTCCAAATAATTGATCTCATGACAAGATTGAGATAGTTCATCTGTGATCCTTGAAGTGAGATTTCAGCACAGTCTCAAGACTGCTGCCTTAGCAGGTGCCGTTTCATTACAACCTGGGTTTGCCTGTTGGCTTCCTTCATGTCTTTGGCTACTTTTACATGAAGTACACGCAGCAGCTGGTGAGGGGCTAGCAACCTGCCAAGTTGAAGACTAAACTATGCGATCTTTTCCAGGAAGCATCTGTAGGTTGCTATTTAAAGTATTTACGTTGCACGTTTTGTTATGGTAGTTACTGCTTAATTTTGTACTCCGAGTTGTTTGCAAATTAGTTTATTGTTTGAATAAATGAAGTGAATGTTTCAAGTTGCTACTGAACCCTTAGAATATGATCATTTTCTGTTAGTGGTGAGCTTGATAGTGTGAAGTAAATTGTTGTATTTCTAGATTTTTTTAACCATCAAATCTGTAAACTATATGTAGTAGAAAAATAAGAGTTTCTATTCTAATACTTTACCAAACTGGAAGTGTTTGCTAAATGACTACAATGAAGTGTTTTAAATTTTTTATTTAGTAAAAATTGGCCTGCGTCACCCAGATGCTGTAGTGGAAACTAGCTCTTTGTCCAGTGTTACGCCTCCTGACGTTTGGTACAAAACATCTATTTCTGAAGAAACTATTGACCACGGCTGGTTGTCAGCGTTGCAGCTGGAGGCGATTACATATGCTGCCCAGGTGAGCAGAGCTGATGGTGTCGCGGGCTGGTACAGTGCTTTAACCCAGAGGTGTGTTTGCCTGTATGCACGAATTGAAAGTGTGAGTTTTAGACAAGTAGGTTTATATATATTTATGTGAAAGGCAGATTTAGAGAGAGAAGGAGAGACATCCACTGGTTTGCTCCCTAAATGGCCACAATAATCGGAGTTGATCCGATTGGAACTATGCCAGGAACATCTTCTGGCTCAATTGGCTAATCCTCCACCTCCAAGCACCAGCATACCAAATGAGCACTACTAGTTCACATGCCAGCTGCTCCACTTCCCGTGCAGTTCCCTGCTTGTGTTCTGGGAGAGCAGTAGAGGATGACCTAAGTGCTTTTCCCCAAAAAGGTGCCACTTGGCGACCTGAAATGAGTTCCTGACTTTAGAGCTCCTCAGCTCTGGCCAGTGTGCTTGCTTAGGGAGTCAACAGTGGATAGAAGGTCTTTGTTTCTGTATCCCCTTTCTGATAATCTGTATTTTCAGAAAAAAACACATAAATCCTAAAAAAAATGAAATGTCATTTTCATCTCTAGGAGTTTGTTCCTTTGACAGTCATGTGCACACACACATACACACACAGTCGCACAGGGTAAAATGCTCGTTTCAGATTTGATTCCCACTATCTGGGTGGTGATTGAATATAGAATAAACTGGTATCTTTGCATCAAAGCTGTTGGCTTCTCTTTCTTAGCATGGTGTCAGGTTAATTTGTTCTGCCTGTTCGGGAAGGTTTTGGGTTACACTCAGTTCTGTAAAGTAACATAGTGACCAAATAGCCAACTTCCCTCCTCTTTACGTGTGGTAGAGAAGTTTTTACTTGATACAAGCTTTGAAAATGCGAATGGAGTAACCTTTACTAATTTATGAGCTTCAGTCACATGGTTCGTGGAACATAACAAGAAAGGACATAATAAATACACAGACAGGATCTGTAAACTGTGCTTTGTTTATGTAGAAGTAGCAATATATGTGCAAAACTCTCAAATTGGTCGCCAAACTACATGGTAGGCTAACTCCCTTTTCTTTTCCAGCAACATGAGACATTCCTCCCTAATGGAGACCGTGCTGGCTTCTTGATCGGTGACGGTGCCGGGGTTGGCAAAGGCCGGACGATAGCGGGCATCATCTATGAGAACTACCTGCTGAGCAGGAAGCGAGCGCTCTGGTGAGTGTCAGCCTGTATTCATCGCGAGTTCTGCAACAGGATTGTTTTTAAATAATGAGGTTTTTCTTTTTTAAGATTTCATTATTTGAAAGGCAAGTTACAGAGAAAGGGAAAGAGATGTAATTATGTGTTGGTTCACTTTGTTAGTTAGCTGCGTTAACAGGGAGCTCGATTGGATGGGGGCAACTGGGACTCGAACCAGCACCCATCCAGGTTGCTGCCCTTGCAGGCAGAGGTTAAACTGTCAGGCTTGCCATTTAATTTAGGAATTTCTTTTTTGTCTTCGTGACAGGTTTAGCGTCTCAAATGACTTAAAGTATGATGCTGAGAGAGATTTGAGAGATATCGGAGCAAAGAACATCTTGGTGCATTCACTAAATAAGGTAGGAGAGCTCTGTGCTTGGTTCTCCGTTAGATAAATACTTAGGAATGGGCCATGAATGCTTTCCTGTGACGGCCTAGTATGCAAGGCTAAGTTACTCCTCAGAGAACGTGGTGATTGCTGGTCCTGCAGCGTTCAGGGCGAGAACTTTAGCTGCTAGGCCACCACACCTGTCCCTTTAATTTTTAAATTAAAATATATTTAGTTATTTGAAATAGTTAAAAAGAAGAGGTTAGCGCCTTATATCCACTGGCGCATTCTCCCCGTGGTAAAATAGCCGTGCCTGGGCCAGGCCTCCGCCGCCAGCTTCTTCCAGGCTCGCAGTTGAAAGCAGGGGTGCAGGTGCTGGGATCATCCTCTCCTGCTTTCCCAGGCACGTTTGAAGGGAACACCTGAGTGGGAAGTGGAGCAGCCAGGACCTGAACTGGCACTGGTATAGACTTGCTGGCATTGTAGTCAGCACTTCTACCTGCTCTGCTGCAACTCAGCCCCTGAGTCTTTCTCCTTGTCTCCCCTCCGTGGTGGAGCCGACATTGCTGCTGATGCATTAGTGGGGGGTCGCATCAGAAAGCACATAGCTAGGATGAGCACCGTTGCACTGAAAGGATATGTCGGTGTCCCTGGTTGTGGCTTGATGTGCTGTACTGCAGAGCTTAGTCCTCTCGGCTGGTCCTCTGGGTGTCTGACCATTGAATTGCAGCTTAGCAGAAATGTGGGTGATCGCTGTGGCTCATAGGCTGAGTGCAATGAATGTACAGCTGGTCGGCTTGACCTTTCTGGATGGAACAAAATGTGTGTTTATATCTCAAACATGGTTGCACTCGACTAGAAATTTTGACAGGAATTTAGTAGTGTTTATTAACAGACTGCACCACTGGCTAGCGTGGTTATGGTAGGCCAAGCAGGGTTCCTACTGCAGATGTCTCCCTGGTAGCCCTTTGACTCAGTTGTGACTCCTGTGCCTGAAGGAATTGGTGTGCCGCCTTCTTTTTTTTTTTTTTTTTTTTTAATTTATTTTAAAGATTTGTTTATTTTTATTGCGAAGCCAAATGTACAGAGAGGATGATCTTTCTTCTGTTGATTCACTCCCCAAGTGGCCACTACGGCCACAGCTGAGCCAATCTGAAGCCAGGAGCCAGGAGCTTCTTCTGAGTATCCCACATAGGGTCCCAAGACTTTGGGCCATCGTTGACTGTTTCCAAGGTCACAAGCGGGGAGCTGGGTGGGAAGTGGGGCCTCCGGGACATGAGCCAGCACCCATAAGGGATCCTGGGGCATGCAGGACTAGGACTTTAGCCACTAGGCTACTGTGCCGGGCCCGCAGAGCAATGCTTTCCCCACTGTGCCACACCGCTGACCCCTTGGTAAAGAGTTTTTGGCATCTTTCTAAGTGGTGCTTACAAATTTTCTGAATGCCGTCATGCTACCACATTAAGCAATTGTAACTATTTGGTCCAAATGTTTCTGAGAAAAGTATGCTAATTAAATTTTTCTCTTTTTTTTTTCTAGTTTAAATATGGAAAAATTTCTTCCAAACATAATGGGAGTGTTAAAAAGGGTGTTATTTTTGCCACCTATTCTTCCCTTATTGGTGAAAGCCAGTCTGGTGGTAAATACAAAACAAGGTTGGAGCAGCTTCTGCATTGGTGCGGCAGTGACTTCGACGGAGTGGTATCCTTCAGGGCGAGTGGTTTGATCTAAGAGTTGTGTACTGTTGGATTTGGAAAGTCCTTAGGTAGATTGGATGTACATTTGCCCATGTGAGGGAGTCTCAGGGCGTTACGCAGTTGAAGCTGGGTTTTGCCTTTCAGATTGAAGTTGAAGCTTGTAGTTTAGGATAATGTTAATATTTATGGGGGAGTACTGTATGTCATTCTTGGGGATTCATGTTATATATTTGTCTACCTAAGAATATTCAGGGAGCAAAATCTTAGTACCTCAGTGTCTCCTAAACTCACCTGCAGTCTGGCGTGGGCAGCTGGTCCAGCTGCTGCCAGTCACCACTGGGCCTTCTCCACCTTGGCTGCACTGTGCCTGCTCAGTGCGAGTGGACAGTGAAGCTTATAGTTCAGATGAGGATTGAGTTCAGTGAATGCCTCTGAGACCAGAGGGATGAAATGGAATTATTTAGAGGGCTTTTGTAATTAAACACAGTTTTTGCTTGTTTGGAAAACATAGTGAGTGGTAGCCACAGCTCATTCCCGCAGTGCCCACCAAGAGGCGGTTCCTGCCCAGGGGCAGCCCACTCCCGCATTGTCCACGGAGAGGCCGTTCGTGCCCGTGGGGATGTCGGGACTGGAAGCAGGAAGGTGTTACTTGAGCCCTCACGTGCTGAGTCCGTGGCTGTAAAAAGCATATTACCAAGAGGCTGCAATTGGAGCCAGAAGGGAAGAGAGGCACTGTGCTAAAGCCATGCAGGCTTCCTGAGTGATGTCTTCCCCTCGGCCAGACACCTGCCCCGCGTGTGTCTGTAATCTTTTTTTTTTTTTTAAAGATTTTATTATTTTTTTTATTGGAAAGGCGGATATACAGAGAGGAAAGACAGAGAGGAAGATCTTCCATCCGATGATTCACTCCCCAAGTGAACTCAACGGCCGATGCTATGCCGATCCGAAGCCAGGAGCCTCTTCCGGGTCTCCCACGCGGGTGCAGGTTCCCAAAGCTTTGGGCCATCCTCGACTGCTTTCCCAGGCCACAGGCAGGGAGCTGGAAGGGAAGCGGGGCTGCCGGGATAGAACCGGCGCCCATATGGGCTCCCGGGCGTGCAAGGCGAGGACTTTAACCACTTGCGCCACCGCGCCGGGCCCGTGTGTCTGTAATCTTGATGGCAGACTGAAAGGCTCAGGGAAGTCAGTGGTAATGTGATGTGTTCCTTAATTCATTCCTTATAGATAGTGTTTGATGAGTGTCATAAAGCAAAAAACTTATGTCCTGTTGGTTCTTCAAAACCCACCAAGACGGGCTTAGCAGTTTTAGAGCTTCAGAACAAATTGCCAAAAGCCAGAGTTGTTTACGCTAGTGCCACTGGTGAGTAAATCATTTCTTGAAGAGATGGGGCTGGTTACTCCTTCAGGTGTAATATGTTGCCTTTGGGGATTTTTCAGGTGCTTCCGAACCACGTAACATGGCCTACATGAACCGTCTTGGAATATGGGGTGAGGGAACGCCATTTAGAGAATTCAGTGATTTCATTCAAGCAGTAGAAAGAAGGTAATACAGCTTTGCGTTAAGTATGTGGAAGATGTCTTATGAGAGACCCATGCATGAATAGCAAGTTTTTTATACTAAATGAAGTTAACTGCATCCTGTGTGTCTAGCAGTGCTCTAAAGTACTGTTCTCAGTTCCTGTGTCAGTCACATGTCATGTGGGAACCCCTTTCCTGCCTGTTCCGGTCTGTTTACTGAGGGTGCTGTGTGTTTGATGTGCTCAGAGGTGTGGGTGCCATGGAGATCGTTGCTATGGACATGAAGCTTCGAGGGATGTACATCGCACGACAGCTGAGCTTCACTGGAGTGACCTTCAAAATCGAGGAAGTGCTTCTTTCTCAGAGCTATGTGAAAATGTATAACAAAGCAGTCAGACTGGTGAGAAACTGTTCTTCCTGTGTGGGATTTATTGTGCTCTCATGTCAGTTAACCAACTGAAATAGTTCTATGAAACAGCATTTGAATGGTCACATAATAGCCTGTTTAAACCAAATGTCTGTTAACCAGTTGAAATTACTTCTACTCTGAAATAGCAAATGATCAAAATAAATAAACCTTAAAAAAAAAAAAAAAGTAGCTGGACACTTTAGCCTTCCATGCCACAACACCAGCGCCTGTTGATATGTCAGTCTTGATTTGAAAGCCAACGTGAGAGAGAAAGCAAAGAGACATAGAAGTTTTAAATCCATAGGTTTGTTTTTCAGATGTTTGTAATGACCACAGCTGGGCGGGGTTACCAGAGGGAGGTCTGTACCTGCATCCGTGATTTCCTGGGGGATGGGCAGCAGCTTTCCCAGGCAGGTTGCTGGGAAGTGGGATTGGAACAGAGTAGAGAGGATAGGATTTGGATCCAAACCAGCCTTCCAGTGTAGAGGCTGTATCACACTTGGCCATGGTCCTATTTTGGAAACTATTCTTACCCACTTTCCCCTAATCCTGGATCCTTCCCACCCTGATCAACTATGTAAGCATCATTTAAAGTAAAAATTGAAAAAAGAAAAAAAAAAAGGAAGCAGACAGTCCTGGTCATATGTTAATTGTGTTGCGTTTCAGTAACTGCACTCAGATGAACTGGCTACAGTGCTGATTGTGTCTTTGCAGTGGGTCATTGCCAGGGAACGGTTTCAGCAAGCTGCTGATCTGATAGATGCTGAGCAACGAATGAAGAAGTCCATGTGGGGTCAGTTCTGGTCTGCGCACCAGAGGTTTTTCAAGTACTTGTGTATAGCTTCCAAAGTTAAAAGGGTTGTGCAACTAGCCCGGGAAGAAATCAAGAATGGAAAAGTAAGTTGGCAGATGTTTGTAATAACCTGTTGTTTTTGATGAAGTGCTTAGTCTTGGCTGATGCTAAGGTGTTCTGCTTGTAAACATGGTCTGACTGGTGGCTAGCTCTGAGTGCTCGGCGTTCAGGTAGCTGACAGCGAGCGTGATGAAGTCAGTGGCACTGTGGGTTGGCTGTTCATGACTGTCAGCACTGATGTGTGTGCCCGCGCTGCTTTAGCCTTCTGGATGAGGATACGTCTACTGAGAAGGTGAATGACTGAGTGCATACTCCTTAGGGTAGCTGTATAATCTTATTGTGTAGAATGTATAAACTCACGTACACTGGACAGTGGTGGGGCTGCTTGCTAGGGAGGTAAAATGTTTCTACATGTGCTGATTTATAATGGTGTTTTCTGTATCTATTTTTGCAGTGTGTGGTCATTGGTCTGCAGTCCACGGGAGAAGCTAGAACCTTAGAAGCCTTGGAAGAGGGCGGTGGAGAATTGAATGATTTTGTTTCAACTGCCAAGTAATGTTTTTGGCTTCTTTTTACTTCTATTACTTTAATTGTTGACATACCTGGAGATAAAATTTTGCATTCACTTGTACTATTTTTTCAACTTTTATTTATTTCTTTAGATTTATTTGTCGTTTTTATTTTGCTGAGAAGCCAGATTTATTTGTTTTTATTGGAAAGTCAGATATACAGAAAGAAGGAGCCACAGAGAAAGACCTTCTGTCCACTGGTTCACTCCCCACGTGCCTGAAATGGCCAGAGCTGAGCTGCTGTGAAGCCAGGAGCTAGGAGCTTTTGGGTCTCATGTGGGAGTAGGGTCCCAAGGCTTTGGGCCATCTTCTGCTTTTGAACACTGTAAGCAGGGAGCTGGATGGGAAGTGGACCAGACATGATATGAAATATGAATTGGTACCCATATGGAATCCCAGGCAGGCAAGGTGAGGATCCAGCCATTGGGCTGTCTCACTGGGCACTCCCCCCCTCCCCGCCTTTTTTTTTTTTAAGTTCACATGACTGAGAAGGATTCATGTCCAGGTGGACTGTTGAGCAGGGTGGGATGGGTCAAGGAATGGGAGAAAGTGGATGAGATAATTGCTTCCTTTTTTTTTTTTTTCCCCAACTTTTCTTTATGTATGTGGGGCAGGGGAGAGGGCCACTCCCAACATTTTAACTATAGTCAGGCTAATCAGTACCCGAGGCTAGGGGTGGCCATGTGATGTCATCCTAGGGTCACCAGTGTGGAGTATGTGCCATGGCTACTGCTGAAATGGTGTCAGTAGTTCTCAGATGCTCCTTTTTTTTTTTTTTTTTTTAAAGATTTATTTATTTTTATTGCGAAGTCAGATATGTTTAGAGAGGAAGAGAGACAGAGAGGAAGATCTTCCATCTGATGGCTTACTCCCGAAGGGGCTGTAATGGCTAGAGCTGAGCCAATCTGAAGCCAGGAACCTGGAACTTCTGGATCTCCCACACGGTTGCAGGGTCCCCAAATTTTTGGCCATTCTTGACTGCTTTCCCAGGCCACAAGCAGGGAGCTGGATGGGAAACAGGGCTGCCAGGATTAGAACCGCCGCCCATATGGGATCCCAGTGCGTTCAAGGCAAGGACTTTAACCGCTATGCTATCATTCCGGGCCCAGTGCTCTTGATTTTATTGCTCCAAAGTTGAAAAAACCTTCCGAAGGTCCATTGACTGACATAGTCCATCTGACCTACTCACTCACATAGATACTTGGGTCAAAGCTTGGCCATGGGAGTTGTCCAGTTCTGCCCTCCGTGGTCCTAGACGTCCTCTGCAGACCTCAGTGAGCTGTCATGTCCCCCTTTGAGTTTCTGAACATGCTGTCCACTGCCCAGGCTTCAGCAACCAAGGAAGCCCGGTTCTGGCACATACACTCTACGGTCAGACCACAGATCCTGTGATTTCCCTGTGGTTGGAGTTTTGAGTCCAGCAGTCCAGCTGCGGGGGGGAACACCAATGAAACCTTGCCCGAGATAACCCCAGACTTAACTCCTGTGTGTGCTAGCCAGTGCAAGATCCAGCTCAGTCTGTCACATGTGTCTACCTGTGGGAATGAAGTTGACAACATAGCCATTGTCACTGTATTTCTTGTTATAGGGGGTGAATTCATGTGTCTTTTAAGATGCATTTACTTGAAAGATTTTCAAAGCAAAAGTTTGATCTGTTTTTCTGTACGTTGATGTCTGTTGGGTACTTGCTACCTATGGCTTTTATTCCCATGAAGTAAGTTCAAGTTGCTGTGTGCTCTCAGTGTGGAACAGGTTCACAGCCCCTCATCTGAAGGAAAAACCATTCCCATGTGCAGTCTTGGCACAGCATGTTAGGATGACACAAGTTCACATCACGTCGCAGCTGCACCTATGGTGTCCCACTCCCTGCTCAAGTGCATGGAGAGGCAGTGAAGGGGCATGGAACCTGCCCCTCGCGTGGGTGACCCAGTTGGAGTGTCAGACTCTTGAAATTGGTCCTGGCTCAGGTCTGGCTGTTGCAGCTTTGAGAATGAAGCAGGGAGTAGAAAATCCTCCCTGTCTGTCCCTCCCTGCCTTTACAATAAGTAAGTAGTGCTTGTTTTGGCAGCACGTTTACTAACATTGGACTAGCTTGGCCCCTGCAGAAGAATAACACACAAACTGGTGAAGCGTTCCAGATCTTTGAGTTGGCAGATTATGGTAAATTTTTGCATTCTGATTGTATATTTGTGTTGTGAAAGAACACTTTTTATGCATTAAATATATTCAGTTTGTTTAATAATCAGTGGATTGATCAGTGCGTCTCTCCTTTACTCCCTGGCTGTCCACAAGTCGTGTCCTTGCCAGGCCAAGTCCAGGAGCCACCTGCTGCATCCCATTTCCCATGGCGGCAGGCTTCTCCACCCAGGGATCAGCTGCTTCTCTCCAAGTTTAACCTAGCAGGGGGCTGGATCAGAAGTCTTGCCATCAGGCCTGCCGTGATGGCCTAGTGACTAAAGTTCTTGCCTTGCATGTGCCAGGATCCCAATTGGGCTCCCGTGTGTGTGCTGGCTGCTCTACTTCCCATCCAGCATCCAACTTATGGCCTGGGAAAGGAGTACAGATGGCTATTGGCTCCTGGTTTCAGGATGGACTCAGCTCTGGCCATTGTGACCACTTGGGGAATGAATTGGCAGGTGGAAGAGCATTCTGTCTGTAGTACCTCCTTTTATATTTGCATTTTCAATAAAAAATAATAAATAAATCTTAAAGAAAAAGCATGGAGCACCCGACTGGAGCCAGCACCTTAGCATGGGTGTTGCAAGCAGTGACTTGACGTGTTAATCCATTGAGCTAGTGTCACACTGTTACAGCTCCTGCAGGTGTCAGCCGCTAGAATCTACAGACATGCTTGTGGCTTGGCTTGCAATCAGTTTCAGTCGGACAGTGTTGATGTAGAAAATTAAAATTCATTTTTAGCTGAGTCATTTTCTAAGATTAAGCGTAGTGTATTTCCTTTTAGGATATATTCTGGAATTAAGGGAGGGAAGTATGATTCTTCATTGTATGAAATTTGTTCTGTATCAATGAAAGTTTAAATGTAAATGTTAAGATTTTCAAAGTGAGTTATTTTGCCATGTGAAGGAATAATTGTCACTATTTTCTTTTTTAAAAACAGAGGAGTTTTGCAGTCCCTCATAGAAAAGCACTTTCCTGCTCCAGACAGAAAAAAACTTTACAGTTTACTAGGAATTGATTTGACTGCTCCAAGTAATAACAGTTCACCCAGAGATAGTCCCTGTAAAGAAAGTAAAGTGAAGAAGCGGAAAGGTGAGTCTTGTTTTGAGTAGTTGATGCCGACAGTGTTAGGTATTTAAACATCTTCCTGCAGCTGTGTTTGGGAATGGAGTTTGAATAAGCAAACAGTTGCATGTTTTCACGGTCATGGTTTCATAGTTGCAAGTGAACTTGTCAATTAGAGCTTCCTTTGTCCCATGACCAAATAGTCCATCCTCATCCACGTGTCTGCGCTGCAGCTTGCCTTTTGTTCAGTGTTGTGGCAGGTTCTCAAGTCCCTGCACATGTTCAGTTGAGTTGCTCAGGAGTGGTCACTGCCCCCAACAGATTTTCCCCATTGTGCTACAATGGTGTAGTCCTTCATGAGGAATCATAATTCCATCAGTCTAATTTAAGTGTACCCGACATTGTTGGTACAGACAGTGTCAGACATTCCAGCATCCCATTGTCTACACATGTCCAACAGTTTCATTGGGACTCCATCTTTCATCTGAAAGCAGGGATGCGTGTTCCATTGTTCCCCCACATCTGTATATGGTAGATCCCAGTACTCCATCACTGCATTTCCATAATTGACAAGCCATGAAACAAGGTCAACAACTGGTATGAGTCAGAACAGCCACAACAACAACATCAACAGATTACAGCACCATGAAAAACGCAACACTGAGTAATCAGCACGAGTGACAAAAAGGAAACACAAAAGTCTCTTGAGAAAAATGATCCCACCGTGTAATCCATGAGCCAATGATGAATTCGACAAGAGAAAAGAAGTTATTTGGAATAAACAAAAGAAATAAAAACACATGGGATACAGCGCAGCTCACTTTTGTCCTCTGCAGTCTTAGTCTTTGCTACACTGTAAGAAATGGCGCCTGTTCTTGATCTGCTGGCCATCAGGTCTGAAGGCCGCCCACACCTGCCTTGGGTGGAACTTGTAGGATGCCAATTGCTTGCAGTTCACTGAGCCAGAAATAGTTCAGCCCCACCTCAGTGCATGCGCAGACCAGCTCCAGAACCCTTGCCTCATTATACAAAATGGCTCCTGATTTGGCTCTAGGAGGCAAACTGGGATGTGAAATCCACCCTGTTCCCGCACTGCACATCTGGGATTTGCTGCTGGGTCTCTACTGTTGTGACTTTTTGTTGTGAATTTAATTTGAATGTTAGACATCTAGAAGTAATTTATACTAAATCTTGAGAACAAGTGTGCACAACCTGGTCCTTCATGGGATCCCTGGAGTAGCATCTGGTTGTTGGTTTATATGTTCTAATAGGTTATATAAACGCTTACCCTCTGAACTAATCTTGTGAGTGTGGTGTATTTAGATATTTAGACACATTGTTTGAACTGATTCTGTTTGGAATTTGCGCGCAGGTGATGAAATAACCCGGGAATCCAAAAAGGCACGAAAAGCGGGTGGTCTCGCCGGCAGCAGTTCCGACGACAGTGGTGGCAGTGAATCTGATGCCTCTGAGAATGAAGAGAGCGACTACGAAAGCTCCAAAAACATGAGCTCCGGAGATGATGACGACTTCAATCCGTTTCGAGATGAATCTAGTGAGGATGATGAAGATGGTGAGCTGATACGTGCTTGGAGAGTCAATGGACGGGTGGTACCGCTCAGGGGCAGTAGGTGTGCGGGGCAGTAGGTGTGCGGGGCAGAGGTCTCCTCCAGCTGCTGGTAGTTCACTGACACGTGGCTGGAGTTGAGCTCTTGGAATGCAGCAGTCAGGAGCCTCCTCCAGGTTTCTGGCTCTCCATGTGGGTGTAGGAACCTTTCTCAGGCCATAAGAAGGGCCAGACCAGAAATTGAATAACCAGGACTTAAACCAGCACCAGTATGGGATGCCAGTACCAGAGGTGGAAGCTTAATTTACCACATTGTGGTGCCACCCTTACCCTGGTACGTGTGGGTACAATATTCTGCTTCCTTATAGTCGTTGACAAAGCCAGCTCAAGGTTGCCATCAGCAGGAAGGTTCTGTACTGGTCTTCGCAGATGGTTTGAATAATCTCTCCTCTGTGTTAGATCCTTGGTTAATCAGGAAGGAACACAAGAAAAACAAAGATAAAAAAAGGAAGAAGAGCATAGATCCAGATTCGATTCAAAGTGCCTTATTAGCTTCAGGTCTTGGATCAAAGCGACCTAGCTTTTCGTCTACGCCTGTTGTCTCACCTGCTCCTAACAGCGCCGCAGGTGAGCTTGTGAAATCTTGTGTTGTCTTTGTAATACACTTGTAAACACAACAAAAGCTTAAACATTGTATTGATGTTTAACCAATATTCTCTAGCTAATAGTAATACCAACAGTAGCAACAGCCTTATAACAAGTCAGGATGCTGTGGAGCGGGCCCAGCATATGAAGAAGGACCTGCTTGACAGGCTGGAAAAATTGGCGGAAGACCTCCCTCCTAATACCCTGGATGAGCTTATTGATGAACTTGGTGGCCCAGAGAACGTGGCTGAGGTAAGGGTGGCCTCATTTTTACCTCTTTAAATCGTGCAGCGTGAGTGATAATTTTGAGTATTGTAATGTAGTCAGATTTTCTATCATTGAGCTTAAGGACCCTCTTACTAGAGGTTTTGTGTGTGTGTGTTTTGAAAAAGTTGCTTTCATTGGGGCACAGACTTCTGGCTGGTTCACTCCCCAGTGCTTCCAATGGACAGGGCTTGGCCAGGCTGATCTCTTGTGCCAGGAGTTTAATCTGAGTAGTGTGAGTGGCAGAGGCTCAAGTGTGTTTGCTCACAGAAGCCAGCAGTTGGCCCAGGCCTTCAGCTCAGAGGTGCAGGTTGACCTGCTGTGCCACAGTCCCTGCACCTCCTCCCACTTGAGCTGTTGGCCCACAGCCATGGTTTGTCTCAATGGCTGATGGGGGTTACTGGTCCTTGTCATGCAGCTTTTTTTAAAGAAATTTATTTGGGCATTGGCAGTTATGTCCATTGGTCTTTTTCCATAACTGGCAGGGTTGGACCAGACTGAAAGCAGAAACCAAGAGCCTAGATTAGGCTGGGCCAACATTGCAGCCATTTGGGGAGTGGCCTGGAGGATGGAAGCTCACTCTCTTTCTTATTCTACTTTTCTTTAAGAATTATTTTTTTATTGGAAAGGCAGCTATACAGAGAGGAGGAGACACGGAGAGGAAGATCTTCCATCTGTTGATTACTTCCCAAGTGGCCTCAACGGCCAGAGCTGTGCCAATTTGGAGCCTCTTCTGGGTCTCCCACGTGGGTGCAGAGTCCCAAGGCTTTGGGCCATCCTTTACTGCTTTCCCAGGCCACATGCAGGGAGTTGGATGGGTAACGGGGCCCGCTGAAATTAGAACTGGTGTACATATGGGATCCCAGCATGAGCAAGGCGAGGACTTCAGCCGCTAGGCTGCCATGCCAGGCCCTGCATTCTTGTTTTACATGACCAGATCCCAAGAACTTCTGCCATCCACTGCTGCTCTTTCCAGCACATTAGCACGAAGCTGACAGGCTGTTACTTGGAAATGGTACTATGATAGGGCATTGCAAGTGGCAGCTTTATCCACTGACCCGCCCCGAAGTTTCTGCCCTGTTTTTTTTTAAGATTTATTTATTTTTATTGGAAAGGCGATATACAGAGAGGAGGAGAGACAGAGAGGAAGATCTTCACCCAATGGTCCACTCCCCAAGGGGCCACAATGGCTAGAGCTGAGCCAATCCAAAGCCAGGATCTCTTCCTGGTCTCTTACATGGGTGCAGGGTCTCAAAGCTTTGGGCCATCCTCGACTGCATTCCCAGGCCACAGGCAGGGAGCTGGATGGGAAGTGGTACTCGAGATTAGAACCTGCACCCATGTGGATCCCGGCGCATTGAACGCAAGGAGCCACTAGGCTATTGTGCTGGGCTCCACCCTGTTCTGTTTTTGACAGTCCTTGTGAGCTTTGCCTAGGGCTGTTTCAGAGCCTGGTGACTGGCTGTGCTAGCACGTTTGGGCTGTGCGTCCGCATCCCGGGTCCTCTAAGGAACTGTGGTGTGTTGCTTCCCGTGGAGCTCCTCTTCTCATTGTTACAGGGGCCTCTCTTCTCTTCAATACGTATTGCTTTGCATACTGAAAACCAAAACCAACAAAACACTAACATTGTGCTTGTAGATGACGGGCCGCAAGGGGCGGGTTGTGAGCAATGATGACGGAAGCGTGTCTTACGAGTCACGGTCCGAGCTCGATGTGCCTGTGGAGATACTGAACATCACGGAGAAGCAGAGGTTCATGGATGGAGATAAGGTATGTCCTTCTGGGTTGCTTATCGGTGAAAAGTAAGCCCATATTTAAGTTTGAGGAGCCTTTTTTTATTTTTGAAAAATTTATCGTAAATCACTTCTGTTGAGTTTTATTTCTATAGATTTATTTTTACTTGCAAGGTAGATTTTTAAGATGGTGAGACAGAGGCTCTCTGCTGGTCCAGTCTGCAGATGGCGCCAGTGGCCTGCACTGAGTTCATGCAAAGCTGAAAGCCAGAAATTTCCCCTGGTCCCCCGCGTGGGTCCAAGGCCTCCAGGACTTGGCTCATTCTCTGCTGCTTTCCCAGGCCGCAAGCAGAGATCTCCATGGGAGCGAGGACAGCTGCGTAAAACCCGGTCCGTGCGTGTGGGGTGCCTGTCCCCTGCACGGCCGCTGCACACTCTGTGACGCTCTGTGATGCAGTCATTGGATATGCTGTTTTTGTTTCTCATAAGTGTTGGGAATACTTGTATTGTGTTCAGATTTTGACATAGTTCTTAATAGTTTGGGGGATCGAAAAATCTAATGAGAATATAAAAATGCTGTGTTTTGCTAGATCATGTTGGTTTCTTGACCTGTTCTTTTAGTGCAGCCAGGTTACGGATACACTTTGGTTTTGCTGTTTGTGTTGCTGTGCCTTGTTTAATTAAGATGATCATCTGTGGGAGTGAATTTCCACATCTAACCACTGTGAAGGTTTCACTAGGGCCTTCGAATTTTTTTTTAAGATACATTTATTTATTTGAAAGGCAGAGTAAGAGAGAGAGGTTGGTCTTCCACTTGTTGGTGTGTTTCCCAGTGTGACAGTGGCTTGAGTTGGACCTGTGCAGAGTCAGGAGCTTCTTGTGGGTGCCACCCTGGGGCCCTCCTCTGCACTCTCCGGGCACATTGGCAGGAAGCTGCTGAGACTCCAACCAGTGCCAGTATGAGATGTCAGCTCCCTCAGGAATTGGGCACCAGAAGCTCTGTTGTAGAATCTGCTTGTCCAGTCAGCTTCATCAGACATTAGGCTTCTCCTGTCTGTCTATATTCATCTTTTCAGTGAAACTTGAAAGTAGGCAATAGTTGCTTGCCTCAAAGTTACCTTCCAAACCTGTGTCCAGTGGATGTTGTTACAGTGAACACTGTAGGGGAGGTGTTATTTTGTGTACTGTTTTATGCATCTGGTCATACATTTCTTAGGAATTGTGTTTGTTAGGTGGACTGCTAAATGACAACGTGTAAAATCTTGTTTTGCACAGGACACATGTTGGGTAACTGCGTCAGGGTGTTGCCCTTAATGATGTACTTCCATTTCCAAGTTGGCTGTGTGTACAAGGGCAGGTTTTAGGTCCAGTATTTTTTAAAGATTTATTTATTTTTTTTACAAAGTCAGATATATAGAGAGAGGAGGAGAGATAGAGGAAAAGATCTTTCATCCTGTGATTCACTCCCCAAGTGGCCACAACGGCTGGTGCTGTGCCGATCCGAAGCCAGGAGCCAGGGACTTTCTCCAGGTCTCCCACACGGGTGCAGGGTCCTTGGGCCGTCCTCGACTGCTTTCCCAGGCCGCAAGCAGGGAGCGGGATGGGAAGTGGAGCTGCTGGGATTAGAACTGACACCCACATGGGATCCCGGCGCGTTCAAGGCAAAGACTTAGACTGCTAGGCCACCGTGCCAGGCCCTTTAGATTCTATCTTTACCTCTACCTTGTTGCTGCAGAGAGGAGAAAGTATAGGAGTGGGCTTTGTCTTCTGCTTTTCTGGAAGGTTCCTGGGCATTATGCATAACACCTACACTACTGCACGTGCTCACACTTAAGTGTAAATGAGGAACTCTCACCTTGATGCACGCCCTCCGTCTGGGGACGGACCGTATCACTCACTGTCCTGCCACATGCAAAGTTGACTTTTTCTTCTTCTTGATACAGAACATTGCGATCATCTCGGAGGCTGCCAGCTCAGGCATCTCATTACAAGCAGATCGGAGAGCTAAAAACCAGAGGCGAAGAGTTCACATGACTTTGGAGTTACCGTGGAGTGCTGACAGAGCCATTCAGCAGTTTGGTGAGTTCTGCAGTGCATTTCCCTGGAGGAATGGGTAATAGTCTGGGGGATCTGTCTACATGGAATGTCGTCGGGCTTGAGCCCTTAGATTCTGCGTTGGCAGTGTGCTGCGTGTCCGTCCTCCAGGATGACCAGCACGTCGACACAGTCTCGCCTTAGCTCTAGAGCAGCCACGAAGGGCTCAGTGTGGGGGCACAGCCAGGCAAGCTGGCCGCTCAGGATACCACTATCCTATTCTTATTACTACTTTTTAACATTAAAAAGATTTATTGCAAACCTTTTTTAAAGATTTTTTTTTTATTGCAAAGTCAGATACACAGAGAGGGGGAGAGACAGAGAGGAAGATCTTCCATCCGATGATTTACTCCCCAAGTGACCGCAATGGCCAGAGCTGAGCCAATCTGAAGCCAGGAGCCAGGGACTTCTTCTGGGTCTCCCACGTGGGTGCAGGGTCCTAAGGCTTTGGGCTGTCCTCTACTGCTTTCCCAGGCCACAAACAGGGAGCTGGAAGGGAAGTGGAGCTGCTGGGATTAGAATCGGCGCCCATATGGGATCCTGGTGCACTTAAGGCTTAGCCACTACGCCACTGAACCAGGCCCTTGAATGTTTTTAAATTTTACTTCAAAGTCAGAATTGGAGAGAGGGTAAGTCAGAAAGTTCCATGTTCCGGGCCCGGAAGCATGGCCGAGAGTTCCTCATCGAGGTCTCTAGCACGTCATCCGAGGACCATCCCCTCACTTCCCCTGCATAACAAGAGGAACAAGCCTGAAACGTGTGTCCCCCACATCTTCCTTCATCCCTGACCCTCCCCTTCGTGAGCAGAAGCCCGGAGACATGCGTCCTCTTAATAATGTAAACTATAGTAAACATAAATTTATAAAATACAAAGTACAACTGCTGGGGCAGAAACTGGTGTCAATTGGCTCAATGCAATGGCCTTGTGTCTGAGTCCTCGTCTTGCATTCTCTACAATCCCACATGGGCACTGGTTCATTTCCTTGCTGCTCTACTTCCCATCCAGCTCCCTGCTTGTGGCTTGGGGAAGTGCCGAGGGTCCCGGAGCCTTGGGACCCTGCATGCATGTAGGAGACCCAGAAGAAGCTCCTGGCTTCTGGCTTTGGGTGAACTGAACTCCAGCCACTTTCACTACTTGAGAAGTGAATCAGAGGGCAGAAAATCTTTCTGTCTCTATAAATCTCTCTTTCCCCTAGAAATAAGTAAGAATTTTAAAAAAGCACAACAGCTGTTAGCCATGTGGCATACAAACTCCACAGGCACAGAATAAGCTCGCTACAGTACCGCCCTTGCAGGAGTGTCTCACAAGAGAGCTGGCTCATGTTTGGCTGCTGCACTCCATTCTGGCTCCCTACTGGCACACCTGGGCAAGCAGTGAGAGATGGGCCTTCTGCTAACCTTGTGGAAGAGTTGGGTGAGGTTTTAGGCTCTTGGTTTTAGCCTGTCCCAGCCCTCGCCATTGTAATCATTTTGGGAGTGAACCAGCAAATATAGTCCTCTGGGCTGTGCTGACCTGGCAGGAGCAGTTGATTGTTCCAAATTTAGCTATTAATGGACTAGCTCAAGTCTCTACTTTTCAGTCCTTACAACTTGTTGAGTTAGAAACAGTATTTGTGATGGGCCCGGCACGATAGCATAGCAGCTAAATTCTTCTACCTGAATGTGCTAGAATTCCTATGTGGGCGCTGGTTCCAATCCTGGCAGCTCCACTTCCCATCCAGCTCCCTGCTTGTGGCCTGGGAAAGCAGCCAAGGACGGCCCAAAGTCTTGGGACCCTGCACCCATGTGGGTGACCTGGAAGAAATTCCTGATCAGGTCAGCTCTGTTGCAGCCACTTTGGGAGTGAACCAGCAGACAATGGTTCTCTCTGTCTCTCCTCCTTTCTGTAAATCTGACTTTCCAATAAAAATACATAAATCATAAAAAAAGAAAAAGGACCAGCTGAGGCATAAACCTGTACCCAGATGAGATGCCCATGCCACAGGTGGCAGTTTAGCATTCTACACCACAGTGCCAGCCGGCTTTGTATCTTGTACTGCTGTGAATATCAGTGTCCTTCAAATTACTGTTTCTAATTGGTTCCTGTTAGGTAGCTACGATACGTGGTTTTTCTCCTATTTAAAGACTTCTTAAGTGCAGTTTAGCTCCAAGCACTGGAAATAAGTTTCAGATAGGTGTCAGAATTTCTGCGCTCTTTCTTGTGAACACAATTAATGATCTCTATAAAAATGCCATTGTAGGAAGAACTCACAGATCAAACCAAGTTACTGCTCCCGAGTATGTCTTTCTGATTTCGGAATTGGCGGGAGAGCAGAGATTCGCGTCCATTGTTGCTAAGAGACTCGAGAGTCTGGTGAGTTAGAGCTGTCGGTGCCTATGGACGGTGACCTGTGACCCCTGGCTCCTGTCCGAGAACTCCTTTGGGCATGCACCTGTGTCCCTGACCTCTGCCCGAGAGGTCCCATGTGTGTTGATTGATAGGACATTTTCTGTATCACTAGGGTGCGCTTACCCATGGGGACAGAAGGGCAACAGAGTCCAGGGACCTGAGCCGGTTCAACTTTGACAACAAGGTATGTCTGGAGCACTGTGCTCCTCCCTGTGAGTGCAGCGAAGACAAAAGGGAGGGGAGTACTGCTTCAGACTGCACACTGCAGCTTCCTGGGCCTCGTGGAGGGCGTGGAAAGACTTAAAGGAAGCGAAGTTCATTTATCAAATACGAACAGACATTAAGTAGGCGGTATAAAAATATGTATTGAGAGTTTCTTTTTTTAAGTTTGTGTAATAATAGGTGTTTTTTATTATTGAACAGTAGAGACTGATATTTAACCACCCATTCTCCCCAAGTTGTGGTAATAGCCAGGGCTGTGTCAGGCTAAAGCCAGAGAGTCCCGTCTAGGTCTGCTCTTCGGGGGCAGATACTCCGGATGGTTGAGCGCTCCCGCTGCCTACTCCCTGCTTGCACATGTGCAGGAAGCTGCATTGGGAGTGTAGTAGCTCGAGTTTGAACCAGCCACTAATGGGGGTGTTGTGTCCCCAAAGGTGACCTAATTACTGTGTCCCGAAGCCCAGCACCAGGAACAGTTTATAACATCTAACTAGTTGTGTGATTGAAGAACATCTGATAGACAAAACCACTGAAGATGCTTTTGGTTTTTTTTTTTGTTTGTTTGTTTGTTTGTTTGTTTGCAGTATGGAAGAAATGCGTTGGAAATTGTCATGAAGTCCATTGTTAACTTGGATTCTCCTATGGTATCTCCGCCTCCAGATTATCCTGGAGAGTTCTTTAAAGGTAACTTTAATATGTAAACATGAGGGGAAGATAACCTCCAACATTTCTGTTCTCTCATGGTTTCAATTTTTTCTTTTCCTTTGCAAATAAATTGCCGAAAACTTAGATGTTTTAAAGATCATTGGAGTAAGACAACTTTAGTGAAACTGATTTCATAGGAAGATACCTTTCCTCTTTCTGTGTTTCTGTTAAAGCAGTTGAAGAAAGCATCACCAGGTTCTGATTAAGCTATTTTTTGTAAGATTTTATGTGACAGAAATCTGTCTGCTGATTCATTTCTCAAATGGCCAAAGTAGCCAGGGTGGGTTTGATGGAAGCCAGGAACCTGAAGCTTCCAGAAGTGGTATACATTGGGCTAGCACATTGACTCACGAGGCTAGTCCTTCATCTCCAAGTGCAGGCTTCCTATATGGGCACTAGTTCATATCCCAGTTGCTCAGCTTCCCCTCAAGCCCCCTGCTTGTAGCCTGGGAAAACAGTAGAGGATTGCCCAATGCCTTTGAACCTTGTGTCTGTGTGGAAATTAAAAAGAAACTTCTGGCTCCTGGCTCTTTACTCCTAGGTTCAGGGTGACTCGGCTCTAGCCGATTTGGCTATTTAAGGAGTGAACCAGTGGATGGAAAATCTTTGTGTGTACTTTTTGCGATAAAAAGTGCCCTTCCAAAAGAAATAATAAATGCTTTTAAAGTGATACATCTGGTGCTTAAACCAGTGTCTTAAGTGAGATACAAATGTTAAAAGTACCTTCACAAAATTATTTAAATAGCTAATAGTCTGCTATCTACCCAAAATTTGATTTTGTAGTTGGTAACTTCACACAGCACTCCAAGTCTAGGCTGTTGTTGGAAAGGTAAGTTTTTAAAACATTTGCTTATTTTTATTGGGAAGGCAGTTCTGTGGAGAAAAGGAGAGAAAGATCTTTCATGTACTGGTTCATTCTCCAAATTCCTGCAAAGGCCAGAGCTGAGACTAAATGAAGCCAGCAGCTTCTTTTGGGTCTCATATGGGGCAGGGTTCCAAGGACTTGATCTGTTTTCTACTGCTTTCCCAGACCATGAGCAAGCAGCAGCCAGGACACGAACAGGTGCCAGTATGGGACGCCAGAATTGGCCGGCTCAGGATTACCAAATGGAGCCATTGGGTTAGCCCGAGGGGGTATATTTTAATGAAGCATTGGAGTATAATGTGTAGAGGGTCTGAAGATCTTTGAACTAAGAATTCAATTCAGTTACTGTTTGGAATGGTGATAGATGATAGGCTGTTAATGGTAGAACTTAATCTAGTTTGAATTAGGTTATAACTCATGGAAACATTTCAGTTAGGTTTTTTGTTCTTGTTTTTGTTTTTAAAGATTATTTATTTATTTATTGGAAAGTCAGATATACAGAGAGGAGGAGAGACAGAGAGGAAGATCTTCCATCTGATGATTGACTCCCCAAGTGACCACAACAGCCCATACTATGCCGATCCGAAGCCAGGATCCAGGAACTTCCTCCAGGTCTCCCACACGGGTGCAGGGTCCCAAAGCTTTGGGCCATCTTGACTGCTTTCCCAGGCCACAGGCAGGGAGCTGGATGGGAAGTGGAGCTGCCGGGATTAGAACCGGCACCCATATGGGATCCTATGCATTCAAGGCGAGGACCTTAGCCTCTAGGCCATGCTGCCAGGCCCCCCCCCCTTTTTTTTTTAAACAATTTTTTTTCTTACAGATGTTCGTCAAGGATTGATAGGAGTTGGCCTGATCAATGTGGAAGATCGCTCAGGAATTCTTACTCTGGATAAAGGTCATATTGTTAACTTGTGTTTAACTTTTTACATTAATGAAAATGTATTTTGTCACAAATACTGCAGGTCAGCAGTTTTGAATGTCCATTAGGAAGTGTAGGTGGGGGGTTGATGGCTCCCTTCTGTCCGTGGAGTGGCAGTTACAAATCCTGGTTCCAAGTATGGGCCACGGTCTCACTTTGAAGCCCTGAAGCCAGGAGGCAGGTGCATAATAGGCAGTCTCCCAAACTCTCAGACATTCTAATCGTGCAGCCGAGATTGAAATTTACACTTTGGGAGTTAAGATGTGTTGCTGGAGAACCAACCTACTTCGGTGGTAAATTCTGGACTCTGTTAACATAAAATAGTTGAATTCAGCAACCCTCTTGAGCAGATGCGATGCCTGGGAGAGTACTGGGAGTTCCTAGAGGCAGAACTGGGCGCGTTGTAGCCCTGTTGTGGCAGCATTGCCAGGGCTGGAAGACATTCAGAAGAGAATGTGGGACTTGAACCCCTCCCCCTTCCAGTTCAGTTCTTTTCTCCGGCTCTGCTTGTGTTTGGGGTGCTGGTGGGAACATGGACTATTCCTTGCCGTCTGACTCCATTAGCACCCAGGAACTTCCACTTGATGATCGCTTAGAGAGAGACCTCAGTATTGGGAGGAATGCTCCAAGGGTGTTAACCTGACATGATTTTGATATTCTTAGATGTCATTGGCTTTGTTGCACCAGGGTGTATATCTTGTAAAGTGCTGTTTGAATGAACTGCGTTACCTATGTCATCTTTCCGTTGCAGATTATAACAACATAGGAAAATTCTTAAATAGAATTTTGGGTATGGAGGTGCATCAGCAGAATGCGTTATTTCAGTATTTTGCGGACACACTTACTGCAGTTGTTCAAAATGCCAAAAAAAATGGAAGATATGACATGGGAATCTTAGGTAAGTGGGGCAGATTTTTTTAAAATTTATTTATTTTTATTGGAAAATCAGATATATAGAGAGGAAGATCTTCTGTCCACTGATCCACTCCCCAAGTGGCCACAACAGTGAAGCTGAGCTGATGCGAAGCCAGGAGCTTCTTCGGGTCTCCCATGCTGGTACAGAGTTTCAAGGCTTTGGGCCGTCCTCAGCTGCTTTCCCAGGCCACAAGCAGGGAGCTGGATGGGAAGCGGGGCTGCCGGGACATGAACTGGCACCTACATGGGATCCCTGTGATTTAAGGCGAGGATTAGCTAATTGAGCCATGGCACTAAACCCAATGGGTAAATTTTTTTACATGGACCTGTTGCATTTTTTCAATTAAGATCTTGGATCTGGAGATGAAAAAGTGAGGAAAACTGATGTTAAGAAGTTCCTGACTCCAGGATACTCAACTTCTGGGCATGTGGAGTTGTACACGGTGAGTGTAGCAAGCTTCAGCCTTTCTGCAGTTGGCCTTTACGGAAGTGAGTGCAACTTAACTCTTTGTGTTTCTTTTCTAGATCAGCGTAGAAAGGGGAATGTCTTGGGAGGAAGCCACCAAAATTTGGGCGGAACTGACAGGACCAGATGATGGTTTTTACTTGTCATTACAAGTATGGCTTTTCTTTTCTGTGTTTGCTACTGAGATTTAGAATGTTTTCACAGAGATGCTCCTGGTTTTGTGCATGTTTCCCAGTTACATTTGTTCCCTCTATCCTGGTGACTTGTTGCTGTAATTGCAGGTTTATTGTGAAATAATATTCACAATAATTTTATGTGTTAAATGCCACTTTTCCTATGTGTGTGTATATATGATTGTTCACCTATGATTACTTATTTATAAAGCTTGGGAAATGAATGCATATGTATACTGAGGAAATATTGTGAAAATTAGAATTAAAAGGTCAATTTTTTTGAGTACAGGAAACTGAAATGCATGAGCATACAAGGTCTTGGCAGTGTGGCATGGATATTGGGGAGCAGCGTTGCAGCACAGTGGATAAGGCTGCCACCCCAGACATTGCACTCCTCCTGGACTCCCTTTGTGTCCAGTTAGCCTGGATAAAAAAAAATGGAAGTGGATCCAAGCAGTTGGGTCTCTGCCGCACGTGTGGTGTCCCAGGCTTCAGCCCTGCTGGAGTTGGTTTCAGCCTGACACAGTCCTGGCTATTGCGGGGGTAGAGGGGGTGGGGAACGCTGTCAAGGAAAGACTCACTGTTTCTCTCCTCCCAACTTCTGCCCCTTTAATTGTAATAACTTTCAAAATTAAAAAAAGAAATACATGTTTATACATGCAGACATTTTCCAGCATTTTATTTCTGTTGGATTTGTCTGTGTCCCTCCCCCCCCCCCAATATTACAGTTCCATAGGCTCAGATATTTCCCCTCCCCATTACCTGATAGGTTTGCCTATGTAGTAGCCTAGTGGCAAACCTCCTTGCCTTGTATGCACCGAGATCCCATGTGGGTGCCCGTTCATATCTTGGCTGCTCTACTTCCCGTCCAGCTCCCTGCTTGTGGCCTGGGAAAGCAGTCAAGGACGGCCCAAAGCCTTGGGACCCTGCACCTGCATGGGAGACCCAGAAGAAGCTCTTGACTTTGAATTGGCTCAGCTCCAGCTTTTCCTGCCACTTATGGATTAAAGTAGCCAATAAAAGTAAATCTTTTTTTAAGAGATTATTATTATATTTTTTTTATTTGAAATGAAGATTTACAGAGAGAATCCACCTTCCAATGGTTCACTCCCCTGTTGTCACAGCGTCTGGTCCTGTGGCAGTTCAAAGCCGTGCTCTGACATTTGCCCAGTTCATAAATATGGAGCTGAATTGGAGGTGGAACAGCCAGGAATGTACCCAGCAGCCATATGGGATGCCAGTGCTGCGGGCAGAGGCTAAGCTTGTATGCTACAGCACCGACCCCTCAGCATTGATTTTGTTTGAGAGACTGACAGAGGGACAAAGAACTGCAGTGCCTTGACAACTTTTCCATTGCCCGCAGTGGCCCCAGCTGCTGCCGAAGGCTAGAGCTAGGAACTCAGCCCAGCTGTCCTGTGTGGCTCGTGGGGACTTAGTCACTTCAGCCATCACTGCCGCCTCACTGTGTCTGCACTGCTGGCAAGCTGCAGTCAGAAGCCCTAGCTGGGACACCAATCTGCGACCTCCATTGTGGGGCCCTGGGCATCTTCTTGTGTCAATCAAATGCCCACTGCAGTTGTCTTTGAATTCCCTAGCCCTGGCATCACTTTGAAATGGCCTTGTATGAAGTGCTATACATACTGAGCACATGCATTCGTGTGTAGTGCTGTGTCTTACATGCGTGGTCGGCTTTGTGCTTTCTCACAGTTCTGTGTCCTCGCGCCGGCGGGTGTATCCATCTTTCAGATGTTTATGTTTGCTTACATGGTGGTGTGAAATGAGACTCCGCTTTACAGGATTGAATCATCTTTGCTGCTTCCTTTTTAATAGATAAGAAACAACAAGAAAACTGCAATCTTAGTCAAAGAAGTGAACCCCAAAAAGAAGCTTTTCCTGGTTTATCGACCAAATACTGGGAAACAACTGAAGTTAGAAATTTATGCTGATCTAAAAAAGAAGTATAAAAAGGTATTTTCTCATTTGTACATTGTATTACATATAATTGTTTTATAATATGTTGCAGTTGGATTTTTGCCTAATAAAGGGAAGTTGGTTAAAGTTGTGTTAGACTGATACTGTACTTGTAGTTGTGTCCGCTGCTAAGACATTTCCTAGAGCCTATGACCTCATCTATGTTCCTGGAAAGGGAAGCTGTCAGCATTAACTGCAGGTAGAACCTTCCAGAAAAGGGACGTGACGGGGCTGAACATGTGGTCCTGATAAGGGAAAGCTGTCAGTGCTAACTGCATGAAAAACCTGCAGTTTTGAGCAAGATGCTGTTTAATGTTTTCTGTTGATTTCTAGAAAAAAGTAAAACTAGTTCTTCCTACTTTCTCTTAGATTTTATTAGCAATATTCATATATACATATTTATAATATATAATTCATTTTATATTTATATATTTGTTTCCATAATTTATTTACATTTATGTATAATTTTATATATAAAACAATTTCTATCTTTTCTCATCTGGAAACGAGCATAAATTAGCTTGTTGAAAAATTGCACACAAGGAGTCATGGCCGTGCTTCTTGAGTGACAGTCAAGTTCAGCACACAGCAAGGGTTGGCTTGCCTTTTTTTTTTTTTTTTTTTTTTTTTTTCCTCCTAAGATTTTTTTACTTTTATTGGAAAGTCAGATATACAAAGAAGAGGAGAGTCAGAGAGAAAGCTCTACCGTCTGCTGATTCACTCCCCAAGTGGCCATAAGGGGCAGAGCTGAGCTGACCCGGAAGCCAGGAGCTTCTTCCGGGTCTCCCACGTGGGTGCAGGGGTACAAAGCTTTGGGCGTCCTCCACTGCTTTCCCAGGCCACAAGCAGGGAGCTGGGTGGGAAGCAGGCCTGCCAGGATTATGGGATCCCAGCATGTTCAAGGCGAGGACTTTAGCCGCTAAGTTACCTCACTGAGTGCACTGGGTTTCCTTTGTAGAGACCTGTTAATGTTGGCTGCCGTGTGAGACAGGCTCAGGCCGCCAGTGCCCTGAAGAGCAGCTAATTCACTGGAAGCTTTCCTGTGTTTCAGGTCGTCTCGGATGATGCCTTGGTGCACTGGCTGGATCAGTATAATTCATCTGCAGATACTTGCACTCATGCTTATTGGTTAGTATGTTCATGTTTTCCAAAGGTTGATTTAAAATTTAAGCCCAGCTTCACTCTTTGCATTATGTCTGTTTTTTTCCCTTTATTTTTATTTATTTATTGGAAAGTCAGATCTGCAGAAAGGGAGAGAGACAAAGATTTTCTGTCCATTGATTCCCTCCCCAACTGGTTGCAGCAGCTGTTGATGAGCTGAAGTTTCCCAGTCTCCCACACGGGTGCAGGGTCCCAAGGCCTTGGGCCGTCCTCCACTGCTTTCCCAGGCCACAAGCAGGGAGCTGGATGGGAAGTGGAGCTGCTGGGACATGTGTTGGTACCCATGAGGGATCCAATCACGTTCAAGGCAAGGACTCTAGTTTCTAGGCCACTGTAGTGGGCCTGCTGTTATGTCTTTATTAGTAGAGGAGCTGAGCACATTAACTTCTCAGGAGTGGCTCATTCATCAGAAACGTGTCTTCAGAGTTTGTGGTCCAGACCTTGGTCGTTTGGGGTCCACTTTGCTTGGTGCTGCCGGCTCTGCCTGGTGATGGACTGTCATCCTTGGCGCTATTCTCACCCTCTTAGTTTTAATATTTAAAAACAAATAGGGCTGGGTGCAATAGCCTAGAGACAGGAAGGCACTAGGAAGTGCCAGGCTTTTGTTTTTGGTTTGGTTTGGGGTTTTTGGGGGAGCGTTGTGGGGTGAGGGAGGTGGACATCAGATACACAGGAAAATCTTCCATCCACTGTTCACTGCCAAAGTGGCCGCAACAGGTGGCACTGCACTGATCAGAAGCCAGGAGTCTGGAGATTCTTCCAGGTCTCCCAAACAGGTGCAGGGTCCCAAGGCTTTGGGCCATCCTTGACTGCTTTCCCAGGCCACAGCAGGGAGCTTAGTGGGAAATGCGGCTGCCAGGATTAGAACCGCCGCCCATATGGGATCCCGGCATGTGTGAGGTGAGGACTTCAGTGGCTAGGCCAGGGCGCCAGGCCCAGAAGCAGTTTTAATGATCAGTAGCACTGTCAGAAGCAGGAAGGGTGAAGGATGGTAGTGTATTCCCAGGGAGCTGTGAGCTAGAGGCTCAAAGGGCAGTGCTGAAATGTGCTCTCCCTGGGGTAGCCCTATCAAAGCTGTTAGAATTATGTGTGTCTTAGTGAAATATGTTTAGTATGTATTTTTTTTTTCCCTGTCTTTCCTAGGCGTGGCAATTGCAAAAAAGCCAGTTTGGGATTAGTCTGTGAAATAGGTCTCCGATGCCGCACTTACTATGTCTTATGTGGCTCAGTACTCAGTGTGTGGACGAAAGTGGAGGGTGTTCTGGCATCTGTCAGTGGAACAAATGTGAAAATGCAGATAGTGCGGCTAAGAACAGAAGATGGACAACGAATTGTAGGTGAGCCTAATTTTTCACTTTGCTATGAAACAAGTGGAAAATAAATTGTATGTTTTATTTTCCACATTGGGCTGCTTCTGTCTCAGTCTATTCCAGAGGCATCTAATCTGACATGGACTCCAGTATGCCGTGTGCATTCTCACAAGGTAGACCAGAAGTGGAATGAACAGGGTGGTTCTGGTGTTGCCATGGGGTCCTCTGGTGGTGGAGCTCTCAGCCCACCCTCTCCCCTTTCATACTGTAGTGTGCAGGTTCCCGGAGCAGCTCAGTGCCTTGCTCAGGGCTCTTCCCGGAGCCTGCTGTACGCTGGAACTCAGAGCCCTGACAGTTACAGAAGGCAGGAAAACAGGCCACCTGTTGTCCACTGGCCTGTTGGATGCATCTGCCTGCTTGCCCAGCTTTGACTTGCTTTGCAGCAGCCTTTCTCTGTATCCTCAGCTCACAGGGGCAGCCTGTGGGCCAAAGTTAGTCCATGAACTTTTTTATTTGACTAGGTGTTTTACTTGTTCCAAGTTTTCATTTGAATTAAATTCGAACATTTAAAGCTTAGGAGGTCTGCTTAACAAAAGTCTGGATTTCCAGCTGCTTTTTAAGAAACAAAGAGTAGCAAGCTTATCAGGACCTTGGAGTCCACATTCCCACATGAGAGTAGAGTTCCTTCCCTGGGTCTGCGCTTCCCAGCTTCGTGGTGTCTGCCTTACTGCACAGCCTTTCGGAGTCAGCTGCTCACGGGAGCATTTACACCCAGAGCTCCTGCTCTGTGGTCTTTCTGGTGCTGTAGTGCTTGGCACAGAAGGTGCTCTTTGTGAGAAGATGGTAGATGGCAAAATCCAGGGCTGACCTTGTGTCGCTTTACTAAGAAGACGATGTTCTCCTGGACACATTGGAACCCTGCAGTGTGGGCGGGGGGTCTGACTGCATCGCGGTAAGCACTGCCAATGTTAGCAACTTTTTTCTGTGTGAATTTGTTGTTCACTGTGCTCGTCATGCCTCACTTCGAATCTGCTGAGACTGAAAGTACAGCCTCCGTACGCTCTCTGCGAACAACTGTGTCAGTTCTTGTTACTGATTGCAGGTTTGATCATTCCGGCAAATTGTGTGTCTCCGCTTGTCAATCTTCTCTCCACTTCGGATCAGTCCCAGCAGCTTGCAGTGCAGCAGAAGCAGCTGTGGCAGCAGCATCACCCACAGAGCATCGCCAGCCTAAGCAATGCCTAGAGGACAGAGGGGATTTGAAAGGCCGACGAAGCATATCATTTGCCTCAAAATCAGGGACAGTTTCCAAAGAATTATATATTTTTTCAGTTGTGCTCTCTAGTTAATTTGGAGGGAATGAGTACAAACCTGGAATAGGTAGCAGAAGTGAGGATCAGCAGTGCCGATGGGGGTGCGTTTGTCGTTCTTTTGCTTTTCTCCTAGGACTTGCTATGTACTTCCACTTGGGGGCACAAGGGGAGGTGTGTGTGCGTGTGTGCTTGTGTGTGTGTGTGTGTGAGCCTACAAACCACAACTGGTTTTAATGCTTAGAACTTGCTAATGTGGCTTTACGTTTCTCTTGTACAGCGCTCAGGGTTAGCACAGTCCATCCATGCCGTGCCGGGGAGCTCTCCCCGGGTGCATGTGTGTTGGCGTCCGTAAGTACAGAGCATACATGTCGGGTCCCTTCCAGCTTACGCCATAGGTTTACCACAGCATGAACTGAAAGGTTGCACATCATACATTCAGGTTCTTTCCCAGCTTTTCTGACAGTGCATGTTTTGAAAGCATGCGTAAACAAGATTAACACAGAAGTCGTTATGGAGAGAAATGTTTGTGGCTGTACAGCATTGGTGATTGCCTTTTTATAGTATTTCTAATTGCGAACGCCTGTAGTCCTGTGAGCCCTGCCCCGAGTTTCCTGTCGGAGTCATGACCATGTACCTTTTTTTGTGGTAATACTCTTAAAAGTTCATTTTAATGTATTAATAGTATTCCTAATGTGTGCTGCAAAAAGAAAAAAAAATGGCTCTAAGCCTTTTTCCTTAAAGTTACATTTTCCTTAACTTAAAAGGTAGTTTAGAAGTACAAATTGGCTTCCATGTTACAATCTTTTTTTACTTAATTCATTGACTTTGTCATTCATCAAGAAAATCGTACTTGAGTTGTAAACTAGACAATGAGGAAACACTTGAGGCTCTGCTGGATGTTCTTTTCTTGTTGTTGGTGGTGTTATTGTTACCCAGTAACTTGAATATTGTTTAATGTATTGTAATACATTGTAGAGTTTATCTTAAGCTGTTAAATTGTAATGTACAAATGTGAATAGATACTTATCTATAATAGGGTAACTTTTGGTTTACCTATAATAGATGTTTCTAAAAACAAGTGAGGGGATAGTTGGTCTTTTTTTTTTTTTTTTTTTTTTTTTTTTGGCACAAGTTGCACTATTGAAAATTGAGATTGTATAAACCTGGTCAAAAGCAGCAAGATACCCAAATCTTGTAGCTGTCCAATAAAAAGCTGTTGTCCTAACGAGCAGTGGACTCTTGTTTAGGTCTCCCCGGATGCTCACGGTGGTCTGTGACGGGACCCTCAGAGCTTACGTTCCAGGTCACCTAGTGCAGTCTGGCCCATAGTCCACTCCTAATACCTGACAGGCGCTGAGAAAGATGGGGAGTATTTTCAAATGAGGCTGTTTCCTTTGTACCTTCTGAACCTTGGTGCCAACTCGGGTGAGAGGAGTGCTGGTGGATGGAGACCTGTGGACAGCTTTAGCTTTCATCCTCTGCTTCTTCAAGCCCGAGATTGGTTCTGTTAAGTTTACCACAACTTTTCCTTATAGATTTATTTATTCTTGGTGCCTAAAAGGACACATTGTGAGTAATTTTTGTTCTTTGGCATATTCTGCCCAGTGGATGCAACTTTTATCCTCAGTCCAGTCCATGTATCTCAGGCAGTGACGAGACAGATTCACCAGTGCCCCTCGTGTGGGCTGCTAGATCCGCTGGCCTCTTATAGCAGGATGGACCTTCCCTTCCGTCCAGTGGTCCAGGCAGCTGGCCGCAGCTCCGGACGGCACCAAGTAGCACTGAGGAAGCAGGCGTGGAGCAAAAGTGCTTCTGCAGTGAGATGGAGTGATAGGGCTGCGGGGAGGCTGACTTGGTCAGCAGGGTCAGGTTCCCCAGGGCGGTGTCCAGGATTGGCAGGATTCCTATTGTGATGCTGATGCCTGTCTTGGTGACATGGCGCGGGCTCCCGAATCGGCCATTTTCACCCAGGCACCTGTGTGGTAGGTTTTTAATACAGGAGTCCGTGAGTCCTTACCTGGAAGTTCTTTCCAGAAGGCAGCCGGGACACGTGGCTGGAAGCTGGGGTGCTGTGTGCACGTGCACGTGTCTACCTTGGTGCCCACCCTCTCTGGACATCTGCCCTGGGTCAGTGACCAGGAAGTCCCCAGGACCTCAGCGCCACGCCTGAGCGGGAAGCCTTCTCCAGCCCAACAGAAGCCCATGGGGCCTATGCAATGCCTTTTTTCCATTTAGCAATACAACTTTGAGCACAAAGATTGGGTTGGTGTTTTCAGAGTTCACAGTGTTGATTGTACTGAAAACCACTGCCAGGTCCAGGCCTGCTCCTGCTGTGTCAGGCATCAGTTCTTCCTCCAGCCCCCTGCGTGCTCAGGAGCCTCTGTCTGCAGTGTAGTGCGAGGATCTGGTTTCTAAAACCATCTCTGAGTCACAGTAGGCGTGTTGAACACTTTCCTCTTACTGCTCCTACCTTGCAGGTATGCTTTCATGTGTGTGTACTAGCAAGAGCCTGCATCCAAAGCACTGTAGTAGTGCGAGTATATGTATCTGTATATATTCGTGTAAATATATATATATGTTTATTTATTCTAGCACTTCAGAAACTTTTGAGTTGCAACAATCAACCTTACAGTTTGAGTTGTCTTTCTCAGTAGAGGTGAGGGTTCTAGACTAGTTCCAGGGCAGTGTAGTATTTCAGAGGCACAAACTAAGCTGTAGCCATTGGGTGCTCACGTGCCAGAACAGCGTGTAATGGGTGTGGGCCGGAGGGTTCCAGGGCCACATGGAGGTTGTGTGATGGCAGCGTCCTCCCAACCGCTTTTCCTGATAGTGTGAGGAAGAGCAGCGTTCCCCGAGAGATGACTGACACAGTAGGGCCACAAGATCCCTGGAAGGTCCTTTCCCAAAAGAAATGGAAGAGAATGATCCCCCTGGCTGAGCCTGGGTGGCAGAGTCGCTGTGGGCTGGTGTTGAGGAGGTAGGCTTAGGGCAGCCTCTCTGGACAGGCCCTGGCTGGCTGGCACTACCCCCATGTGCACAATTGGTTGCTGCTCAGCTGCAGCCAACATTTTCTTACTCGTTGCCAGTTGTCCAGATGCCCTGTCTGAAGTGAAAGAGCCATGTCTGCGTGCCGGCTTGAGCTGTCTGGCATTGTTTTCTGAGTAGTTGAGGTAGAATTCCAAAGCCGCTCTCTAATTGTATGCTGTACCTACGTGTATGTAAATAAACATGTTGTGTATAGAGAAATGCTGAGGTCTTTGTACATATTTCTTGTACATTGGGACCCTGACCTGTGTTTTCGCTTGCTTCTTGCCAGTCCTGTTTCTGCTTTCCTTAACTTCCTATATGGGTCATTTTACTGCTTTTTTTTTAAATGTTTATAAAAGTATGAGAAACTCATAGTTTGTTCCTGTATTTTATAATTCAGTTTTACATCTATACCTTAGAATTCCTGTCTGCTTTGTGCAAAGATTTTTCAACATACCTAATTGTGTTTTGCATTTTCCTTATTGCTTTTCCTGGGTGTGATGAATTGGGGCCAGTCCTGGTGCTGCCTGATGTTTTCACAGAAATAAAAACAAGACTTTGTGTTGCTAAGCCCCCTCTGACTTGCTCAGTGTGCTTGCAGTCACACCTAGCTATGCGCCACTGCGCTCGCCTGACAGGAAGACCTTGCGCACAGCTGCCTGGTGCTGCGTGCAAAGGTCGGGCCCACACTGCAACCCACAGGTCCTAAACAGCCGTCTGCTTCTGCTGACGGCCAACTCAAGGTGACGTAAGAGTCCCTGAGGTAAGGGCTGTGCCTGCTGCCCTTACAGTCCAAGGTGGGCACTTAGCACAGCGCTGGCCACATGTACTCTGCCCCCATGCTGTCTGGGCTGTGTTGTGGCTCTGTGTTGCCAGGATCAGCCAGAGCCCTGGGAGCTGGCCTGGGTGAAGGCTTGCCGCCATCCTGCCGAGAACGGGCAGCATGGTGGCCGGGGCTGGCTCACAGAGGTGGTGGGGACGTGCCCGAGGAGCAGACACTGAGGTTTTACTACAGGTTTTGCACCTTTGAGAAAATGTTCCTTATAACTTTGACAAACGATGCTGTGAGCTTGAACTCTGGTGTGTCCTTCCCGGTGAGTTGGACGGGGCCTAAGCAGTATGCAGCTGGGTGTGTCTGCCGTGCATCTGGGCCACGCTGGCACCTCGGCGGGATCCCTGGCCGTGTGGCAAGGCAGAGTTCAGCTGAGATGGCCCTGGTAGCAGAAGCCAGCGAGAGGGAATGGAAACCTGAGGAAGGTGACCCTCGTGGATCCTCGTGGTTGAAGTCTCCCCAGGTAGAGACGGTGCGCAGGCCCCTTGAGGCAGCTCGCCTGGCTGCAGCATGGCTGTCTTTCCACCTGGCCTTCTTGCCATGGCAGAGCGTGTGGCTCAGAGGGAGAGCCCTCTCCCACGCAGCACAACGCCACTCACTGCAGGCTCGGCACCTCCTGTTTATACTGCATTAGTACACTACTGAGATGGTCCGTAACCACTTGCGTCTGCCGTCACCTCTGTGGTACTGCTCTTACAGGCTCCTCCTGTGTGCAAGGCTCCTTTTACACGTGGGTGTATTTCCTCTGCTGTCCCCCTCGATGCCGTCTGGTGGAACCCAAAGCAGGGGATGTAAACCCTTGGTTTGTTTGTTTGTTCTTGACTCTGCCTTTTGCCATCGCTTCTCGTTGTGACGCGTCCTCAATGTCTGAAGGGTACGGGGCTGTTCGTGATTGCGCTCAGCTTCCTGCAGCCATTCGTGGGAATTCTGTACCAAATGTCCAGAACCAAGTGTTCCAACCATCCTAATATGTAACATAACAAACTGCTCTCATGCAATAAAATGTATTGGCTGCATCTTGCAGGATCTACTGCAAGTAAAAAATATACCAACCGTGAAACATAACAAAGTCTGTATTTAGGTTTCTTGTGGTTTCTGTTCTTTTGTTTTTTTGTAAGATTCTTAAATAAATTAAAACAAACGGCAATGTCTCTTTGTTCTTGGCTTGGCCAACTGTGTTAAGCTTTCTGTGTCGGTGTTATATTTTTAAAATTATAGGAAATTTTTTCTCACCATGGACAGGAACCAGTCACTGACCCTGCAGGCCTAGGCTGTGTTGCTGTCAGCTCTGAAGCCACCTGCGGAGTGTTGGACCTGAGACAGATCACGCAGCCACAGATTGGGGCTCAGGGTCACAGGCCTGCTTGCCTGACATCCAAGCTCATGCCAAGGATGGTTTACAGCAACTGATTGTCCCTCTTCCCTCCCAGTTTGAGGAGAGACAGAGAACTTCCAAAAGCTTGTTTGCTGCCCACATGGCCGCAATGGTGTGGGGTAGGCTGGATTGAAGCATGGAGCTGCTTCTGAGTCGTCCATGCGAGTGCAGGGTCCCAAGGCTTTCGGCCGTCCTTGACTGCTTTCCCAGGCCACAAGCAGGGAGCTGCGTGGGAAGTGGAGCAAACAGGACATAAGCTGACACCTCTGGGAAACCTGGAAGAAGAAACCTGGCTTCAGCCTGACTCATCCCAGGTTGTTACAGCCATTTGGGGAGTGAACCAGCAGGTGGAAAATTCTCCATCTTCATGTGTGACTAACCTTTTAGATACATGCAAGTTGAACATGTCTAGGGCTTTGAGGCTGTTCCCTTCAGTCCATCTGTGGCTCTGTCTCCCTGTAGATGTGCATGCTGGGGCGTGGCAGTGTCAGATGTTTGGCAGCAGCCCTGGCCTCTGCCCACCTGAACGCACAGAATCACCAGGCAGTTGCAAATGGCCCCAGGGCAGAGTCAACCTGGGTTAGGACCATGCTCCAGCAGATCCATCCTACAGGTGGGGAGCAGTCTGTGCACGGCAAGGCCTGTGAGCAGGGAGCAGCCAAGAGAGAAGTGTTAGCTGACGGAGGGTCAGGAGTGTGCATGGTGCCACTTCCTTCCGCATGAATATTTATCAGTTAGTCATTTGAGAGTGATGTAAAGAAGCCATCTGTGGAGGCCTCTATGGGGAGAGAAAAAAGACGCTAAAAGAAATGTGCAAAATGCTTATTTTTAGAGTCCAGCTCTGCACTGTGGCTTCGTCTTCTGGAAGCTGCCCACTCCGGGTGTGAAGGGCAGAAGCCTCGCCTTTGGGTACAAATCCAGAGAGTGTAGCATTGCCAGTGAGTCTCGAGCACAGCACAGGCATGTTAATTTTGGCCCAGTGTAGTATCCTAGTGGCTAAAGTCCTCGCCTTGCATGCGCTGGGATCTCTCATGGACGCCAGCTCTAATCCCAATAGCCCCACTTCCCATCCAGCTCCCTGCTTCTGGCCTGGGAAAGCAGTGGAGGATGGCCCAAAGCCTTGGGACCCTGCACCCGCATGGGAGACCCAGAGGAGGCTCAGCTCTGGCTGTTGCAGTCACCTGGGGAGTGAATGAGTGGATGGAAGATCTTCATCCCTATTTCTCCTCTGTATATCTGCCTTGACAATAAAAATAAATAAACCTTTAAAAAAAAAAAAGTGGAACAGCCAGGCACGAATTGGCACCTCTGTGATGCCTGTGTCCCTGGTGGCTTTATCTGCAACACTACAGTGCCAGCCCCCACAGGAAGTCCTCTGCTGTTGTTTCTGCTTAAAGGTGGGAATTTGCATGAGAGCTATGTGTATACCCTTAGTTACTGTAGGAAATCCAGCAATAGGAACCCCCAGCCTCAGAGAATCCTCTGAGACCCCCAAGGGCCCTCTGTGCTAACTGTTCTCTTCCTACTGTGTGTACCCTGTTGAGAGATGTTGATGGAAGAGGTGTAGGAATAATTCCCACCTTTTGTTTCTAAGTCATAGGAAGCCGGGTTTAACCAACGAAGCACTGTGGGCTCTGAATTGGGCTGTGGCTGACCTGCCAACTGGATGTCCACAGCCATATTGAGAGTGCTAATGAAGTCCCAGGACCTTGCTTCGCATCCTGAGGCTACAAATGGTGCCTCGGGTGCTTGGCCCCTGCAGCCCAGGAAGGACACCAAGGGGGTCATGGGCTCCTGGCTTCAGTGTGGCAATGGGGCGTGACCTGCTGATGGAAGCTCTATTTCATGGCTTGCCTTTCAAGTAGAGGAAGACAGAGAAGGCAGCACCTGTTTCTGGTTGGCCTTATGTGCTAAGCATGACAGTACATTGTTTTAATGGTTGGCGAAAGGAAATATTTTCTAACTTGTGAAAATTATAATGAAATTCAAATTTCAGTGCCCCAAAATAAAATTGTATTGGCACACAGCCATGCCCATTTGTGTATTATCTCTGGCCGCCTCAAAGCTGCCATGGCAGAACTGCGTAGTCATGCCAACTACGGCCAACATGCCTAAAATATGGGCCATCTGACCGTATCTGTAAAAAGCTCTCCTGCTCCTGCTGTGAAAACAAGTTAATGGCACAAAGATAGCCCGCAATTAGAAACCCTGAGAGGGCCATATCCTCCCCAAACTGTCCCAAGGACAAAAGTCCTCAAGGGGGTCCAACAGAGTAGCTTATCTGCTAAAGCCCTCACTTTGCATGCACTGGGATCCCATAAGGGCACCGATTCTGATCCTGACAGTCCCATTGCCATCCAGCTCTCTGCTTGTGGCCTGGGAAACAGTCGGATGGCCCAGGTCCTTGGGACCCTGTGCCCATACGGAAGGCCCAGAGGAAGCTCCTGGCTCCTAGCGTGGAATGGCTGAGTTTCAGCCATTAGCAGACCACTTTGGAAGTGGACTAGTAGATTAAAGTTTTCTGTAAATCTGTCTTTCCAATACAAATATTTTTTAAAAATTTAGGGCCTGGCGCCGTGATCTAGTGACTAAAGTCCTTGCTTTGGATGCGCTGGCATCCCATATGGGTGCCATTTCTAATCCCAGTGGCCCCGCTTCCCATCCAGCTCCCTGCTTGTGGCCTGGAAAAGCAGTTGAGGATGGCCCAAAGCCTTAGGACCCTGCACCTGCGTGGGAGACCTGGAGGAAGCTCCTGGCTCCTGGCTTCAGATCTGCTCATCTCTGGCTGTTGTGGCTGCTTGGGAAGTGAATCAGATGGAAGATATTTCTCTTTGTCTCTCCTCCTCCCTGTATATCTGACTTCGCAATAAGAATAAAGGTTAAAAAAAAATCTTTTTCAGTGATAACCAAGACTTGACAGGAAGGACTAGAGATAGGAAAAGCTCAGAACATTCCTGGAGGAGAGCTGGCCTCCTGCTCTGAGGAACATGGTGTGCTCCTGGGCAGTGCAACCACAGCTGCCTTCCCGGCCCCATGTGCGTGGGTAGCCGCTGAGGTCCTGCTGACCTATGCTTTGTCAGCAGCACCCTGCATCCTGTGGACTCCCCTGATTCGAGGGTGTCAAAAGTTTTATTAGTAATTTTACTTTAGGGTACAGCTGCCCTGGGATACCTGTACTCCATTTGGAAGTGTTGGTTCCAGGCCTGGCTGCTCTGCTCCCCACCAATCCACACCTGGGAGCAGGTCCCTGGGTCCCTGCCACCCGTAGGGGAGACCTGCATTTGGGGAATGAACAGGTGTGTGTAAAAATCTCGCCCTTGTGACAATCTTGAACATCAATCTGTTGGTTACATATTGAGATTGCACTTGGAATTTATGGTGTTAAGTAAAATGCTATTCACTTGAACTGGACTATTTTCTACATACTTCAATGTGACCAGTGCCACTGGGAGAGTAATTTCTGTGGTGGCCTTTGTGCATTCAAGGATTCAAGACAGATTTCCCACAGGCACCCTTTCTGAGAGCTGCCAAGGGGCCCCGGGTGCCCTCCATGCCCAGGTGAGGCTGACCCTGGGATGGGAGAAAGAAACCCCAAAGCCAGCAAAGCCCCCCAGGTGTTTTGTCGGGGGCAGCACTCCCTGCAAAGGGGGGGGGGGAGCGTAGTCCCCAAAATGCAGTTCAAAAATCATTGGGCCAGTAAGCTGCTCAGATATTTTCCAACCCCTTTCCTGCATCCTGGCACCGTTCAGAGCCTGGCACACAGCAGGCGCCCCCTGGGTCACGGGCACGCGACAATACCGGGGGTCGAGCGAGCGCCGAGGTGCGTTTTTCCCCCAGGAGGAGGACTCTCCTGGGCTGCGGTCAGGTCTCCGCGAGGGTTAAAATCCGCTCCCTGCAGACCCCTGCCGCTGACGCGAAATCAGGGTCAGGAGGCGGCCTTGCGCCCGGCAGGACCTCGGCGCCCACGAGCTCCGGGGCTCGCCTCCATTTTCTCCAGGTAATTTTCCATCCCTGTCCCTACCGCCGAGGGGGAGGGAAAGACACGCTAAGTTACCTCAGGAATCCCACCCGGCCAGCCTGGGAACCCTGAGGAGAACAGCCCGGCGGCAACCCGAGCGGCAGCCCGCAGGCGTGAGGAGCGCGCCGGCGGCGGGGCCGCGCCGGGACCCCAGCCCCCCAAAGTTTGGCAAGTTCGGGCGTGAGCGCTCCCGGCGGCGCGGGGCGCGGGGCGCGGCCGGGGCGGAGCCGCCCCCTGACGCCGGGCCGCCCCTCCCGGCTCCGGCCGGCGGCGCTGGCTCGGCTCAAAGTTTGCGGCCGCCTCTGCGCCCGCCGATGTATGGGTGATCGACTGCGGCGGTGTCAGGGTGAGGGACGGCCATATTTGCCGGTGCGGCCCCAGCCGTCAACAACAAAAAGTGCGCGGGCGCTCGGCGGGCGCTCGGACGGGCGCGGGGCCGCCGGGGCCGCCGTGTCGCCTCCCGGTCTCGCCGCCGCCGCCGCCCTCGCGGCCTGGCCCGGCTGTGCCCGGCGCGTCCGCCGCCCGGGGGGATGTCTTACAAACCGAACTTGGCCGCGCACATGCCCGCCGCCGCCCTCAACGCCGGTGAGTGAGCGCCCGGACTGCGCGCGCCGCGCCCCAAGTGCCGCCAAGTTGGGGGCCCGCGCGCCTTGTCCCGGCTCGGGGACCCCGGGGTGGGGGTGTGGGGCAGCAGCGGCGCCGGGGGGCGGCGGGCACCGGGCAGCGGGTCCCGGCCAGGGCAGCGCGGCCGCCGCCATGATTCCGGCGCCCGCCGCTAAAGTTCGCGGGTGCGCCCCGCACCTCAGCGGGCCTACGGATGCGGGGCGCGAGCCCGGGGACGCGGGGGCGCCCCCCACGCCGGTGGCTGGGGATCGCGGGGAGCACCGCGGCAAGGGCGAGGGCGGGGGAGGCTTTTTCTCGGCTCCTTTTTCCTTAGGCTCTTGGGCGGCTCGGCGAGGGCCCCTGCCGGCGGGATTCGGGAGCGGCCGGGCCGCGCCGGGAGCGGGGAGCCGGGAACCGAGCGCGGGGCGCGGGGCCGCGTGGCCCCGGGGAGCGCTGTAGAGGCCCCGGTTGGGGCCGCCGTGTGCAGCCAAGGCCCCGCGTGGGAAGGACGCTGTGGGCGAATGCCAGGCTGCAGCCGGCCCTGAGGGCGCGGGGCAGACGGGGCGGGACGGGGTCGCCAGTGGCCGGGATACTCTTGTAGTCTCGGTCTAAGGGCGCTGGGGAGCTGGGCTGCGTCCCCGGTTTGGCAGGACGTCCCCATAAGGCTGGCGCGCAGGCACCGAACTTGTGGAAGGGTGCGGGCTCCTGGGGTTGTGCGGAAGGAGGGCTGGCGGCGACTCGCTGGAACCGGCATCTGTGAGCCCCCCACTCATGGGCTCCCACTGCCTTCTGGTGCAGGAGCCGGGCACCCGGGAAACTCCTATAGAAGTTAGCAGGCTGCGCCTAGGGGCTTGCCTCAGGGCCCCTGGGGACGGGGCACGTAGGCGCAGCTTTCTGGGTCCCCCACTTTGTGTTCTGCTTAGGGTTCCTCTTTTAAGAGCCTTGTTTGGAAACATACACCTCCCTCTCCTGCTTGGAAAAGAAGGTGCGCTGGGGTCTGTGGGGGTGGGGTGGGGGGAGAACCAGCGTGGGAAGGGTAAGGAGCCGAGGCGTTGAGGGAGGAGGGGCCAGGCTGCAGGTCAGCAGCAGTGCCACGCTGGCCACTGGCCTCCGGCTGGCCGCCGGCCTTCCTGCGTGGACTCCTGGATGGAAATCCCAGGAGGGACCCGGCCCTGGGCGGAGAGATCTGGTGCGGAGGGGTGGTTCTTGGACACAGGTTTGGGGTTTGGAGGAGGTTGAATGCGGCATGCCCAGGGAGAGTTGCTCAGGTGTGGATCTGAGCCCAGAGGGCCAAGTGCCACTCCTGGGGCCACATCATCCCCTCCTCTGGGGTCCAGGGAGGCTGCCACCTTACAAAGGCAGGCTTTGTTGCCAAGTGGGATTTCTCCAAGCCGGTGTCACCTGCGTCTGAGCTGGGGAGGGTGGGGGAGCCAGGTGATGAGCTGGGTGGACTTGCCCTGAGGTGCCCTTGGAGCTCTGGGGTCACAGAAAGGGAGACTGTGGGGGTGGGTGGGGAAGAGACCCTGCTGCCCTGTTCTGGGCTGGCTGGCACCTGTGCATAGGATCTCTGCTTTCTCATGAGGATGTGGCAGGACGTCCTGGGTGTTGGGGAGTATGGGGGCCACCCACCTCCCCTGAGACCCCTCGGCCGGAAGCCTGGCTCTCGCCCGCCACTTGCATCCAAGATGGACTCTTGGAGCCCTTCCTTGTCATCCTGCCGCACACCCTCCAGCCTGCCTCCTGCGCTGGTTGCCAAGCTGCGGCCAGGCCGGGGGTGGCAGTGGCTGAGTTAGACAAAGCCTCCGCCTCCCCGCCCCAGAGCCCCCCAGGCGCCCCAAGTGGCGGGAAGGCGGCCAGCTCCCCAGGCCGCTCTTTGTCTGGCGTGGGGGCGGGGAGGCGCGCGGCCCCAGGAGCTTCCTGGCCTCGGCCGAGCCCTCCCGGCTCCTGCACACTGCGCGCATTGTCTGATGCTCCGTGTGCTGACGTGAAGTCTGGCGCTCAGCGACTGCCCTGCTCGGCAGGAAGGAGGGGGCACCCCCGAGGCTGCCTCAGGGGCTGGCCTTGGCATGCGCTGGAGGTCACCTCCCACGTTCTCCCTTACTGGCCTTCCTCCATAGCCCACTGGAGTGTACCCCAGAGCTATCTACCAGGGCAGGGGCGGCTCTTAGAGTTGGAACCCCACTGTACAGTGTTGCCTCCAACAGCTGGGAAAACTGAGACCCAGCGAGGGGAGGGCCTTGTCTGGTGGGAGCAGCTCCTGGCCACGCAGGGGAGGTGAGCAGGAGGGGTGGAGAGGGCACTGGGACCCTGCACGTGCCTCACCCCGTTGGTGCCCAGCCCAGGGAGATGACACTGGGCAGGGACCAGGATTGGATGCCCAGTCCGGGGGCACCTCAGAAGGCTCAGGGCCTGGGGATTTGGCTGATGTTGGTGGGCAGCTGGGGGTACCCCCATTCTGCTCATGGGCATGGCAAGTGCCTGCTGCTGGAGTGGGAGCCACAGGAGATCTGTGGAAGCTTAGGCTTTGAGTGGTGCGATGTTTGCCCAGCAGCCCCTGCTTGAGTGTCTGCCTGAGTCCTACAGGGATCCAGGGCAGGCCCAGGCTGGCCCCTCCTGGGCGCTTGCCTCCTGCTAATGCCTCTCCCGGGGGGCCGAGTGGCCTGTATGTCCCACATCCCCTCCCCCTGCTAACGTGTCTGTCTCACTCTGTGTATGGGGGGCGCTCGCCTGGCTGCTGCATGCCCCTCCTCCCCCTCCCCCATAGCACAGAGCAGCTGGTTGGGCTGGCCAGCCTGGCACCAGCTGTCCATCACTGGGGCCAAGGTGTGCCTGAGGAGAGGCTGTTTGGCTTGGAGCAGCGGGGTGGGGGTTGGGGTGGCGGGTTGGCAGCTGCCATGGCAGCCTGGGTCGGTTCTCCATGGTGAGCAGTGTGTGTGATTGGAAGGCCATCTCGCCCACCTGCAGCCCTGTTGCGTCCTGTCACGTCCCTGATGATGGCATTGCAGACATGGGGTCTGTATGCTCTGCTTGGCCCGCACTCAAGCCTGTCCATCCTGTGTGGCGGGAGGGTGAGGGGCAGACCGGAGGTGGCACAGAGTCTGGGACTCCTGTTTGTGTGTCCACATGCCTGTCCCCAGGCTCGGGGGGCTTCCCGACTTGTTCCCTGTGTGATCCGGTGGACCACGTACCGACATGGCTGCTGTGAGACATCTCAGTTCCCCCAGGTCCAGCCTGAACGGCAGGTGGACTCTGGGGACAGGACAGGCGAGGCCAGGGCCGGGCAGAGCAGCGCGTGGACGGGGGGGCTGTGGGATGTGGTCCCCATGTGTTGGTGACTCAGGGTTACCTGCCGTCATCTGCCGTCAAAGGGGCCCTGTGTCAGGGCCGTGCCAGATGGGAGGGCAGGAAGAGGTGGTTCTGCTGGCCTTGGCATTCTGGCTGTGGCCCTCCCTGGGCAAGGCCTGCAGCCTCCTGACCCCTCTCTCCCTTTTCTGCAGCTGGGAGTGTCCACTCACCTTCCACCAGCATGGCTACATCCTCCCAGTACCGCCAGCTGCTGAGTGACTATGGGCCCCCGTCTTTGGGCTACACCCAGGTATGGCAGTGGGCTGAGGGCTCTGCGGGGACATGTCCTGTCCAGCCTCGGAGCAGGAGAATGTTCTAGATGGGAGGGGCGGGAGGCCTAAGGCAGGCTATCAGCCTGCACATCTTCCTGATGCTGGTGGTTCTGGGTGCTGGGCAGGCAGGGCCAGCCTGCTCCTTAGCGCCTAAGCAGGGACACAGGGCCCCTTTGTCACTTGTTCGTGGTGTTGGGACCCTTGATGCTCAGGGCCCACTTTTCTAGGGTGGTCACAGGAGGCTGCAAGCCAGCCCTACCCCCAGTCTCCTACAGCTTGTTCCTGTTGTTAAAAAGATTGATTTATTTATTTGGAAGGCAGAGTGAACAAGCAAGCTCATGAGCACTTTCATCTGGCCTCAGTGGCTGGGGCTGGGCCGGTTTGAAGCCAGAAGCCTGGAACTCCATCCGGTCTCCCACGTGGGTGCGGGAGCCTGAGGACTTGGGCCATCCTTAGCTGTTGTTCAAGGCCCCTGTAATGGGGAGCTGGATCGGAAATGGAGCAGCAGGGATTCAAACCAGTGCCCATTTGGGTTGCCGGTGTTGCAGGCAGTGTGGTGGCTTGCTGTGCCACATTGCTGGCCCAGGCGCCATTTCTTCATCAGTTTAGAAAGGAAACCACAGCTTCAGTGGCAGTCCCTGACTCTGAGGGACACAGTGCCCCTAGGGAGCGCCCCAGGCCTCCGTGCCATGGTTGCCACCCTGAAGGTTCTTCACTCCAGGGTCACCACGGAGGCTGTTGCCCAGGCCCTAGGGGGTGGCCCTGCCCTGGTCATGCCCTGCCAGACTCACCTGTCTCGGGAGGAGAAGCTGTCAGTGGCCCGGGTCCGGCCCGGGCAGCGGCTGAAGAAGAGGTGGTGGGGGGAGGATGGGCCCAAGCGCAGCCTGGAGCGGCAGCGCAATGTCCAGGCCATCTCGTGGCATTGCCAGCAGCAGCGGTGGACACAGGCAGCCAGAGAGGGGCTGGGCCAGGCTGGGTGGCTGGAGCGTGAGGCCACGGGGGTGCAGGCCGCAGCCCTGCAGGGCGAGGGGGTCCCCTTGATGCAGTTGCCTGAGGTGGAAGTGGAGGAGAGGCCTGCACAGGTGGCCTTGATGCCCTGGCTCGTGGGGAGCCCTGCCTCGCTGACCTGGGTGCTTGCTTGCTCGTGGGCTGGGCTGTGTGCATGGAATTCCTTGTAGGCTCTGGTGGGGGCTGCTGGGTGGTCCACAGTGGCACGGGGGAGGCCGACTGAGCCCAGGTGTGGCCATGATTGGGGACCTCTGGGGGCTGTCCTTGCAGTGGGCTGGTGGTTCTCTGTTTTCTCTGAGACAATGGAGGAACTTGCTGGCTGGACCTGTGCCTAGGACTGGGAGCCGGGTCAGCACGCTGGCTGTCTCTGGATCCATGTTCTCTCTGACCCTAGGGAACTGGGAACAGCCAGGTGCCCCAGAGCAAGTACGCAGAACTGCTGGCCATCATCGAGGAGCTGGGCAAAGAGATCAGACCCACCTACGCTGGCAGCAAGAGCGCCATGGAGAGACTGAAGCGAGGTGAGCGCTGCCAGCTCCCTGTCCTGGGCTGTCTTCGGGAAGAATCAGACAGGGTCCCCCAGCCTCGAGAGCTCGTCTGCAGTGGCAACATTAGGGAAAGGGTTGTGAGCGTTGGGTGCCAGCTTTGGAGGGGCGTTCTGATGAGCATTCCTACCCGCTGCTGGAGAGGGTTGCGGGTGGGCCATCTGTGTAGCCCCATGCCCTGTAGCCCTGATGCTTTGGCACCTCTGTAGGCAGTTGATGGGTAACTGGTGGGTCAGGGTCCCTGGGCCTGCTGTGCCCTTGGCCTCTGCACTGGGGGCTGAGCTGGGTGACAGGAAGGACACTTGGAAGTTTGTTTGGTTTTTTTTTTTTTACATTTTAAAAGTTATTTGAGAGAGAGAGTGGGGGGGGGGGCTCCCATTCACTCGTTTACTTCTTGAAATTCAACAGCGAGGGATCCACGCACAGGCTGGTAGGCAGGCGCTCTGCTGCTGCCATGTCCCAGAGTCTGTCCTGTGGTGGAGTGACTGGCCCAGGGCTCTGTGTTTCCTGACCGCTAGGCTGCGTGCCTGCTGTGGGCCTGAAGACCAGAGCTGGGGGTGTGGATGTTGGTGCTGTCATTCAGTGCAGTGACCTCGGGAGAGCTTGCAGGTGCCACCCTGAGGCAGGGGTAGAGTTTTAGGGAATGTAAAGTGTTGGCTGGGAGAGAGGGGCTTTGAGGGGTGGGATAGGATTTCGTGTCGTTTTTTACAACTGTTGGTCGAGAGTCCCATGGCCCAGGTTGGAGTGCCCGGGCCTGCTGTATGTCTCTGGGTAGCGAAGCTTTTTGCCCATGGCAAGCTTGGGGAGGCAGCAGTGTGGCCCCAAGCACTGGGGTCTCTGTGCCCCATGTGGGAGACCTGGGCTGTGGGAGGCACTTGGATAGCGAATCAGCACAGTGGGCATGCTGCAAGATAAACAAACAAAAGGGCTATTAGGGCTGTTGAGCCAGGGCCTAGGGCCAGTGGTACCTAAAGGGCTGACGTGGCCCGTTCCCAGCTCTTCTTCTCTTGCAGGCATCATTCATGCACGAGGACTGGTCCGGGAGTGCTTGGCTGAGACGGAACGGAACGCCCGCTCCTAGCCGCTGGTCAGCTGCAAGATGAGCGGGCACAGTTCACCCCTGTGCGGATGACACGCGTGGTCTCAATGGTAACCTTTGGTCTTCCTCCCACGGTTCACTAGGCTCTGAACTTGCCGTCTCCAGGACCGAGAATTTCTGCAGTTAGAAGCACCCAGGTCCCTGGCCCGCCCTCCCCACGCCCGGCACTGGCTAGCAGGTGCATGGCGTCACCTGGATACTGTCTCCCTTCATCTTGTTTTGAATGTTTCTGTTACCTGAGTCCCTCATTGTTCCTTTCGGAAGTTAATACAGCTCTGAGCGTCTTTGGATGCTTCCCCTGTACCATGTAGATCTGCTTCATGTAACTGCATTTTTTGTTTGTTTGTGTGTGTGTGAGCATTTGCATGACTATTAGCGCACAGGTTATAAATACAGAGGAGCGACAAGCCCGCCCGGAGCCCGAGCCTGTGGAGTTTCTGTTCAGGCTTTCCTTCCAAGTTGAGAGAGCATCTGGAAGAAAATGACTAAAACCGTTTACATCTTTGTATTTATTACTTGATGTAATAAAGCTTATTTTCATTAACAGTTTGTGGTCAGATGTGGTGTGACCCTGAGGCGTTTCCAGCAAGAGGCTGGTGGCGCTGGCACAGGGGCAGTGGGCTGGGGCAGGGCCTGGGATAGAGCAGCAGGCCAGAGGCCGGCATGGAATGCTCAGCAGGGAGAACCTGGGCGAGCTGGGTGTGTGCGCGCGGGCGTCCAGTACAGGCCTGTGCCGTATCTTTCCTGGTTTGTTTAACGTGTGAGCACCAGACTCCTCCCAACAGGCCAGTCTATTAGCTGGCTGGGAAAAAGGCGGCAGGGTCAGACCCAGCTTGAGGGCTCTGGGACTATGCCACGTGCTCCGAATCAGGGAGGACGAGTGGGCAGCTTCCCTCTGAGTTGCTTACGCGGGTGACGGCCTCCAGTCGCCCCGCCACAGCCTCCCTGGGAGAGTCCTGGGAAAACATGGTCTTCTGTGGATGACAAGGTGCCGTTAGATGCTGGGAAGGTTTCACTTGATTCTCCCTGAAATGCATCTCACATCTTTCAAGAAAAGTGTTACCTTTTATATAAAACATAAACAGGGGCCGGTGCCATGGCACAGCAGGCTGATTCTCCACCTTTAGGTGCCAGCATCCCGTGTGGGTGCTGGTTTGTGTCCCGGCTGATCCACACCCCACTGGCGGGGTGGAGGATGGCCCAAGTGTGGGAGAGCTGGCAGAGGCCCCTGGCTTTGGATGGGCTCATCTCTAGCAGCTGCCAGCGCTGGGGAAGCAAACGGAGCTTTCTCTGTCTCTCCTCTTTGTAGATCTTCCTTTCAGTAAAACAAATTAAAATAATAATAATAAAAGATAAGTAACTATCCACCTTAAAAAAAATAAGGCTTGGGGAATGTCTCTCCCAAGATCCCTGTGAGTGCTGGGACGGTGCTGGGCTGGACTTGCTGGCCGCCTTCCGGGAGGGTCTTGGGGTCTGGGTGGGCCCTGCGTCCCTAGGGCGCGTCCTGGCTCAACGCCCACAGCTCTTTGAGCATTTTCTTTTTCTCTAGGGTCGCCTTTGCTCTTCTCTTCCTTTCCTCTTTCCTCTTCTCGGCCTCCCGCTTTTCTTGGAAGACCAGGCTGTCTTCACCCCTGTAAAAGACGTCCACTTTCTCCTGCAGGATTCTCCGAGCCAGCTTTCTATTCTGCTCCACTGACCTGGTCTGGTGGCACTGCAAAAGAGGGCATTTATAATGCAGTGTGGGCAGAGATGGGCAGGACCTGTGCGCTCTCCAGAAGGGGACAGCCCGGAAGGCCAGGCCCCAGGCCAGGAGATCCCAGCAGCCAGGGACAGCAGGCAGACCGCAGCCTCTGCACCTGGCCTGCATTAGGCAGCTTTTGCTGGGGCTGTTTTGTGATTAGGTGTTATTTTGCCTTCAAGTATCTTCCAAGTCCCCAAATAATTATGAGAACATGGACCAGTGTATCTAGCTGATGTTTTGGGTGTGCCATGCATAAGTGTAGAATTCTGGGCCTGGCATGGTAGCATAGCAGCTAAATTCCTTGATTGCATGCATCAGGATCCAACATGGGTGCTGCTTCGTGTCCCAGTGGCCCCGCTTCCCATCCAGCTCCCTGCCTGTGGCCTGGGAAAACATTTGAGGACGGCCCAAAGCCTTGGGACCCTGCACCCATGAGGGAGACATGGAAGAGGCTCCTGGCTCCTGGCTTCAGATTGCCTCAGCTCTGGCCACTGCAGCTAACTGGGGAGTGAGCTAGTGGATGGAAGCTCTTTCTCCCCCTCTCTTTCCGTAAAATCTACTTTTTAAATAAAAATACATTAATCTTATAGAAACACCCACCAAATTGTAGTCAGCTGTGTAAAACAGGTAGACTAAAGGTTAGGTAAGGTTCTAGAATTTTGTTACTCTTGGAGGACACTGTTTCAGGTAGGATCAGAAAAGTGATTGACCTTGAACTCCTGAGCTCCTGGCTTGGAACTGGACAGCAGGCACAGCTGTTAGCAACAGGGGCTCAGGGTTCTGCTCAGGAGTGACCCCGACAGGAGCAGGACTGGGCTGCGCCTGCCAGCTGGCCAGTTGGGCCCAAGGAGGTCGGCAGCTTCTGCCAAGGGTGGGGGAAGCCGAGGCCCTGGGGGCGGCCTGGTAGTTGTTCTCCAGCTGCCCTGGGGGTCGGCCTCCATCTACCTTCACCACGATGCCCGACGGCAAGTGCTTCAGCACCACGCAGTTGTTGGTCTTGTTGGTCGCTTGGCCCCCTGGCCCGTGTCCCTTCACAAAGTGCTCTTGCAGCTCGTTCTCATCCAGGGCAAGCAGTGCGGGCTGGTGTTTCTTGCCTGCTGCTGGGACGGCAGTGACAGCCACTCCTGGGGACAACCACGTGAGCCTCTCCCAAAACCAGGCCCCACAGGGCACGGGGCATATTCTGGTCAGCGGTGCCGAAAAACGGAACAGCCCCGAGGCAGGCATGGTGACCGTGGCTCTGCTTGCTCAGGACCTATGTCAGACAAAGCAAAAGGCCAGCCTCAGACGCCCTCGCTGGGAGCACAGCAGCCATCTGTTACCCAGGGCACATGCAGCTCACCAGGGCCACTGCCCCAGCGAGCACCACTCTGCAACCTGGCGCTCCGCTCCCACTGGTCCACGTGCTGCTGGCTAACACACCAAAAATATCCCCGCGCACCCAGAGCTGTTTTCTCAGAGGTGTGAAAGTCAGAGGATCAGGGCTGCAACTCAACAGAGATGCTAACTGGGACACCCAGCAAGGAGGGCCAGGCAAGGGACGGTATTGAAGTGTTCGAGACCCTTGGAATCACAGTGTAACGACATCAGAATGAGAGCGTGCTTTAGAGCTCAGCTCACGCAGTCTGGCACCATAAACATCACCATCCATCATTGTCATGGTTGTTGTTTTTTAATGTTTCCAGTTTCATGGGTTTGAATAGGAACATCTGTTCCCCCCGGCCGGCCGGCCTGCTGCACTGCCAGCACTGGGATCCAACTGGCCTTCGTGGTTCTACCACCCAACCGCTGACTGAGAGGTGCCTATTGACGCCACGTGTTGGTGCGGTATGGTAAGGGAGTCAAACAGAAGAGCCAGCCTGGCTTCCTAGTCACACGTCAGAGAAAGTGTTGGTGAACAATAAATTTTCAGTAACCACTTGAGACATTGCCTGCAGGGAAATGAATTTGTGAACAAGTCAACAGAACATAGTGCTGTGAGGATGCAGAGTCCCATAAGGCCTTCGCTTCAAGGGATAAAGGCAGAAGAATCTGGAAGCTCTCCCGTGAGCACAGGGCGAGAGTGGGTCTGCTGCTCCTCTGGCCACCAGGGAAGCTGGACCCTGTCAGCCCCATCGCACATGAGTGAAACAGACAAGAGAAGGAAGGGACTTCCTTCACCTGCAGCACCACCTGCAGCCTGAAGGACTTGGCGACAATCTGTCATCAGGTGGAGGTGCTGAAACTCAGGCAGCTGCCCACACATACCACGTGGCTCCTGCCCAATGCTTCCCAAGGCCGAGCAGCTGGTAAACCTTCAAAACAAGCTCTGAGACCTCAAAAATCCTAGTTGCGGTGGCTGCTGTCTGTACAGGCACGAGATGGCTTCCCAGCAGCTCACTCCCCAGGCTGCCTCAGCCTGTGACTGAGAGCATCACTGACTGAGCCAGGGCCTGGGGCGTGCACTTGCGTGAGACGTGTGACTGAGACACAGGGCATGTACCTGTGCGAGATGCTGTCCTGGCACCTGGTTTCTTCTCCAGAGGCAGACAGAGCTACCATCTTCTGCTTTCCTCCCCCAAATGCCTGCCAACAGCCGGGCCTGCCTATGGCTGAAGCCAGGAGCTGGGAATGCAATCCAAGGCTCCCATCAATCACCAACACTGTCTGCTAAGGTCTGCAGAGCTACACAGGGGCTGCATGTACTCTGGTGGAGGGGTGCAGGGTCCCAGCTGGGTGGGGCCTTAGCTGCCTGGCCAAACACCTGGCCTGCTGCACTTTGATGTAGACTTCTGTCTTAGTAATCAGAGAAGCTGACACTGGGATTTAAAGGCGACAGGATCATCCTTCACTTGTACCTTAGTGCAACACAGCAGACTGCTCAAGTAACATGCACAGGGCTGCCATACATGATGACATGCGCTGAACCCACCTCCTTCTGTGATGCTCGTAGTGTTGTGCAGTCCCACTGGGTGTAGTTAAACTGGGGCTGATAAGGCACCCTGTGGCTGGTTAGGAGGAATACAGGTTACACCAGTGGAGGCAGCGCCTGCAAGATTACTGTTGCTTAAATTGTGAGGATGACGGGCTGGTACCATGACATAGTGGGCAAAGCTTCAGCTTTCATTGCATGCATCCTATATGGGTGCTGGTTCACGTCCGGGCTGTTCCACTTCTTTTTTAAAATGTTATTATTATTATTATTACTTTTATTGGAAAGTCAGATTCACACAGAGGAAGAGAGACAGAGAGATAGATCTTCCATCTGCTGGTTCACTCCTGAAGTAGCCACAATGGCCAGAGCTGAGCCAATCTGAAGCCAGGAGCTATCCACCAGGTCTCCCATGTGGCTGCAGGGTCCCAAGGCTTTGGGCCAGTCTCCACTGCTTTCCCAGGCCACAGCCGGCAGCTGGATGGGAAGCAGGACAGCCAGGACATGAACCAGCGCCCATATGGGCTCCTGGCGCACCAAGCCCTGGGAAATACTGGGCTGTTGTACTTCTGATCCAGTGCCCTGCTGTAGCCTGGAAAAGCAGTGGAGGGTGGCTCAAGGCCTTGGGACCCTGCAGCCACTGGAAAGAAGCTCCTGACTTTGGGTCGGCTCAGCTCAGCTCTGGCTGAGGCACTGGTTGGGAGTTAACTAGTAAATCTTATAAAAGAAAATTAAAACTTTTATTTGATTTTATGTAAAAATAAAATAAACATAAATGCAGGTACTCTTTTTGAAACCTCGCCAACAAAGAATCAAGCGAGCAGTGTTCAGTCTCCCTGGATTTCTGCCATTAGTCCACAGACAATTCCTTTGTGAGTGGACAGCTTCTCACGCCGGGCCTGCCTCGCCTGGGGTTTTTCTTCCGCTGGCTGGTAAACCTGAGCAGGCAGGATGGCACCGGCACACAGTGCGACGACAAAGAGCGGAAGCCAGGCGGAGATGCGGCGACATTTGTAGACAAAGGAGCGAGAGGCATCTGCTTTGACTGGCGGCCTCGTCCCAGCCTGCTGCTCCACATCTCTCCTTCTGTCCCAGTTCAGAGCTGGCAGGCGCTGGGCGGGCTCCAGCCAGCTGGAATCCAAGCCCCCTGACCCCCACTGTATCCCTGGCTGCTTTGAGAGCTCAGGCTAATAGCCAACCCAACAATCACAGATACTTTTAGAATCTCCTGGAGCCCAGGTCCCACTCCAAGGACTGCTAAAAACGACCTATGGTTCCACTCTGCAAAGCGCAAAGAAAAAGTGCGCATTGGAGTTCAGCCTTTGTGATACGCACAGGCAAGCCGAGGCTCTGGGAACAATGACAGCTGCTCAGATCAGAGCTCATCGTGACATTAAGAGAGAAAAGGAAAGATGGGGACGAGCACCAGCAGAAAGGGAAAACCGGCTGACACGACGGCTCGGCCTTCAGTCCCGTCTGGGTCCAGGCTTGCCAGGGCGTGTTCTCCATCCTGACTTCCCCTTCACTCTGCTTTTCGTCTACTGGTGTACACACCAGACACCTGGTTGCCTGGGCTAAGGCCCCTTTCAGTGTCCCAGGCCCTCCCAACAGGGTCAAGTTCAGACATAACTGACAGATCTGAGGAGTTTATAAAAGGGAATGTTGGGGCCGGCAGAATGGCTCAGCAGGCTAATCTTCCACCTCTAAGCACCTGGATCCCATACAGGTACTAGTCTGTATCCTGGCTGCTCCACTTCCCTTCCAGCTCCCTGCTTGTGGCCTGGGAAAGCAGTAAAAGATGGTCCAATGCCTTGGGATCCTGCACCCATGTGGGAGACCTGGAGGAAGCTCCTGGCTCCTGATTGTCTCATCTCTGGCTGTTGTGGCTATGTGGGGAGTGAACCAGCAGATGGACGATCTGCCAATATGCCTTTCAATGAAAATAATTTTGTTAAAGGCATGTATATTTGTCCAGTGAGGATCTTTTTTTAAAAAAAAAGATTTACTACATTTTTATTGGAAAGTCAGATATACAGAGAGAAGAAGAGACAGAGAGGAAGATCTTCTGCCTACTGATTCACTCCCCAAGTGGCTGCAATGGCCAGAGCTGAGCTGATCCGAAGCCAGGAGTCTCTTCCAATTCTTCCACGTGGGTTCAGGGTCCCAAGGCTTTGGGCCGTCCTCGACTGCTTTCCCAGAGCACAAGTAGGGAGCTGGATGGGACGCGGGGCTGCTGGGATTAGAACCAGTGCCCAAATGGGATCCTGGTGCATGCAAGGCAAGGACTTTCACCACTAGGCTACCACGCTGAGCTTTTCACACAATATTCTTATATTTGAATGTAAACACTTTTCAGATAAAAAAACACCACAAGATCTGTATTATGTGCATCTCAGAAAAATTTCTCGTTTTAATCTTTGAAACAATTTCTCCTTTCTTCAGCTTGCTTCACTAGCGTTCACAAGATATGCATACCTTGTCTTTTTATAAAAAATGTCAATTTAAAAATTTATTTTAATCTAATGGAGGGGAGGGGATATCTGATAGCTTATTCCTCAGATGTCTGTCAAGAGCCAGGCCTGTCCCAGGCCCAGACTGAGGGTTCAGAACTCTACACAGCTCTCCCCTATTGGGGGGCAGGAGCCAAGCACTTGAACTATCACTTCTCAGGATCCATTGGCAGGAAGCTGAAGGAAACAGCAGTGTGGACTTGAGCTAGGCAATCCTATATGGGATGGCAGCATTGCAAGTGGTGGCTTGATTGGCTCCACAACTCCTACTGCCAGCCTGTCCCTTCCCGCTCCCTTCTACTCCATCAGCTCAGTCTGCCAGCGCCTCTCTCCCTCCGGGATAGTGACCTGCACATTACTGAATGGTCTACTTCAAGTTCTGGGAGCCCATGATTGTGCCCTGTGGTGAGGTCATGAATTTAGCCTGTGACTCAGAAGCCAAGGTCATTATGATGCAAAAGTAGTCAGCTTGCAGACAGGTCACACCTTCCAGAAAGCCAACCCTGCCTTAGACACACAATCTTTAGGAATTATGTCATACAGTAAGAAAAATCATGTGGAACAAACACAAACGACTAAAAGAGATGCTAAATGTTCATTAAGACTGATCATTTTCTTCTGTCTTGAATGGTTAAGCTCTAGGTTTTCGTTTTGTTTTTTGCTGTGAGGAAGGCCACACAAATGACAGGTGTTTAGATATAAAAATCAATGGCACAAAGTAATACTCCGGTCAAGGACACCAAACACCTCCAGCCGTCACGAGCTACCACTGCCAACTGGCTGACTCCATGGGGAAGATGTCACTCCAGCATGTCAGTCTGAAGACCTCAAGACAAAGGAGAAACACTTGAGGGATTCAATGCTATGATATTATATGATAATCATGACAGTATAACGGCCATTTAATAGAGGTGCAAGGTTACCGACGACGCGTAGTGCAAAATGTCCAGTACTGGAGGAGCTAAATACATAGTTACAGTCAACAAGTCTAAGTAGCTTGAATTTGTTGTTGTTGTTTAAATTAAAGGCTTATTTTCAGTGGGAAGGCACATCTACAGAGAGAAAGAGAAACAAAGATCTTGCATCCATTGGTTCATTCCCCAAGTGGATGTAACCGTGGAGTTGAGCAGATCCGAAGCCAGGAGCCAGGAGCTTCTTCTAGGTCTCCTATGCAGGTGCAGGGTTCCACGGCTTTGGGCTGTCCTCAACCGCTTTCCCAGATCACAAGCACAGAGCTGGATGGCAAGTGGAGTAGCTGGGATAGGAACTGGTATCCACGTCGGATCTTGGCACTTGCAAGGTGAGGACTAGCCTGCTGAGCCATTTGAACTGAGCCCAGTTCCTTGAATTTGTGACACCTTCTACTTCTATCATCTATATTCAGAAACAATTTGTTTAGATTTTTAAACCACCTGTTTTTGGGGTGGTGCTATTGTGTAGAAGGCTAAGCCCCCACCTGCTGTGCCAGCATCCCATATGGATACCAGTTCATGTTCTGGCTGCCCCACTTCCCAACCACCTCCCTGCTTGTGTCCTGGAAAAGCAGTGGAGAATGGCCTAAAGCTTTGGGATTCTGCACACGCATGGGAAACCTGGAAGGAGCTTCTGGCTCCTGACTTCAGATCAGCCCAGTTATGGCCACTATGACCACCCGGTGAGTGAACTAGCAACAGGAAGATCTATCTGCCTCTGTGATTCCAACTTTCAAATACAGATAAATTTTAAACAAAACAAAACTCAACTACCTTTCTAGGTGTTTATAAAGCTTTGCAAAAGGCACCTCTTCTGTGTAGCTCTAGTAGCCAAAGGCAATGTCCACTTCAAATTTTTAAGTTACGATCCAACCTGGGGTAAGAAATATCAGGGTGAGCAGAGGACATCCCTGAATCCACACACCAGCACCCCGGATCAGCGTGCTCCTAGGACAGAGAAGAGCATTCAACAACCATCCCACTGAAAGCCAGACTCGGCACACCCAAACCAGACCAAGTGAATCAGGGTCGTGGGCAAAAGCAGTTCCCTGCCTTCTGCCTGGCTCAGCACTTTTAGGGTTAACAGTTTCATGTTAAGAAGCCTCACAAATTCAGATTTCTTAATTCTTTGTGTGCAAGATTCTAGAACGTCTCCAGCACATGTTGTGATGACTGAGGTCAGGGAGGTTTCTTTCTCTTTGGTGGGGCTTGAAACAGGGTCACAGAAGAGGGCCCTGCGCTTAAACATAATTCTGGTTAGGTATCACAAGAGTGTAGTACCGGCTTAAGCACGGCTTAGGAGCGGCTGTCAGCGGACCATGGCCTGGCGCCTGACACTGATGGGGTGTGGGACGCAGTATGAATGCTGTTTGCACTTCGGGGGTTCGGGCATTCCAAGGACAGAGGCGCTTCCTGTGTACTGGCTTCTCGGTGCTCCCTCCAACCCTGTGGGTCAGTGCCTGCTGACGCCCTGCAGTGTGGGACCCAGGGCTCCTGCGCGGGAGGCTGCAAGCAGTTTCAGGATTAACTGCGCTGAAGGTGGACGGCGCTGATGGGCTGGGAGTGCCCAGGGGGAAAGGCCTCGCGGGGGAAGAGTCGACACCTGCCAGGCGCCAGGCCTAACAGCACGTGCTGAGTGGCCACAGCTCGTCCCATTTCCCTCCAGCACGCTGAGTCCACGGCCCGGAGCGAACCAGGTCCAGGTAAAACGCGGCTTTGGGGAGCAGGGGATCCTGGCCGGCTCCTCCTGCCCGCCAGGGAGGACCTCAGCTAACAACGATCACAAGGCGAGGTAAAACAGGATGCCCGGCTTCCAGCCCTCGCTCCAGAGGCTTGTCCACGGACGCTTACCTGGTCTCGTGATGGGCCTCCAGCGCCCGATGTCCGCCCGAAAAACGCAACCGCGTTCCCGGGTTTGCGCACGCGCCGTTCTCAGGCCGCGGCAGCCTTCACCTGTCACACACACTCAAGCGTGCGCGCGCATTCTTCCTAACTGCGCACGCGACAAGCCGAGGCGTCCTTCCCGCGTGGAGGCGGCAGGTTCCCGGAGAGCCAATCAGAGCGCGGGACAAGACAGCTGCCCCGCCCCCTCCCCGTCCCCCGGCGCGACCGGGAGCGCGTTGCGTTCGCTCGTCCCCGCCCCCTCCTGAGCAGCCAATCGCAGGCGAGGCGCCGGGCGCGCGCACGCTCCGAGTTTAACGGTCGCGAGAGGCCGCTCGCTCGACCCTGACATCGGCTGTGGGAGCGGGGCCAGGTAAGCGGCCGCGGGTCTCGGAGGCGCTGCCAGCCGTGGGGGTTCAGGGCTGAAACTTAGGGAAGACACAGCCCGGACGCCTCCCTGAGTGTACAGAGGGACCAGCGTGAGGGGCGACGGCGGCCAGGAGCCTGACGCCCACCGCAGCCGGCCGGCGAGTGGGGGGCTGTGCCGTGCTGCGTGCTCCTTTTCTAGACTCGGTGCCCTTGAGTGACACCCGCGCGGCCCAATCGCAGGGCGCCCTGCCTGAGGGGCGGGGGACGTGTGTGTGTGTTTTTGACGGAGTGTCGGGCTTCCGGTGGCGCCCGCGGCGGCCCTCGCTCTCCCTCAGGCACTGACGGAGTCGCCAGCCGCCCTCGCTCTGTGGGCGGTGGGCGCGAGGGCGACGGGACACCGCGGCCTCTCCCCGCCGGGGCCGGGGCCTCCCCTTCAGCCGACCGCCGCCCCGGCTCCTCAGAGGGCGAGGGCGCGGTGGGACGGCACACAGGAAAGAAAAAAGACGCCCTTGTTCTTATCCTCGTTCTCTGACAAGTTTGTTTCTTTTTTTTTTTTTTTTTTTGCATCGTTCGAGGCCCGCACCCCGGCGCCCGATCCGGGAGCGGTCCCCCGCCGGCCTCGATGCCCGCTGTGTCTGTCCTCCGGGAGATCCCGGAGCTCGTGCACCTGTCCGCGGGCGAACTTGCTAAGAAGGGCTGGCCTCCCGAGTGCGCACGGATCCGGGCCAGGTTTCTTCCCTTGATTGCACCCCTGCTTTAAATGCAGGTATTCCTGAGGAATAATTGACTTGATGTAGCCAGTTTGCCAGGGTGAATAAAGTTGTAGTTGGCCTGGCAAACCATGTGGGTTTTTTAAAGACTGCGCGCGGAATGAGAAAGGTTGAGTGGTATAAAAGGTACTTGAGCTTGATCGTGGTGCTTCTTGCCAGGGTAGCTACCCAGTGGTCCTAATCACTGTGTGGGTGAACACACCGTTAGTGAGCAAGGCGCGTCAGAGTTCCGACTGTGACATAATAAATTTGTATCCCGAATCTTGATTGTTAAACTACAGTTCTGAAGTTCTGCCTGAAAAGATGATACTGTTTCTGCAAGTGACCCTTAATGTAGGGTTTTTTGTTGTTGTTGTTGTTACAATTTTTTTAAAAAAGGTTTATTTTGATTTGAAAGGAAGATTGTATTTTACTGAGAGGAGAGGCAGAGAGAGATCTCCCATCAGCGGGTCAGGGGCTTCCTCCAGGTCTCCCACACGGGTGCAGGGTCCCCAGGCTCTGGGCCGTCCTTGACTGCTTTCCCAGCCCACAGGCAGGGAGCTGGATGGGAAGTGGAGCTGCTGGGATTAGAACTGTCACCCATATAGGGTCCTAGCACATGCAAGGCTAGGACTTTAGCTGCTAGGCAACCGTGCTAGGCCCAAGGCCTGGTTTTTAAAACTGAGATATATAATTGAGATATACATTTTGCCCTTTTGGAAGTATACTGTGTATTCACAGGATTGAGCATCCATCATCACTCATTCTGGAACTTTTTCATCATCCCAAAAAAGAGACTCTATCCTCATTGCACTCATTCCCTTTTTCTGCACCCCTTAGCTCTGGGTAACCTTTAATCTCCTCCATGGCCTGGTGGACTTGGCTCTCTTCCATATTTCCTGTAAAAGAAATTGTGCAGTAATACAGGCTTTGGGACGGCCTCCGCTTGGCCTGCTGTCTCTGTTGCAGGATTCGGAGCACTGTTCCTGCCTGCAGCCCTGTAGCTACCCACGCGTGGCTGTGTGTTGTGGGTTTGATCTGTCTGCGCACATCCAGATGGTTTCCACATTGTGGCTGTTAGGGATCGTGTCATAGATTCGAATAGAAGAAGTCAGGGTTCCCAAAGCCAAGACAAGAGCTGCTGACTTACAGGCTTTTGTACTAACATTTCCCCTTCTTCATTTGCAGACCTTCTTGAAAGTTTAGTGTGTTTCACATGTCTGAATGTTGACAACTGATGATGCGTGTGAACGATGAGCCGGAAGAGGACATGGACTCAGGGCCCTCCGGCCGTGCGAGAACCGCCCCCCGTGAACAGCAGAGGGTAGCAGTTGTACGCTATGGACGATTCTGACTTGGTTAAAAGCATACCAGAAACATCTGTGGGTTCTGATCACAAAATTTCTCCCTGTTGTCTTGGACTTAACGTGCATACTCATAGGTAAGAATGCAGTAGGTTTTTTTTTAAGATATATTTTGTTTTTATTGGAAAGTGAGATATACAGAAAGGAGGAGAGACAGTGAGAAAGATCTTCTGTCCTATGATTCACTCCCCAAATGAGCTCAATGGCCGATTCGAAGCCAGGAGCCAGGAACTTCCTCCAAGTCTCCCACACAGGTGCAGGGGCCCAAGGCTTTGGGCCGTCCCCGACTGCTTTCCCAGGCCACAAGCAGGGAGCTGGATGGGAAGCAGAGCTGCCGGGATTAGAACCAGCACCCATATGAGATCTTGGCATATTCAAGGTGAGGACTTTAGCTGCTATGCCACACCGCGCTTGAGCCTACTGCTGCATTTTTACATTAGTGGTACAAATAAGGGATTATATTGCAGAAACGGCAATCTGGGAGGTAACAAAGGTGAATGTTGGGCCCTGCGTGTTAGCCTATCGGCTAAAGCCTTGCATGTGGTGGGATCCCACATAAACTCTGGATCTAATCCTGGTGCCCCACTTCCCATGCCACTCCCTGCCTGTGGCCTGGGAAAACATTCGAGGACGGCCCAAAGCCTTGGGACCCTGCACCCATGAGGGAGACATGGAAGAGGCTCCTGGCTCCTGGCTTCAGAACAGCTCAGCTCTGGGCATTGTGGCTGCTTGGGGAGTAAATAAATGGGTGAAAGATATTCCTTTCTGTCTCTTCTCTCTGTATACCTGGAAAATATTGGAAATTTTTTTTATTTTCAATAAAAATAAATAAATTTTGAAAAAGCTGAATGTTACGGAATCAGCAGAAATATCAACTCTGAGTTAAATATCAACACAAATGCATTGAAAAGATGTATTTACTTATTTGAAAGGCAGAGCTAACAGATTGAGAGAAAGAAACTAAGATCTTCTGTCTGCTGCTTCACTCTCCAGTGGTCATGTGGCCCATGCTGCGCCCGTGGGAAGCCAGGAGCCTGGACCCTGTGTGTCTCCTCTATGGCCACAGGGGCGCATTGGACCACCCTCTGCTGGCTATCCAGCTCATTAACAGGAAGCTGAGCTGAAAGTGGAATGGCTGGGACTTTGGTGCCTATGCAGAATGCCAGACCCTGCATTTTGTTTTTTAGCTGTCTCATTGTTAGTTTGTTTTGTAAAGGTTTATTTATTTTTTTTCTATTTGAAAGATGGAGGAGAGAGAAAGGAGAAACATGGGGAGGTCTTCCATCCTCAGGAGCTCTTGCCAAATGTGGCAGAGCCTGGGGCTGGGCTGCTCTGAAGCCGGGAGCTGCTGCTGGGTCTCCTGTGTGGGTGCATTGGCAGGGAGCTGGACTGAAGTGAAACACTAGCAACTTGAACTGGTGCACATATAGAATGCTGGTGTTGCAGGTAGAGGCTTAACTTGCCCTGCCCCAGCCTCTCATTGTGTGTGTGTGTGTGTTTTAATTGGAAAGTCAGATATACAGAGAGAAGGAAAGACAGAGAAGATCTTCTGTCCAGTGATTCATTTCCCAAGTGGCTGCAACGGTTGGAGCTGACCCAATCCAAAGCCAGGAGCCAGGAGTCACCTCTAGGTCTGCCACGCAGATGCAGGGTCCCAAGGTTTTGGGCCGTGCTCGGCTGTTTTCCTAAGCCACAAGCAGGGAGTTGGTTGGGAAGTGGGGCGCCGGGATACAAACCGGTGCGTACATGGGATCCCAAAGCGTGCAAGGCGAGGACTTTAGCCACTAGGCTATCACACTGGGACCCTGTTCATTGCTTTTAATCAGAGCCAGTTTACTCTCAATTTGTATGTGGTCTGACTAGGTTGGTTTATTTGATTTCCTAATTTGGAGTAGGCAAGAACCACTGAATAGAGCTGCAGTGAGGCGCAGGCTCAGAACACACTGGGTTGCTGATCAGGGACCGAAAACTGAGCCCCAGGGATATGGAAGCAATTCTGTGTTCCCTGGCTTCTCCCTCCTTGGTGGGAATTCAAGGCAGCTTAAAAGGATATGGGCGTGGTAGCCTAGCAGCTGAAGTCCTCGCCCTGCACATGCCGGGGGGGTCCCATGTGGATGCTGGTTCGTGTCTTGATGGCCCCGCTTCCCATCCAGCTCCCTGCTTGTGGACAGGAACAAAATAGTGTGAGTTCTTGAAGGAACAGAGTCAGTTTCTTCTTTCAGTTTTTAATTCAGTTTCTCTGATTCTGTTATTTTACCGTTATTTCCATTTACTGTCCAGTTTTTTTAGAAGTTATTTGAGAAGTAAAGCAAAGTAGCAGTCAGTCAGTCAATGCAAATAACCTTTCAGTGGCTGGGTTTATTTTAGTGTCTTAAATTACTCTGTGTTTGTTGTAACACAAATGGGAAACTTGTCCAGTTTGGAAAAGAAGTCCCCGTGGAGTCGGTGCTGTCCCCGCCAGGTCAGCCCAGTCCTGCCTCGCCTGGCTCAGCTGCGATGGCCATCAGGAGGTCACGCGGGAGGGGATCCGGTTCGCAGCCTGGCCTGTGCTCTGGGCCCTGGGATCCGCGTGCACAGGGAAGCGCTGTTCTCAAGCCTGGCTCAGACAGGCCTCTGGAATCATGAGTTGGACCCGAGCGGCTGAAACTCTTTATGATTGTTTAGCACAAGCTGGTTTTGTGCAGACGCTCTGGAGTGTTCCATGTCTTCTGGAGACTTTCCTTTGTGTTCCTGAGAAAGCCCTGTCTTTGACTGCCATTTGCCTTTTGTGGACAAGCTTGTAATCAGATTTCCAAGCAATGAGGCAGGCGCCTCCAGGAGGACAGAATGTCAGTGGTTTTGTACTGTTCTGCTAAGTCTTGAGCTGCTGAATTATTCAACGCTTTGGGAGAATGAAAACCACGTGCATTATTTATGTTTCAACAGAAGTAGTCTCCACCTATGTGCCAACGTGGTGTCCTCTTTCCCAGGGAAGACCGGGCCAGCTGCCGGCCAGGGCGCAGTGCAGGCCATCGCCTCCCTCATGCAAGAGCTGCAGCACAGTGGCAAGACAGATTCGGAGCTGTGGAAAAATTGTGAGGTACTGGGTTTTGCTTTATCTTTGCAATTTTAAAGTAGTTATATCTAAACTTGAAATGATTAGAAATGTATGTCCTGGAGCATGTCCTGGTACTTCAGTTACTGCTAAATCGAAGTGACAAGCTGCATCGGTGGGGGCGACACTGGGCACATGAGAAGGGGTCGCAGGTCTGAGCCCCGTGGGAGAGATGGACAGGCGACTGTGCATGCCACTTGGGAACCTCAGCTGTCTTGGAATTGTTCCCAGTCCTGGAACTCTGCTGGAAGTCCTTTGGAATTACCCTTTAAAAAAAATCTAAGTCGGCTTTGGAATATTGTGGTTGTTCTAGTTACAAAGTTGCTGTTAGGTACCTGTTTACACAGCTGGGAGAGGTTACGCCGTGTTACTTTTAGGCCAGTGGTGTCTTTTAGCTGTTTCATTGATAGTTTGTTTTGTAAAGGTTTATTTATTTTTTTTCTATTTGAAAGATGGAGGAGAGAGAAAGGAGAAACATGGGGAGGTCTTCCATCCTCAGGAGCTCTTGCCAAATGTGGCAGAGCCTGGGGCTGGGCTGCTCTGAAGCCGGGAGCTGGATGGGAAGTGGAGCTGCCGAGATTAGAAATGACACCCAGGCCCGATGGTGTCTTTTCAATTGTGATAAAGTAATTTAACAGTTGGAAGCACACTGCATTTTGTTTCATACAATAATAGTCGAGATGGACTTTCAAGATTTGGTCATGCTTTATAAAACAGAAAACATCACTAGCACCCAATTTTGTTTCAAATGTTAATCATGGTTTTAGAATATAGTTTGTGCAATTTTTTTGGAATGCAAAATACGTGGAATGAAAGATTACTACTTTGTTTGAGAATTTAATAGCAGTATCCCAAAGTATAATTACTTAGTTATCAATAACTATTAAAGTTATAAGAGTAATTTATTGCGTACTTTAAAAATCAGTGTCTTGGTTTTTATACTTTTCATGCTTTCCTCTATATACCAGTGAATAGTTGCTAATGTAAAAAAAAACCTATAAAAATGGTACTGTAAAATTACACGATTAAAAATTGAGTTATTAAGTGTTTCCTCTGGTATATCTGTTTATACATGCTTTGTGACAAATGAGGCATTGCAGCTCAACAGTGTAGTTTTAACTTGTGTAAAGTTCATGATTGACTAGAAGCTGTTATTTGTAATACTTGGAGATCAGTGCCTGCAGTCAGAATCCAAAAGTGTTTGTGAATTTGAGCTACGGCTTGATCGGAAGGCCCATTGACTTCCCCAGCCCACGTAGCAACCTGTGTCTTTCCACTCTTTCTGCTGTGCCTGGCTACTGGGGGTTACTACTTGGCCTCCTGATGTTAATCGTGGTAGGGTCAGAGAATAAAGGTTAAAATATATCTGTAAAATTTTAGTTTATTTAGTGTTTTGAAGTGTTTTTCATAATAATGTGAAAGCAAACAAAATGCCCCTGATGTTTTAGTGTGGCCGCAATGGCCAGAGCTGAGCCGATCCGAAGCCAGGAGCCTGGAGTCTCTTCTGGGTCTCCCATGCGGGTGCAGGGTCCCAAGGCTTTCAGCCATCCTTGACTGCTTTCCCAGGCCACAAGCAGGGAGCTGGATGGGAAGTGGGGTGCCGGGATTAGAACTGGTGCCCACATGGGATCCCAGAGTGTGCAAAGCGACGACTTGAGCCACAAGGCTCAAGCTCGTGGTAAAGGTGGTTACTGAGAGATGTTTTCATCCAGGATCCCACTTGGATCTGGTTCGAGTGCAGTTCCGCTTTGGATTCAGCTCCCTACTTAACGCTCCTGGCTTCGCCTGGTGCTGGCTGAGGCGCTGACTGCCTGTGGGAGTTACAGTGGGTCATGGCCTGCAGTCAGACGAGAGGCAGTTCTGTAGGTTTTGTGAGTCACTTTTTTCTTTAAATTTTCATTGTTGCAGGACTTTGGAACACTAATACCTTACATTAAAGAGGTCTCTTCCTTGAAACGCAATTAAGCTGGGGGGGATTATATTCTCAGAAACCCAAGCCATTTCTTGTCTTAGGATCTGGGATCTTTTGGACACAGTTTAATGAAAGTCAGTAGCTGTTAGGCAGGAAGGACAGGCCTCTCACACGGATGAGGTGCAGGTGAGCGTCGCGCAGGTGACAGCAGACCACAGTGTCCTTGGAGAAATCAGATCTGTCTGGTTTAGGCCTTGAGATTTCCCCGGACTGCAGGTGAGCTGCGGGTAGCCAAGCCTCTGTCCTGTTGTTGCTCCAAATACATGTATCCATTTGCTTAATTTGGCTGGCAGATTGCAGGGAAAGGCCTTTTCTTACTGGGGGAAGTTTGTGTGAAACACTAAGGTCAGACTGATTTTTAACAAGCATTTTATCATTTCATAGACCAGGTGGTTCCAGCTCTTCAGTTTGGTGGAGAAGCAATGCCAGGAGCAGATTGTCGCCCAGCAGGAGCAGTTCCACCACCAGATTCAGGTATTTGAGATTTGAAGAAAAACCAGTTAGTGTGCCAGATCAGCTTTGTATAGCAGTGATGATAAAGCACCACCACATCATCAGAGCAATGACTTATTACACTTCAGAATATTGTGATGTTTAATGCTCTTTTTTTTACCCAAATCTACAATTTTTCCTTTCCAGTGTATACAGGAAGAGATCAAGAATTTAGTCAAACTGCAGACCAGTGATGTTTCCTGGGTTTCCTGTGGTAGAAGTTCTTCCAGCAAACAAGTGTCTTCCGAGAGTCAAATGGGTTTTTTGTCTCCGAGCAGTGGGAGACATGAGCGTGGTGACAGCTGCCCTGAGCCTAAGGAGCCTGAGGCGCGGCGTGCGGCGTGCCCCCCGCCGGACAGCGCCGTGGACAGCAGCTCCGTGAGCAGTGGCTACGGCACCTTCTGCATCTCAGAATTAAATTCCGACTGGGCCATGGAGTCCCCAGGCACCTCTGAAGGGCAGTGTGGGGCCCCCAGGGACCAGATGGGCTCACCTGGGCACGGTGTGAAACACAAGACATTTTACACGCAGACCACTGAAGAGCCCTGTGACTCTTCAACAGCAGAGGGGGGCTCCATTTTCCCTGGGGAATTGGAACACAAGTTTCTTGCAGAAGATAAGATTTCTGAAGTATGTAACGGGCAAACAAGTAGGTGAGTAGAATTACTCTGCTGAAGGAAGGATTTTTTTTCTATTTGTCTGTGTAAGATGTTGAGTGTAGCTGTGACCTAGTGGGTAGAGTCTGCAGCATTGATGTCCTGTGCAGGCACCAGTGTCACTCTGAGCTGCTCCACTTCCCATCCAGCTCCCTGCTTGTGGCCTGGGAAAGCAGTCAAGGATGGCCCAAAGCCTTGGGACCCTGCACCCATGTGGCAGACCCGTAAGAGGCTCGAGGCTCCTGGCTCCTGGCTTCGGATTGGCTCAGCTTCAGCCGTTGCGGCTGCTTGGGGAGTGAAGCATCAGATGGAAGATCTTCCTCTCTGTCTCTCCTTTTCTTTGTATATCAGTCTTTCCAATGAAAATAAATAAATCTTTAAAAAATGAGTGAGAGATCTTGTGTCTGGTGTCTGCCGGTTCACTCTCACGATGGCCGTAACAGGTCCTGGGCAGGTAAGAGCCAGGACTCAGGAGCTCCACCTGGGTCTGCAGGTGGATGGCAGTGGTCCAGGGTTTTGCACCATCTTCAGCTGCTTTTCTAGATGCACGATTGGAGCACTGGATGGGAAGTAGAGCAACCAAAAATTAAACCAGCACTTATATGGCCTGCTGAGCCACCTCCAAGTTCATGAATTAAAATAATGTGTTTAATCATAGCAACACGATTCTTGCCTACTCTCAGCTGTAATTGTGAGTCCCTGACAGTAAATATGCCTCCACTCTAGAGTTACGTTTCATGGTTGGAAGGACCGCTCTGATCATACTTGCTTTGTTCCAGGGTTGCGGAGTTGGTTCATTGTAAGTCACTGTTGTTCCTGTGTTTACTTTGCCTTTGTTAGTAGGAAGTTGAGAAAGAAATTAAGGAAGCACTGTCTTTCTTAAAAAACTCAAAATAGATCTCAAGGCAGTAATTTAATTTTCTTCCTTTCAGTAGCAAATCGCTCACATCATGGGCACAAAAGCTGGAGCAGAGCCAATCAAACAGAGCACGAGAGGAAGCATGTTCAAGGTCTAAGCAAGGAAATGAGCAAAGCAGGCGGTCCCCCAGCGAGCAGGTGGGTGCCCGTCACGTCCCCCGCCGTGCCAGCCGCTGCGGAGTGTGTGGCTTCACTGGACGCTCAGCGCTGTCCTTTCTTTTACATTATTTGCTCATTCACGTATCTGGGTATCTCACAGGATTGAAAATACCGAATTGTTGTATTGCTTTTTAAGATTTATTTTTTAATTGAAAATTCAAATATACAGAGAGGAGGAAAGACAGAAAGATCTTCCGTCTGTTGATTCACTTCTCAAGTGACCTCAGTGGCTGGACATAAGCCTATTCAAAGCCAGGAGCCAGGAACTTCCTCCAGGTCTTCCACATAGGTGCAGGGTTACAGAAAGAGAAATCAACCATGTGCTGGTTCACTTCCCAAATGGCTGCAGTGGCCAGGCTGAAACCACAAGAGAGAAGCTTCTTCTGGGTCTCTCAGGCGCTTGGGCCACCTTCTGCTGCTTTCCCGGCAGTCAGCAGGGAGCTGGGTCAGAAGGGAGCAGCTGGACTTTTGCCGACGCTCATGGTGGGATCACTGGTGGTAGCTTAAATCACACCACAGTAACATAGCTGTCCCAGGAGGAAGTTTTAATATGTATTTGTAGCCTTACTGGCTTAGATTTTTCTAGGTTAGCATTATTTAGTATAACATATTGAAATTGCCTGATCAGATTTGCCTGTGCCAGCCTGATAGTTGTAGCACGTGGCTGTGTCTGGGTCATCCTCCTCAGTCTGTCCGTGTTCGCAGAGGATGGTCCTTCACCCTCGTGTGGCCCTGCGGCTGTTTGCTTCCAGTACCTGTTCTCTTCAGCTCATGATAGTTAATCTTGATAATGTCACTGTTCTTTGGACGTTTTCAGATTTGGGTTGAGGAAGAGGGGATCTGCACAAATCAGAAAAGCTTCTTGGGGACACGGAAAGCTGTTGGCACGCATGTGGTAGTTCTGTTCTGGACAGGCCCGTTATTCTCACCGGGTCGCTCCTTTCTGGAAGCACCGTTTAGTTCCCGGAGGGGGCTCTCTTGTGGACAAGCTGTTCTTACCTAACCGTTCTGCTGTCTGGAGCCTGGATGCCCTGCAGGGCCCTGCGGCCTTGTCTGGTGGAGTCGGTTGGCCTGGACGGAGGCCTCTTTTCCTCCACACTGGCTCTTTTCTGCCTCTTGCTAGGTTAGGGTTGAGAACATCTTGAGACTTGCCCTTCTGGCACACTCCGGTGCTTGTGTGCCGGGTGGCCACTGGTGTTCTTGTTGTCTTTTTTTTTTTTTTTCTTTCTTTCCATTGGAAAGGCACATATACAGAGAAAAAGATTTTCCATCCTCTGGTTCGCTCCCTAAGTGGCCTCAAAGGCTGGAGCTGAGCCAATCAAATCCAGGAGCCAGGAGCTTCTTCCCTTCCCATTCTCCCACATGGTACAGGGTCCAGCTCAGCAGGCTAGTGGCTAGGGTCCTCACCTTAAGCATGCCAGGATCTCATGTGGGCGCCAGTTCTAATCCCAGAGGCTTCACTTCCCATCCAGCTCCCTGCTTGTGGCCTGGAAAAGTAGTCGAGGATGGCCCAAAGCCTTGGGACCCTGCACCTGCATGGGAGACCTAGAGGAAGTTCCTGGTTCCTGGCTTCGAAACAGCGCAGCGCTGGCCGTTGCTGTCCCTGAGGGAGTGGATCATTGGATGGAAGATCTTTCTCTTTGTTTCTCCTCCTCTATGTATATCTGACTTTGCAATGAAAATAAATAGATCTTTTAAAAAATTGTACATTGTTTGGCAAAAGGGATGCCCAGTGCCCGTTTTTCCTGTCTGTTGTCTTGTATCATTCTCTTTTCCGAGGAATTCAGGGTCGTCTGAAACTGTTCTGAGGTAAAATCATGTTGGGCTGATGATGGCATCTCTGCATCGCATGGCGTTGTTTTATTTTTATTATTATTATTATTATTATTATTATTATTATTATTATTATTATTATTATAAGCTGGCTCTCTTGGCCCAGTGCTGTGTCATAATGTGCTGAGACCCCATCTGTGGTGCCAGAATCTCATATGGGTGCCAGTTCATGTTCTGGCTGCTTCACTTCTGATCCAGCAACCTGCTCATGGCATGGGCCGCTGTGGGGGATGGCCTAAAGCAATCGTATACATGCGTCGGAGACCTCGAAGAAGCTCCTGGCTCCTGGCTTTGGATCAGCTAAGCTCCAGCTGTTATGGCCATTGGGGAAGTGACCTGATGAAAGGGAGATTTCGCTGTCTCCTCTCTGTGTAATTCTGAATAAATAAAAATAACATTAAAAATAAATAACATTAAAAAAAAAAAAAGCCCAAGAAACCCTGGCCTTGTCTGCCCGGGGCAGGCAGCTCCTGGCCTGTGTGTCAGCCTGGGCTTTGACGTTTCCGCTGAGAGTTCAGGTGGGACAAATGTCTTTGTTTTGGGGTTACTAGCCTTGGTCATGCTGTCGCCTCTCCTGGTCCTTTCTGTCCTGAGTGAAAGAGACAAAAGGTGAGTTTGAAAGTCCCTCCTGGAGGTTGTGTAGTGCTCTGGATGAGTCTCCGGGAGGGCAGTGTGGTGGTTTCTGCCACCCTGCCTGGCACCCTGCCTGGGGTCTTGTAAGCACGTGCGCGAGGAGTTACCAGAGCTGGCAGAACTGTTGAGAAGACTTCTGGTTGAAAGTTTGTGAGAAATGTGGACAGTGTCAGAGATGGTGAGGAGAAATGAAGGATTTTTGTTTTCAGGCTGTTCTGGATTCATAAGCAGTTACAAAGAAGCAGCTTGTCATTCTAGGTTTATGTTATTGCTTTGTGGTGGACAAAGTGAATTTGATTATTTACAGGTATGATAATGCATGAATTGTAATGGCTTTTACATTAGTTTTGATACTTAATAGCTTTAATTCTAGCCACTTTGCAGTTTCCTTGGGAAGTAGAAGGCAAATTTCAAATGCATTTTAGTCCTGAACTCATTCTCTGACACTTGCTCCAGTTTTCTCTGGCTCTTCAGAGAACCAACATAAGCATCAGTAAACTACCTGGGCAAAGAAAGCCCTTCCCTGTTCGTTCCTGTCACTTGGCGTTCTTGCCCTGTGGGTGTCCTGGCTTCCTTCTCTGTCACCCCGCGGGCCCCGGCCCCTGGTGGGCCCCTGCCCTTGCTCCCAAGCCTGTGCTAACCAGCCTTTTGCATTTTTTGATTTGTAGGCTGATTTTGCTACCGCCATGCGTCCTCATACTTTTTACCTCAGTAAACCAGAGGAGAGTCCGTCCTGCTGGGAGTCTGACTCAGGGACAGGTATGGTGCCTACATTCTGGAAGCTTCTCTTCTGCCTGTGTCCCAGCTATGAACCATCAGTGTGGAGTGGGGTGCCTGTGGCAGCTGTAACTTCTCTCCTTGCCTAGATTAAACACACAAACAAATACACTTTTCAAATTGAAGATTTATTTATTTTTATTTGAAAGGCAGACTTACAGAGAGGGAAGGAGACGGACGGAGATCTTCCATCTGCTGGTTCACTTCCAAATGGCCACACTGGTTGGAACTGGGTGGGTCCAAAACTGGGAGCCAGAAGCTTCTTCTGGGTTTTCCCATGAAGTTTTCTCAGGTGGCTCAGGGCCTTAGACCCTCCTGAGCTGCTTTCCCAGGCCCTTAGCAGAGATCTGTATCGAAAGGGGAGCAGCCAGGACAGGATCTAGCATCCATTTGGGATGCTGACATTCATTACAGACAGCAGCTTCACCTACTGCTCCACAACATCAACCCTTTGGCCGTGATTTTGAAGAGCTGCAGAGGCCTCATCCAGCTTCACTTGCTTCGTGACGACTAGCAAACTCAGACCCTCTGTGAGCCATCACTTAGTGTTCTGGGGTGAACTGTTCTCCTCTTAACCACTCTATACACCGACTCCCTCCCCCTCACCCCCCACGTCCAGCTCATCAGGATGAATTTGCTTTGCCCAAGGTGGGGCTCCAGGACCCGGCCACTTCTTGCCACCTTCACCCTCATCTGCCCCCGGGTGCCTGCAGGCTTCCAGGTTGACCTCCGTGCTCCCATCCTCTCCATTCAGTTTGTTCTGGACATAGTAGCCCATGTGAGCTTTTTGAGAGCTTATTTAGATCACCTGACTGTGTTCAGTTTAATTTGTCATGAGAAAGTGTTGTGGTCAGGCCTGGCACTGTAGCCTAACTGCTAATGTTCTCGCCTTATATGTGCTGGGATCCCATATGGGTGTCTGCTCTAATCCCGCTGGCCCCGCTTCCCATCTAGCTGGGTGGGAAAATAGTTGAGGATGGGCCAAAACCTTGGGACCCTGCACCTGTGTGGGAGACCTGGAAGAGGCTCCTGGGTTTGGATCGGTGCAGCTCTGGCTGTTGCGGCCGCTTGGGGCATGAACCAGCAGATGGAAGATCCTCCTCTCTGTCTCTCCTCTCTGTATATCTGGCTTTCCAAAAAAAATAAAAAATGAATCTAAAAAAATGAAAGAGTTGACAATTGCAGGGGGTGGGGGGAGTGTTGTCGTCTTCTCTCACGGCTCTCTGCCCGGTGCCTTGTGCTTCAGGACTGACCTACTGGAGGCTGGAGGAGAAGGACCTGTACCGCTCTTTGCCTGACACTTTAGAGAAGGCATTAATCCCCTCCCCCTGCACAGACCTGTCACCAAGCCAGGTAACCTGAAATCGTGTGCGCCCGTGTGTGTGTGTGTGTGTGTGTGTGCGCACGCATGCGTGCCTGCCCACAGGCATGACATTAAGTCCATTATGAATTTTGTGTTTTTAGCTTCTGATATAGCAGTGAAAGCTTGGGATTTAGAGTCAGGTTCATCTAATTTTAAATTTCTTCCCTGTGTAATCCTATGAAATCTACTAATGTTTTGTGACATTAAATGAGAAGATTTGTGCCTGGTATTTTATATCTAGTATGTCCTTAGCTATGAGCTTGGGCCCTTTTCTAGCCTGATGTTTTTCCGTCCTGTCACATCTCCTGCTGATCTGCCTTTGCCGTAAGTTGTGAGTAGCTTAGTTTGCTGCATCAGTGTACTTCAAGCAAGGAATGTAAATATTTTGGTTGTGTTGAGCGGAGCACTGGGAGTGTTGAGCATGTGACGTTGAAGTGGACGTGCGGGGCCTTCCCATGAGCTTCATGAAGCATGCTCCTGTTGCTCTGTGTGTGGTAAGGTATGAGAGAGAGACATTTGGGAACAGGAAAGACAGGACTGAAGTGGCCAGGGGAACTTGTCTGGGCAGATGGGGCATTGGGACACCCAGGTCCTTGAGAAACTTGGGAGTCCTAGAGAGTGACAGAAGCCAATGCTCACACCTGAGGCAAGGCGCAGAGGGGAACAGGTGAGCGTGATGGGAAGGAAATGGGGGGCCCCTGTGGGGGACGAGGCCCCGTGGCTTGACACCTGCAGGACCTCCCTTTTGCTGTCTTTGGTTCCTAGGTTTCCTAGTTCATGTTACATGAAGGAAAAAGCACCAATTGTGCTGATACAGTGTCTTGTTTAAAAAATTGTTTTTATTCACTCCTAAGGTGGAGAGACAGAGATATTCAATCTACTGATTCACTCCATAAACATACGCAAGAGCCAGGGCTGGACGAGCCAGAGCTGGGGACCTGGAACTCAACATGAGCCTCCCACACAGGGTAGAGGGGACCCAACCCCTAGAGCCATTTCTCCTGCCTGTCAGGGTTGGCGTCAGCAGGGACCTCCAAGAGGATTTGAGCATCTCAAGGGGCTGGTTACCTGTGCCGTTACGGAGTACTTGCCTTCTAGATTGGTGCTTTGTTCTTGTGCAAGGGTTTTAGACTTCACATAGATTTATATTTTTGTTTTGCTTGTTTGAAAGGGTGAGGGAGAGAAAGCTTCCATCCACTGGTTCACTGGCCCTATACCGAGGTCTGGGGCGGGTCAAATCCAGGAGCCTCATCTGGGTCTCCCACGTGGGTACAGTGTCCCAAGGCTTTGGGCTGTCCTCGACTGCTTTCCCAGGCCACAAGTGGGGAGCTGGAATGGGAAGTGGAACAGCTGGGATCTGAACCAGCACCCATATGGGAAGCTGGCAGAAGCAAGGCTAAGACTTAAGATGCTAAGCTGCAGTGCTGGACCCAGACCAAACCTCTGTGTGGAGCTCACACTGTTATTCTTGAATCTTTACGCTACTGATATTACCACTTACGTAATTTTGTTTCATGTCTTCCAATCTGATGCTAGTAATGAGAATACTGATCGGAAAAGGAAACACAGCAGCTAGCTTGGAGAGTCCTGCTTTGATTTCTAAGCCAATCAGCTTCCAGAGGCCACCTTGTCAGCGCTGAGCTGACAGCCAAATGCTGCATGCCTCCAAGGTCCCTTACACTCCACCTGCCCCGGAGAAGCAGTTCTGCCTAGCTTAAACCCAGCCTGACGTGCCTTATGCCCTGAGCATGCTATGTGCTGCCCCGTTTCTAGGTGCTGACCCTGGATCCAGCACTGCGCATGAAGGCCACTCAGCAGGTGTCTGGGCCTCCACCACGTGACTTTGTCAACACCCTTGATGACAGAATATCCTTTTCTCCGGACTCCGTTCTAGAACCCAGCGTGTCTAGTCACTCTGACATAGACTCATTTTCTCAAACAAGTAACATTGCTGCTCAGCTGTCTGGATTCCCCAAGTATCCTTCAAAGACCCAGGCGTCACCTGTGGACTCTTGGAAGAACCACATGTTCCAGACCCAGAGCAGGAGCAGTTCCACGTTCCCCTCGGTGTACACTCTCGCTAGTAATGACCTCTCGGTCAACACTGTAGACGAAGAACACGCTGTCTTGGTTGCTTCGACCTCGGTCAGTCAGTCCCAGCTTCCAGGTACAGCCAACAGTGTCCCAGAATGCATTGCATTGACTTCCTTGGACGATCCTGTGATATTGTCTAAGTATGTATTTCAGTGAATGGCTTGTAATGTTACTAGATTTTCTCTGATGTCTGATTGAATTATGAATGGAGTTGACTAACACCAGTAATGCTTATAATCTTCACTAAAAAAGTACAGTAATTTTAAAATAGATTATTTCATTTTTAGGGGATTTTCACCTGCTAGCTTTTTGTGACTTGACTTTGTGGGTGTTCAAAGGAAACAGGCTGCGTCTGTGCTTGCAGGGCTGACCCTGTGCTTGCTCAGTGGGAGGTCAGTGTGGGGATGGGCTCCCTCGTGACTGTTTTACCTTCAGCAGAATTAGGCAGACCCTGAAGGAGAAGCATGCCCGGCACGTGGCAGATCTTCGCGCTTATTATGAGTCAGAAATTGCTAGTTTGAAGCAGAAGCTGGAGGCAAAGGAGATGTCGGCTGTCGAAGACTGGAAGAAAACCAATCAAATTCTTGTCGACAGGTAAAGCTTATTGAACTCTGAAGTTGGTGTTTGTTCATCTTGGATGCAGTGTTTGCAGAAACATTATGATGAAATACTTAATTTTTTAAACTTAAATTTTTTTTTTAAATTGGAAAGGCAGATATTCAGAGAGGAGGACTGACAGAGAGGCAGATCTTCCTTCTGGTGGTTCACTCCCCACGTGGCTGCAATGGCTGGAGCTCAGCTGATCTGAGCCAGGAGCAGCGTCTGGGTCTCCCACGTGTGTGCAGGGACTTAAAGCTTTAGGCCGTCCTCGACTGCTTTCCCAGGCCACAAGCAGGGAGCTGGATGGGAAGAGGGGCTGCCGGGATTAGAACCGGTGCCCATATGGGATCCCACTCAAGAGGGAAAGACTTTAGCCACTAGGCTACCATGCTGGGTCTGATTTAACACTCTTTTTTTTTTTTAAGTTTGTTTATTTTTATTTGAAAGAGTGACAGAGTGAGAAGTAGAGACTGAGCTTCCATCTGCTGGTTCACTTTTCAAATGACCCCAGCTGCTGGAGCTGGACCAGGGTGAAGCTAAGAGCCAGGAGCTTCTTCTGGCTCTGCATGGGTGCAGGGCACAAGGCTTTGAGCCGTTCCCCATTGCTTTTCCAAGGGCATTAGCAGGGAACTGGCTCGGAAGTGGAGCAGGCAGGACTCAGCTTGGCTGTGAGAACTATAACGGAGCTAGACTTTGTTCAGAAGTTACTGATTGCTGTCTTGTTCCTGAGGTTTTTCTTGTCAAGCTTGCATTTTGCTTTTGCTAGTGGGAGAACAGTAATGAGGAGAAGTAAATAAATTTGAAAAAAGGCAAAAGCTAACTTCAGATTCTTTAGGATAAAAATGAGAGAGCTGAATAGAGGGTATAGATTCTGGTTTTCTCTTAGAAGGCAAAGGTGACTACAGGTACTTTCAGTTAGAAGAGAGAAGTTTGAAAGCCCTCTAGTGGACTTTTTTTTAAAGATTTATTTTCTTTTTATTGGCAAATCAGATATACAGAGAGCAGGAGAGAGAGAGAGAGAGAGGAAAATCTTCCATCTGCTGCTCCACTCCTCACGTGGCTGCAGCTGCTAGAGCTGAACCAATCTGAAGCCAGGAGCCAGGAACTTTCTCCAGGTCTCCCACGCAGGTGCAGAGTCCCAAGGCTTTGGGCTATCCTCGATTGCTTTCCCAGGCCACAAGCAGGGAGCTGGATGGGAGATGGGGGTGCTAGGATTAGAACCGGTGCCCATATGGGATTCCAGCGTGTTCAAGGCGAGGACTTGAGCCACTAGGCCACCGCATCAGGCCCACCAGTGGACTTTTTGAAGATGACAGCAAGGTGCTGGAGAAGGAGCCCGGTCAGTGCTGTCGGCTAAAGCAGGTTCGAGTCTAGGATGTGTCAGGACATAGAGACCAGGAGTTGAAGGAACAGTGGGATGTCAAGGATTTCAGTAAATGTCAGTGTTGTCTCCCTGACCACAGCTGTCCAGCTGCTGGAGTCAGGGCCACCAGGCTATGTGAATGGACAGCAGGATACTTTTTTTTCCTTGTGTTTTTAAAAGGATTGAAAGTGGCTTTCATTGTGGGTGCTGTGTGTCGCAGGGGGCAGTAATGAGAAGTGATGTTTAGAACTATAAAAGTGCTTCCCCTCGTCAAAAACTAGTGTCGTCAGGGCACTGACCAGTTTCTCAAGCTGAAAATTACAGGTTGGCAGATTCTACTGGTCCTGCACGAAGGCCAGCTCTGACATGGTTATGGTATCGCACAGTGGCTGCCCTCAGGGGTGGTCCCTGGCTTATCACAATCAGTATGGTGATGACAGCAGCGAAATAGTGAAGGGGCCTTCAGGTTGAGAACAGTCATCTTAGCATGTTATCTCTGTTTTTTAAGAATTTAATTTTCTTGAAAGACAGAGACAAAGAGAGAGGTCTTCTGTCTGTTGGATGACTGCAGCCGTGGGAGCTGGGCTGGGCTGGGCTGGAGCCAGGAGCCAGGAGCTTGTTGTGGGTTTCTCATATGGGTGCCATGTCCCCAGGACTTGGGCCATCTTCCATTGCTTCCCTACACATATCAGCCAGAGCTGGACCCAAAGTAGAGCAGCTGGGACAACCAGTGCACATTTGGGATGCTGGCCTTACAGGTGGTGGCTTTATCTGCTGCCCTAGCACCAGTCCCAGTATTGCATCTCATAGGATGAAGTGTGGTTAGGGATGTGGACTCTGTACCCATGGAACGGCTTACATCCTGTGTGGAGCATGGGTCCTTGTCTTTGTTTCCTCATCTGTAAGATGGGACTGGTTATGGGAACAATACTTTGCACATTGCGTTTGAAATGGAACAGAGGATATATTATGAAAAATAGATCAGCTATCCCAGTTCCTACTGTCAGCACTGCAGACGTAACGCTCCCTCTAAAGCTTACATTGCATTTATGTGTGTATGCGTGAGGAGGAGTCTTGAGAAAGTTTATGTAAAATGTCTATTATGAGAAATTATGCATGAATTTCAAAAATTTTTTGCTACAAAATTAATCTTTTATTTTTTAAGATTTATTAATTTACTTGGAAGGGAGTAAGAGAGGGAGAGAGAGTTCTTCCATACATTGCATGTAAATGGTTGCAGCAGTCAGGATTGGGCCAAGACAGAGTGGGAGCCCGGAGCTCCCTCCCGGTCCCGTGTGATGTTTGGGCCTCTGCTGCCTTCACAGGGGCATTAGCTGGAAGCTGGATCCAGTACCATTTTGTTTAAAAATTTGCTATTTATTGTGCCTGGCATCATGGCCTAGTGGCTAAATTCTTACCTTGCAACTGCCGGGATGCCAGTTGGTGACCCAGCTGATCTACTTTCCACCCAGCTCCCTGCCTGGGAAAGCCGTGGAGGGTTGCCCAAAACCTTTGGACCCTGCACCTGCGTGGGAAACTGAGGCGGCTCCAGGCTTGTGCTTCGGATTGGTGCAGCTCTGGCTGTTGTAGCCACTTGGGGAGTGAACCAGTGGATGGAAGATCTTTCTGTCTTTTGTTCTCTCTGTAAATCTCCTCCAATAAAAAAAAATAGATCTTACAAACAATTTTGTTATTTATTTTCGTTTGCAAGGGAAAGGAAGAAAGAAGGGAGGGAAAGAAAAAGGAGGAAATGAGGGAAAGGAAAGAAAGCTCTCTTGTTCACTTGTTCACTCCCCAAATGCCTCCAGGCAACAAAACCTCCACCAAGGCCCCGCAGGGAGTCCGTGGAATCCAAGTCCTGCACTCTGGAGCTGTCCCAGGCGGCCTGCCAGGAGCATGGCGGCAGGAGCTGCGTGGGGCCACCACGCTGGGCTGGTTCTTCCAGGGGATTCTTAACTTGATGCACACCAGCATCTAGCCCTGAAATCTTGGAATTCCATGTTTCCACACATTTTCTGATCTCTACGACTAAGATTATCCAGTCTTTTATAACTTTATAAAAGTTTTAATTTGATTTTAAATTATACCATGTCTTTAACAAAATTTGCTAGTGTAACCATTTTTTAAGGTATGTACATTTTAACCCTTTTAGAAATGTAGGCACTCACATGCAGGGCACCTGCCACTGCTGTCCATCTCCAGAAGCCTTCTCACCTCACAGACCTGAAGTCCTTGTCCTGGCTGGCACGGATGCCCTGTGCCTGCCTGCCTGCCTTCTCACCTCACAGGCCTGAAGTCCTTGTCCTGGCTGGCACGGATGCCCTGTTGCCCTCCTCCCCAGCCCAGTGCACTATTCTGCCGAGTTACTGCTCTGGAGTCTCCTGGGGCTGGACTCATGGCACTTTCTCCCTCAGTGCGATGGCGCGTCCTGCTGCAGCCTGGGCCATCCTTCCCTTCCTTTAGGACTCAGTGATCCGTCCTTGGTGGTGATCCGTCCTTGGTGGTGACCCGTCCTTGGTGGTGATCCGTCCTTGGTGGTGACCTGTCCTTGGTGGTGACCCGTCCTTGGTGGTGACCCGTCCTTGGTGGTGACCCGTCCTTGGTGGTGATCCACCACGCTGACCTTAGTGCCTATGTGGGGCTCTTGTGAGGAGCTGACTGCTCTGAACATGCATGGACAAATGTCTGTTTGCATGTCACTTTTTGCACGTACTACTTTGTAGGGGGTCTTTTCATGTCATTATTTTAGCCTGTTTTCTCTATAGATACTGTACCATTAGATTTATTGGAATATAATTTACTGAAATGGCATTTGGTCTTGGGTAACGTTGAGGAATTGCTAACATTGTGTATTAGAGAATCAGATTTATGTAAAACTCTTAAGGAAAATGATTTTTTTGTCCTAAAGTTGAATTTATGATTTTTAGATGTAGCCAATTGGATAGTGCCTTGAACGAAGCCACTTGTCGTGTGAGGACACTTGAAAACAAGAATAACTTACTGGAAGTGGAAGTGGTAAGCACTTTGGTGGGTGATTGTCCTAGTGACTTAGAGTTGAAAGGCCTTCCAGTTAATCCAGCTGGCATGGTAAGTGCGCTGCTGATCGTGTCAGTTATGTGTTTCTTCCTAAGAAGACTTTCTTAACTAAGTGTATGTATTTTCAGTTTTTGTCTTCATGTGATACCTTAAACTCTGTTTAAAATATTTTTCTTTCAACTGGAACATAGTTTATATGACATAAAATACCCTTGTAAAGTGTGCAATTCAACAGTTTTTAGTATGTCCAGTATTGTGTAGCCATAGTAATTTTTTTTTTGCTATCATAATTTTAAAAAACATTTCTTTGAAAAGCAACAAGACAGAAACAGACAGAGGTCTCCTGTCTTCTGATTCCCTTCCCAGCAGCCCCTGCTGGACCATGCTGAAGCCAGGAGCCAGGATCTCATTCTCGATTTCCCGCGGGGGTGATCGAGACAAAATTACTCACGATCACGTGAATCTGAAGCTGAAGTTGGGAGAGCAGCTAGGGCTGAAACAAGGGCCCTCATAAGGGTTGCGGGTATCCCAGGTGGCACTGGAGCCATGATGCCAAATGCCTATTCCTATGTTTTAAAAAATGTATCTCATTTAAAAGGCAAAGAACAATCGTTTCTATTTCTTTATTTGAAAGAGTTACAGAGAAAGACTCTTCCCCTCTGCTGGTTCATTCTGGACAGCTACAGGGCCGGATTGGAGTTCTTCTGGTGACACGCAGTGGGGCCATCTTGTACTGCTTTCTCCAGGCTGTTAGAGGGGCCTGGGCTGCACGGAGAGCAGCTGGGACTTGAATTGGCGTGCATATGTGGTGCTAACATCATAGGCAGTGCTTTATCCACTATGCTGCAACACCAGCCCCAGACATGAGAAGGTCCTCTGTGTGTCTTAGCCATGAGTTTGAGTTCCCAACCTCAGCTTGCTTTCTCTCTCTCTTCCCCCATCACCATGCACACCTACCTCCTCCCTACCTTCCTCTCCTCCAAGCCCTCGGCAGCCACTACTTTGGTCTGTGTCCCTGTGGACTTGCCTGACTTGGACATTGGTTTCAGTGCAACAGTCGTCTTGTGTCCCTTGTGCCTCTGACTCAGGCTGCGCTCTCGGGTCTCGCCCGCTCTGTAATTCAGTCTTGTCTCTGTCCAACATGTGCTGGATGTTTCCGGTTTTTGATTAGTGTGATTTGACATTGTTGTTTGTGTACAAGACAATATGCACTTATGTTTTTAGCTGTCTTGATTATCTTTCAAATTAAAAAAAAATATATATATATATATATATTTAAGATTTATTGGAAAGTCAGATATACAGAGGGGAGGAGAGACAGAGAGGAAGATCTTCCGTCCAATGATTCACTCCCCAAGTGAGCGCAACGGCCGATGCTATGCCGATCCGAAGCCAGGAGCCAGGAACTTCTTCCTGGGCTCCCACGCGGGTGCAGCGTCCCAAAGCTTTGGGCCATCTTGACTGCTTTCCCAGGCCACAAGCAGGGAGTTGGATGGGAAGTGGAGCTGCCGGGATTAGAACGGGCGCCCATATGGGATCCCGGCACATTCAAGGCGAGGACTTAGACTGCGAGGCCACGCCGCCGGACCCAAAAATATATTTTTTGAGATGCAGAGAGTGAGAGAGACTGAGCTCCCAGCCTCTAGTTCCCTCCGCAGATGCCTGCAGTGGCTGGGGCCGAGCCCACGTTTCCTGTGTGGATAGCAAAGGTTGTGCGATCTGCTGAGGTCTGTGGCAGCAGGAGTGAGAGGTGGGCATTGAGCTGACACCCTCCCGTTTGGGATGAGGGCATGTGAACCACTCAGCCCAATGTCTGCCCCCAAACTGCACTAAATCCCTACCTTTCTTCTTTCTGTATTGTTTTTTTTTCCCTAAAGATTAATTGATTGACTTGAAAGTCACAGTGAGAGAGAGAGAAGGATGGATAGATCTTCCACTTGCTAGTTCACTGCCTGGGTGGCTGCAGTGGGCGAGGCTGGGAAAGGTTGGATCCAGGAGCCTGAGACTCCAGCTGAGTTCCCCATGCAGGTGTAGGGCCCAAGCACTGGGGCTATTTTCTGCTGCATTTTCCAGGCTGTTAGCAGAAAGGGCAGCTTACTGTGTGTATTTAAAAGTAATGTTATGGGGCCCGGCGCGGTGGCACAAGTGGTTAAAGGTCCTCGCCTTGCGCGCCCGGGATCCCATATGGGCACCGGTTCTAATCCCGGCAGCCCCTCTTCCCTTCCAGCTCCCTGCCTGTGGCCTGGGAGGGCAGTTGAGGACGGCCCAGGGCTTTGGGACCCTGCGCCTGCGTGGGAGACCCGGGGGGGGGGGCTCCTGGGGGGCTCCTGGCTTTGGATCGGCATAGTATCGGCCCGTTGCGCTCACTTGGGGAGTGAATCATCGGACGGAGGATCTTCCTCTCTGTCTCTCCTCTCTGTATATCCGCCTTTCCAATGAAAAAAATAATAAAAAATAAATCTTTAATAAAAAAAAAAAGTAATGTTATGGAGTTGTTAGTAGATAATCCTTGTAGATTTTTCAGCCTAAGATATAACATACTATTCCATGAATTTTAATGTATATGTTTCATTTTATTACCTTTGCATTTTGATGTCTATACTTCCTTAGCTACTGCTTGAGAAATCTATTTTTCCAATTAGAGTAATGAATTTTGTTTGTCTTTATTTTATAGAATGACTTGAGGGAACGCTTCAGTGCAGCCAGCAGTGCCTCCAAACTTCTGCAGGAACGAATTGAGGAAATGAGAACAAGTAATAAAGAAAAAGACAATACTATCATTCGGTTAAAATCTAGACTGCAGGATCTAGAAGGAGCCTTTGAGAATGCTTACAAACTCTCAGATGATAAAGAAGCCAGGTTGAGACAAGAAAACAAAATGTTTCAAGATGTGAGTTTCCAGAGCCTGGTTGGCTAAAGTATTTTACATACTGTGTTCTTAAATGCAGTGCTGACTTTTCCCAGGTTTCTTTAGTTGTTTTACTTGGTCATTGCTGCAGGCACACGCCCTCCTGATGGAGGCTCTGAGGCAGGAAGCCAGAGCTTTAGGACCATGGTGTCTCCCACTGCTCTGCCTTGAGCTGGTCCACCTCGGAGCTGCCTTAATATCCGTGCTGCTGGCAGGATGGAATGCCATCAGTCTCCCACTGCTCTGCCTTGAGCTGGTCCACCTCGGAGCTGCCTTAACATCTGTGCTGCTGGCAGGATGCAATGCTGTCAGTCAGGGTTAGAGTGTGCTTGGTGGAGTCTTTTCACTTTGATTTGGGCTTGTGTAACATTGAAATTAGACAAAGTATCAGGTTGCATATATATATTTTTTTCTTTAACATTTATTTATTCTTCTTGGAGAGGCAGATTTACACAAGAGAACGAGAGACAGAAAGATCTTCCATCTGCTGCTTCACTACCCAAGTGGCGTCAACAGCCATAGCTGAGCTGATCCGAACCCAGGAGCCAGGAGCTTCCTCTGGGTCTCCCACGTGGGTGCATGGCCCCAAAACTGGTGCATCCTCCATTGCTTTTCCAGGTCACAAGCAGGGAGCTGGATGGAAGTGGAGCAGCTGGGACATGAACCGGTTCCCACATGGGATCCTGGTGGTTGCAAGGCAAGGATTCAGCCACTAGGCTATCGTGCTGAGCCTGTGTATTTTTCTTAAATTCTGACTCCTGAATAATCTGAGAGTATTCCGTTTGCTGAAGTTTTCCATTTAATAGCTTGAGGCTTGCCTATTTGTTGTTGTTTTAGTTTTGAAAATTCTTTTGTGTAAATGGTTAATCAACTGTCCCATGAACAACAGCCATTTCCTGCACTTACCTTGTACAGTGGTCAGCTACCCTGGAGGTCATTACTCTCAGCTCTTCAAGCAATTCTTACAACATTTTCTTCCACTTTTCTACATAACACACACTGTCCTTTCATTTTTACAATCTGGCCTTCCTTTGTGGTGTTGCGGTTTAGTTTTATTATGTGATTTATGCTGCTAAAGATGCTTCTCTCTCTTCAGTGTGGATCGATACTAAATGTGTGAGATCTGTGTATTTAATTTGCTCTGAACTTGGCATGTATCTTTGTGCCACAGTCTCCTAGTTTAATTATCAGCATTTTTTACTCTTCTACTAGATCATAAAACAGTGGTTAGATTTCTCATCTGTAGTTTCTACGATTTAAAACATAGGGTCTGGTTTGGTAGCCTAGTGGCTAAAGTCCTCACCTTGCATGTGCCGAGATTCTATATGGGCATTGGTTCTTGTCCTGGCTGCTCCATGTCCCTTCCAGCTGCTTGCTTGTGGCCTGTGAAAGCAGCACAAGATGGCCCAAAGCCTTGGCACCCTGCACCCACATGGGTAGACCCAGAAGAAGTTCCTGGCTCTTGGCTTTGGATCAGCTCAGCTCTGGCCATTGTGGCCTCTTGGGGAGTGAACCAGTGACAGAAGATCTTTCTCTATATATCTCTTCTCTATAAATCTGACTTTCCAATTTAAAAAGAAAAAAGAATGTACTTTATAAAAGCTTTAAAAAGTGATGTATCTTCAGTATTTCTAATTTTTTAATAGTATTGCCTTAGTGCTTTTTTTTTTCAAAATTATTTATCTGAAAGGCAGAATGACAGAAAAGATTAAATGATTCATTTGTTTGAGAAGCAAATGGATAAAGAGGAAGATAATTTTTCATCTATTGGTTCATTCCTCAAAGGGGCACGACTGTGGGAGGTTAGAGCTGAAGCCAGCAGCCACATCTCCCGTGTGGGTAACGGGAGGCAAAGCAGGGAACTGGGCTGGAAACAGTGTGAGAGGCTGGCGCCCAAGTGGGAGCTTTACCTGCTCTGCCGCGTGCTCAGTTGTGTTGGACTTTTGGAGTTATATGTCTCCCCAGTGGCAAGTGTAGTCAGAAGTAATATGCAGCATCTGAAAAAGAGCTGTGTGAATTAATTTTACTCTTGTGAAACTTCAGTGTATTGATAGTGTTCGTATCTTTAAGTAATTTCAGACTTGCAGTAAGCAAGGGAAGTGATAGAATTGCATGTGTTACATCAGGGTGTGCATGGGTGTGCTTCAAGGCTGTGTGAATCATTGGTGCGTGGTCTGTTTGATTGTGTGGTTTAATTCTGTGTTTTGTTTTTCTTGTAGCTTTTGGGAGAGTATGAGTCTCTTGGGAAAGAACACAGTCAAGTCAAGGTAATGGCTGATGGATCGCATTGTGGGGGTGGAGGCCGGAGCCTGGGGTCAGGGCCCAGCCCTGCCTTTCCCCCTTGCTTGACTCCCCGTACCTGTTGGAACAGACCACTTGCTGCCTCTATCTGGTTTTCAGATATCTGCCCTATTTAATTCACAGATTGTTAGATGCATTAATTAAACAAATATGTAATCATTGGCTGTTTATGGCATTTGAGATAAATTGGGATAAAAAATTGTGTAGAACAGTATAAGGTATCATACAGATACTAATAATTAATTTGTGGGGTTTGGGTTTTCTTTTTTCCTTTTTTTTTTTTTTTTTTTTTAAGTTTTGTTTGAAAGGAAGAGTTGCAAAGGAGACAGTGGGGGAGAGACAGGAAGAAGAGATCTTTGATTCGCTGCTTTACCCCCCAGATGGCCTCACTGACTGGGGCTGGTCCAGGCCATCACAGAGGCTAGAAACTCCATACGTAGATGGAAGAGGTCCAGTGCTTTCCCGGGTACATAGCAGAGATCTGGATTGGAGGTGGAGCAGCTGGGACTGCAGGCAGCACCCATGTGAGATGCTGGCATTGCAGAGAAAATTCTGAGTACTGTGTGTTTGAACTTAGTGAAAACCCACAATGATGCTGGAACTGCTTGTGCAGGGTTGTGATTACCTAGGGTTAGCGCAAAGGATTGCCCAGCACGGCTTGGGAGCCAAGAGTTCTGGGAGTCAGGATTTGTAGTATTTTATTATTCTGAAGTTTCAGTCAAGTTTGTGGTTAAGTTTGTCACTTTAAGTGCTGGACTATTTCTTTTTTCTTTCCATCTTCCTTCTTTCCTTCCCTCCCCTTCCACTAGGCTTCCCTTCTTTTCCCCTCCCCTTTATCTATCTATCTATCTATCTATCTATCTATCTATCTATCTAACTTGCAAGGCAGAGTTACACAGAGCGACATCTGCTAGTCCATTCCCCAAATGGCCAGAACACCCAGGGCTCGGCTGGGCCAAAGCTAGAAGCCTGGAGCTTCTTGCTGGTTTCCCGTGTGGGTGAAGGGCCCAAGGACTTGGACCATACTCTGCTGCCTTCCCAGGCCATCGGGGAAGCTGGGTCAGGGCTCTGTGGATGGACTGGCTCTGTGGGGATTGTGGGCTGCACAGGGCTGTGCGCACCGGCGGCTCTTTTTCCCACTCATCTTTCTCTTCAGTTTCCTGTTGCTTCTAGGGTTTGTACCCCACTTGAGGAGTGTTTATAGAATGTAGAGTTAGTCTTAGATTAGTTTTGTGTTACACATTTTAAAGTGAAAGGATGTATCTGAATATTTACTTATATTTTTTCTTGTTTTTGAAGGATACATTAAACACGACGGAAAACAAGCTGCTGGATGCCCACACTCAGATTTCTGACTTGAAAAGGTAGAGTTGCGGTCTTCCCGAGAAGCAGGTGTGCAGTCCACACTGAGCACAGGGCAGGGCTCTGGGCTGCAGAATCGCTCAGCCTGTTGAACACTAGTTTTTCCTGATATTTCCCTTGCATGGACATGTTTTGTTTTAGGCAAAGAAGGTTTTTTTTTTTTTTTCTTTCTTTTTTTTAACTATTTTGAAGATTAGAGCATGCTGGTGGCTGTGCCTCTGGGATGTGAAATCTAAATCTCACTGAACTTTCTGAAAGAACTCTGAGATGTACCCTAGCTCACTGCACTGTTTCTGTGCTTTGGGAAGACACATCCCTCAGAGCAGCCTGTGGCCCCTCACCTTGTTCAGGCCTCGCTGACCACGTGGTAATGGCCTGCGTTGCTGTTACACAGGAGCAGCGTCCTGATGGTCTGCACTGGAGACTGATGGAAACGTCTACATTGCCTTGAGGATATGCAAGGGTGCTTTACTATACATGACTTGGAAACTTTTTTTTGAAGATTTATGTGTTTTACTTGAGTTACAGGGAGAGAAAGAGAGTGAGAGACAGAGATCTTTTATCTTAGTTCACTCTCCAAATGGCCTCAGAGGCCACAGCTGGGCCAATCTGAAGCTTGGCGCTTCTTCTGGTCTCCCACGTGGAGAGGGGCCCAAGCGCTCGAGCGCATCCTCCCCTGCCTCCCCAGGCCGGTAGCAGGGGAAGGGACCAGAAGTGGAGCAGCCAGAACGTGAACCAGTGCCCATATGGGAGGCTGGCGCCACAGGCTGAGCCCAAGTTTACTGTACCTTGGTGCTGGCCCCTGAAACGTTTTCTTTTCACTGAAATAAACATTTTTTAATTCTACTTTTCCACAAACTCTTTGATTTTCACTCTTGTGTTTATATTTGAATCTGGATGTAAGTCATGCAAGAAATCTTCCTGAGGTTTCTGAGTTGTCCCACAGAGAGTCTGTCTCCATGGCTCGTCTGCCCACCTCGTCTTTAGGATCCGCTTCTCGCTAGTGGTTAGCTTCTTTGTCAGATTGGATACAACATGAGCCTTGTCACAGCTCAAGCTGTCCTTTAGCTCTTCAGTCAGACTAGGGAAGAATAGATATAAAAGATGAAATGAGGACATACACAGACTTTAAAGATTGATTTATTTGAAAGATGGAGTTAGAGACACAGAAGAAGGCCGGTCTTCATCCACTAGTTCACTTCCTAAGTGACCGCAGTGCCCGGGGCTGGCCCAGGTTGGAGCCACCAGGTTAACAGCTTCTCCCTGGTCTCCCATATGGGTGCAGGTTCCAGCATGCAGGCCACTCTGCTGCTTTCCTAGTCACATCAGCGCAGAACTGGACCAGAAGGAGCTGCTGGGATTCGAACCCTGACAGACAAATAGTGCCAGAGTGACACTTTATACCTTCCATGTTTTGTAGTTGCCTGTGTATAGCCCTTCTTGTGTTTAGTATATTAAGCCTGTTGTTGGCTTTTCTTTCAGTTGTAGTTTCTGAAATGTTCCTTTGCAGAGTTCAATGTATTGTCAATTTCTTTTCTCTGGTTTTGTTCAGCTTTTGAAAGTTTAATGGTATTTTCTTATGAAAAAGTTTTGTGGACAGGCAGCTGTTTGGTCACCTTTTCTTGCAATATCTGTTGAAATAATGTGTGGTAAGGCAGTATTTAAAGTTTGTTGAAATGTATGTAATTTATCTTATTGCTTTTGAACCAGAACAATTTCAAAACTGGAAGCTCAGGTCAAGCAAGTAGAGCATGAAAACATGTTAAGTCTTCGCCATCATTCTAGAACTCCTGCGCGACCCTCCCGTGCCAGGTGAGTCACTGTACTTGGTCCCCGGGAGGCTGAAGAAGGCGCACACGTGTTCCGCCCTGGGAAGCCCCTCTGCCCAGGTCGTGGGCACTCAGGGTTCGTCACGACAGATTTAGAGCTCAGTTGTGGAGTCGTGCAGGGCTGGCAGCTGAGGGCTTGCCCTTGAGAATGGTGGGACCAGCTGTGTCACAGCAGGCAAGTCGCTTCCTATGTTTGGAGCTTATCTGTGACCTGTGACAGTAAGGACACACCTTGGCCCTCTTGTCCCAGCTCCTCATTGTTGTGTGAGTGCAAAGACCGCCAGAGCGTCGGGACCTCCCTTTAGTTCTTTCAGAATCAACTTTGACAGAATTTCAGAATCTTGTATTGTTCTGTTCCAAGATTATTTACAGAAAGTTTTCTTTTAAATATCAGAACTTATTCTTTATCATTATTTTGGTGTAGATATTGAGTATTGACTGGATTATAACTTTGTGATATTGATGTTTATCAAAGAAGTTATGTTCTTTAAATATTCATTTGAAAGAGAGAGAGGGAGAGAAAGATACCTTCCATCTGTGGGTTTACTCCCCGGATGAGCATAATAGCCAAGCCTGGGCCAGGCTGGAGCCAGGAACCAGGAATCCCATCGTTGCCTTCCATGTAGATGGTCGGGGGCCTCGACACTCGGGCTGTCTTCCCCTGTCTTCCCAAGCACATGGGTGGGGAATTGGGTCTGAAGCAAAGCAGCTGGGACTTGAATTTGCACTACCATATTGAATGCAGTGACACCAGTGTCATAGTTGGTAGCGTAATACACTGCACCTTAATGCCAGCCTCAGAAAGAAATTTTTTTTTTATAATTAACTTTTTAAAGTTATTACTAAATGAGAAATTTTTGTTAATTCATCTCAGTGGAATATAATAAATTTTTTTATTTAGAAGAGAAAAAATTGCAAATACCTGACATGAAATGTTTGAGATTAAACCAAAAGAGGATGTAAGTGTGGGGTCAGGGAAGGCCCGTATGGGAGTGGCATATGGAGGTGCAGTGTGCCTGGAGTGCTTGGAGATGGGGCCTCCTGGAGGAGACAGTGCGAGCAGGTGGGGAAGATGCAGAAGGGACAGGAGAAACTGCGTATCGGTGGGCAGAGCTGGACACGTGTGTCGACAGGCACTGGAGAAAGGAGCCTGCGAGTCCTGAGAAGGGAAAGAGCTCAGCATGTCTGAGGTATCTTGAGGAAGACTAAAGGATTAGAACTGGCACCCATATAGGATCCCGGTGCATGCAAGGCGAGGATTTAGCTGCTAAGTTATTGTGCTGGGCCCACAGATAAATAATCTTTAAGAAAAAATAAGGAAATAAAATCTGAAGAATAGTAACAAGTTGGATGGCCTGCAGTGTCTAAGCATGTTTGAAATACATTTTTAAAGCGAATTAGAACCAATAAAGAAATCCAGAATATAAAAGGACTTTACAAATCAATTTAAAAAGGCAATCTCCTCAATAGAAAATGGTGGAAGAGTATGAGCAGATAGTTTACACAGCAAGCAGTTCAGATGGCGGGTGAAAACGAAAGGACACTCTTGCCACAGTGCGCAGAAATGCCGCTCGGAAGGGTGACAGCTGGACTGCAGGCGACGCTCGCAGGCGGCCCAGGCGGCAGCTCTGCCTCTGCTGAAGTCTGGCAGAGGACACAGGAGCGTCGGACTCAGGTGACAGGACACTGGCGCCGCTCGCTGCACTGTGTCGAGCAGTCTCCGGAAGGCCTGGAGTGGTGTACGGTCTAAGTCCACTATTCACTCTTATTTTTACTATTTTAAAATTTTTATTGAAAGAATTTTAGTTTTTTGAGAGACAGAAAGGACGACTCCCATTTCGTGGTTCGTGCCACAGATCCTCCCAAGGCTGGAAGGAGGCCCGGAGCTCATGGCAGGTGTCCTGCAAGGCAGGGAACAGGAGCCGGCGTGGAGAGCGGAGTCCAGGTGCTGCAGCCTGTGACAGGAGGCCTGCTGTGCTGTTTTTAAATATTTACGTTAGATAAAGTTTTATACTTTTTAATTGTAGTATTGTTGAAAGGTGAGGTGTTTCAGAAACCAAACTTTCTTCTCTAGAAAATGAGTAGTGTTGGGCCTGGCATCGTAGCCTAATGACTCAAGTTCTCACCCTGCATGGGTCAGGATCCCTTATGAGCACTGGTTTGTGTCCCGGATGCTCTGTTTCCCATCCAGCTCCCTGCCTTTGGCCTGGGAAAGCAATCGAGGATGGCCCCAAGCCTTGTGATCCTGCACCCACATGGGAGACCTTACAGAAGCTCTGGGCTCCTGGCTTCGTATCAGCTTAGCTCCAACCATTACGGCCGTTTGGAGAGTGAACCGGCTGATAGAAGATCTTTCTGTCTCTCCTCTCTGTAAAGCTGACTTTCCAATAAAAATAAATAAGTCTTTTTTTTTTTTTAAGATTTATTTTATTTTTATTGGAAAGCTGGATATACAGAGAGGAGAGACAGAGAGGAAGATCTTCCGTCCGATGATTCACTCCCCAAGTGAGCGCAACGGGCCGATACTATGCCGATCCGAAGTCAGGAGCCTCTTCCGGGTCTCCCACGCGGGTGCAGGTTCCCAAAGCTTTGGGCCGTCCTCGACTGCTTTCCCGGGCCACAGGCAGGGAGCTGGAAGGGAAGAGGGGCTGCCTGGATTAGAACCGGCGCCCATATGGGATCCCGGGCGTGCAAGGCGAGGACCTTAACCACTGTGCCACCGTGCCGGGCCCCTAATAATAAATAAGTCTTAAAAAAATAAATAATGTGGGTCCCGGAGACAAGGCCTAGCGGCCAAAGTCCTTGCCTTGAACGCGCCGGCATCCCATATGGGCGCCGGTTCTAATCCCGGCAGCTCCACTTCCTATCCAGCTCCCTGCCTGTGGCCTGGGAAAGCAGTCGAGGACGGCCCAAAGCCTTTGGACTCTGCACCTGTGTGGGAGACCTGGAAGAAGTTCCTGGATCCTGGCTTCTGATTGGCACAGCACTGGCCGTTGCGCTTACTTGGGGAGTGAATCATCGGATGGAAGATCTTCCTCTCTGTGTCTCTTCTTCTCTGTATATCTGACTTTGTGATAAAAATAGCTATACATATTGGCATGAATAAGTCTCAACAATGAAGTTGAGTAGAAAAAGCTGCATTAAGATGTGTGTGTACCCATGTATACAATTAGTGTGTTTTAAAATTAAAAACAAGTATGCCAAGGTCTTGATATTTGTTAGAACTGAGAATAGGTAGGTGGGTTCTTATTGAAGTCTTCTTTGTCATTTGTAAGAATGTATGAAATTTCACATAATTTAAAAATTGGAAGGAGTGTCTGGGAGTTGAGGTTGATGGCAGAGGCATCTCCCAGGAAGCACAGGGAGAGAGGCAGCAGTTCTCGGAGCGTAGTTTGATGGCTTTTGACTGGAGGTAGTCACCTGCAGGTGAAGGCTGAAATGAGAGGTGTGAGTGGAGAAGCTGCCAGACACTTGACTCCAATTCTGCTGGTGGGCAAGTTGCAGTGTCAGGGAGGGAGGCGTCGCTGTCGACCAGGCTTCAGCGTAGGCTGCCAGTCAGTGTGCTGGAAGGTGAGGGGAAGAGGCACAGTGCTGGGTGACTGTGCCCCGAGCGTGGACTGCAGTGTAGGGGCAGGGAGTTGACCAATAGGAAATGGTGAGCCAAGGATCTGGGGCCATTAGAACCATGAGCCTGAGCAGGAGAGAAAGCATTGGATTCTCGGGGTCTCCCAGGGTACGGGGTGCTTTCTGTGATGTGAGGTCCTGTGAGTGGCCTTGGGGTGATGGAAATGGAGACTCAGGGTGAGGTGGGAGCAGGAGTGGAGAGGACACAGGGTTCCCGTGCCGTGTGTGACCCTCAGCAGGATTTTCAGCAAAGCTGTCGAACAGTACTGCCTTTTGTGGTTGTGCAGGTGCCACATGGGACTCCGGACTTGAACGGACGTTAAGTTCCCTTGGGAAACTGAGTCTGAGTCTCAGTGCCACATCTCGGGGTCCAGCAGCAACCTGTGTCTATGGCTGCTGTCCTAGACACAGGGAGGACAGCGCTATGGGAATAGGCAAGGCGGCAGCCCTGCCCCTCCCCTCCGGCCGCACTGGGAGGTGGCAGGGCTGAGATATGGCCAGCAGCAGCCGTAGAACACACAGACCTGGGAGCACTTAGTCCATCTCAGCTGAGATCTGGGAATGCAAAGAAGGAACAGAAACCTACAATACCAGTTTAATTTAATCTTAAAACTGTAAAATGGAATTAGTGTGTCAGAACTCATGCTATGTTTAAGTTAGTGGGCACCTCTGTAAGTGGGATTGGAGCAGGCTGGCTCCGACCTGGCTGAGACCTTGTGATGCTTTGCTTCTGCAGCACGGTGGCCACCACGGACGTCAGCAGGCGCAAGTGGCTGATCCCGGGCGCACAGTACTCCATCTTCACCGGGCAGCCCCTGGATGGCCAGCACAGCCATGTGGACAGCAAGCTGGAAGAAGCATGTGTTCCCGGGTGAGAGACGTTGCTGGAGCTCCCTGTGTGAACTGTTGCTTTCTTAGATGTTTCTGTTGCTTTTAACTCTTCAGAAAGGCAGAAAGAACCATCTCTTTGGCTGGTGTTTTTTTTTTTTTTTTCCGGTTCTGTGTGTTCATTTGTTTATTTCAAAGACCTTGTATGTATGAGGGAGAGTGACACAGATGTACCATTTGCTACTTTTCTCCCCAGATGTGTGCAGATGCTTATACAGGACTGGGCCAGGTCAAAGCCTGGGGCCAGAACTGCATCCGGGTCTCCCCCGTGGGTGGCAGGGCCCAGGTTGTTCATGGGCAAGGAGCCAGGACTCCCATCCAAATGCACATCTTAACTGCTGTGCTCAATGTCCACCCACGTGTTCTTCTTTAGGGTCTTGATAATATATGTATACATATATGTGTGTGTATATATCTGATTTATTATTTGAAAGGCAGAGTTAGAGAGAAGGAGAGGCAGAAGAGATCTCCCATCTGCTGGTTCACTCCCCCAATGCTGCAGTGGGAGGAGCTGAGCCGGTCTGAAGCCAGGAGTCCAGAGCTGCTTCTGGGTTTCTAATAGGCCATCTAACATGGGATTTGAGCAGCCCAAGTGCTGCCCCACACCTGCTTGAAGCACGGATTCCTTAAGTGCAGGTTGAATGGTAAAGCACAGACTATTCACAGAGTACAATTGTCAACTTTGGTTTCATTGCCCTAACCGTCATTGTGGTCACACCTGTGTGTCATAGTGTAGGCTGCTATGCCAACCGTCACCGCCAGACAGCTTCAGTGGAAGACTTTCATTTTCACAAAACCTGGGGGCGGCTGTGGTGAGGTTTTCAGTGAGGGCCCCTTTCAAGGTTCTGCGCTCATACGACCTTCGCCCCGTGTGTCATCATCAGGGAGTCCTCTCTCATGACCTCGTCCAGCTCTGGTTCCCTTCCAGGTGTAACCCACCTCCAGGTGCTGTCACGCTGAGGGTGAGGGCTTCAGCAGCAGTGTGCATCCAGACCTTAGTACCTTGTTATTTCCAGGGCTGGTGTTTGCCACCGTGAGAGAAGTCTACAGTGTTAGCATGCCCTGTGGGTGCTGCGCTGCTTCTGATCCAGTTGCTTGCAAATATGCCTGGGGAAGCAGTGGAAAACGAGCCAGGTCCTCGGACTACTGCACCTATGTGGGAGACGTAGATGATCCCCCTGGCTTCAGACTGGCTCATCCCCAACATTGTGACCGTCTGGGGGTGAACCAGCAGTTGGGATATCTTTCTCTCTGTGTGGGTGTGCATTTGGGTATGTCTCCTCTCCCTCTGTAGCTCTGCATTTCTAACAAATATAATTTTTGAAAAGATTTATTTTATTTTTGTTGAAAAGGCAGCTTCACAAAGAGAAGGACAGACAGAGTTTCCACCTACTAGTTCACTCCCCAAGTAGCTGCAATGGCCAGAGCTGCACCAGTCCAAAGCCAGGAGCCAGGAGCTTCCGGATCTCCTACATGGGTGCAGGGTCCCAAGGCTCTGGGCTGTCCTCAGTGCTGTCCCAGGCCACAAATAGGGAGCTAAAAGGGAAGTGGAGAAGCTGGGATACGAACTGGTACCCATATGGGATCCCAGCAGTTGCAAGGCAAGAGCTTTAGCTACTAGGGTATTGTGCCAGGCCCTAATAAATATAATTTTTTAAAGATTTATTTTTATGGGGCCTGGCACAGTAGCCTAGCAGTGAAAATCTTTGCTTTGCATGCACTGAAATCCCATATGGGTGCCAGTCCATGTCCCAGCAGCCCCATTTCCCATCCAGCTCCCTGCTTGTGGCCTGGGAAAGCAATGGAGGCCCAGAGGCTTGGGACCCTGCACCTGGGTGGGAGACTCAGAAGAGTCTCCTGGTTTCTGGCTTCAGATTGGCTCAGCTCCTGGTTTCTGGCTTCAGATTGTAGCTGCTTGGGAAGTAAGTTAAGGGACAGAAGATCTTCCTCTCTGTCTCCTCCTTTCTATATATCTGGCTTTTCAATAAAAATAAAAATCTTTTAAAATTTTTTTATTTTCTTGGAAAGCTGGATTTATAGGGAGAAGGAGAGACGGAGTGATCTTCTACTTGCTGATTCATTCCCCAAATGGCCAGATTGGCTGGAGCTGAGCCAACAATGAGCTGCTTCTGGTTCCCCACGTGCAGGCAGGGACCCAAGGTCTTCAGCAGTCTGCTGCTGCTCTACAAGTCATAGGCCAGGAGCTAGAGCAGAAGTGGAACCGGCACCCATATTGCTTGCTGGCACTTGCAGTTAAAGGCCTAGCTTGTTGAACCACCATCCCAGCCCAATAAATACGCATTTTTAAAAAAATTATTTCAGATATTGTTCTCCTCCGGAAAAGGATTTGTCACCTGCAAGTTCATCAACCAACTTATTAGTGAAAAAGCAAAGGGAGGCATCAGACACACCAGTCATGAAAGCATTAAAAGAACTGGATGAAGAAAAAATATTTAAAAATTGGGGGACACAGACAGAGAAAGAGGATACCTCAAATAGTAAGTATTTCTTATTCTGTTTTAGACAGATGTAGGTGTCCTTATTACCCTTTATATTATTGTGTGTACTGTGTGTATATTTTATGATTTATTTGTTATTGGAAAGGCAGATTTACAGAGAGAAGGGGAGACAGAAAGGTCTTCCGTGTGCTGATTCACTCCCGATGGCCAGAGCTGAGCCGATCGGATTTGAAGGTGGGAGACAAGAGCCTCTTCTGGGTCTCCCATGTGGGTGTGGGGTCCCAAGGCTTAGGGTCATCCTCCACTGCAGTGAACAGCCAGGACATGAACCAGGGCCCATACGGGTATGCTGGCACATGCATGGCAAGGATTAAGGCTAGGCCCTTCTTTTAAAGATTTTGTTGTTGTTGTTGCTTTAATTGGAAAGAGAAATTTAAAGAGTGAAGGAGAGACGAGAGAGGCCTTTCACCCGTTGGGTTACTCACCAAATAGCCACAGCAACCGGAGCTGAGCTGATCTAAACTCAAGCCAGGAGCTTCTTCAGAGTCTCCCACGTGATACAGTCATGAGGCTTTGGGCTGTCCTCTGCTGCTTTCTCAGGCCACAAAGAGCCGGATGGAAAGTGGAACAGCCGGGACATGAGCGGCACTCACATATGGTGCTAATGCTCATAGTCGGAAGAATAACCAGTTGAGCCATTGTGCTGGCCCCTTTTTATTTTAAATTCTTCAGATGCTGACATTAAGATGACTTTATTATATTGCAGCATCAGTTCTGACATAACATGTATCAGGTATGCAAAGCAAGCTGCATATTGCATTCTGATGATTAAAAAGGCTTGCATGGAATTCTTACGGATATTTGGCAAGTTGCCCTGCCAGTTTTTCCTGTTTGCACATGTGGGCATGTGTTGACAGATGCTGGTCGAGGTTTTGGTAAACAAGCCAGCCATCATCAGCTCTGTGTCCTCCCTCGGACCAGGCCAGCGGCATTGTCTCTGCCCTCTGTTCCCGCGCTCAGACCTGCAGGGAAGCCCCTCTGCAGCTCTGCTGGGGTGTCGGGAAGGCAGCGCCTCCTAGAAAATAAATCAGGAAACACTTGAAAAATCACCTGCAGGGCCGAGCAGCACAAGGCAAGCAGGATGAATTCATTACACAGCCCTGCATTTTTTTTTCCAACAGGCGTTTTGCGCCATTATAGTGAGGCACTTTTGCAAACTAATCATTATATGAGAAGAAATGCGGTTAAGCAGGACGTGAGCTGAGGGGAAGGCCTTGCTTGAGCTGGCCATCTGTTCATACAGGCGGGCAGCTGAAGGCAAGGTGGTATTGTGATCCGTTTGTCTGATACAGGATCAGTGACTCCTCGGCGCTTGGAAACGCCGGTCACTGCGAGTCGCTGCCCCGAGAAGTGTGTCCAGCAGAGGCCCAGGAGACTCGGCTCTGCCTCCCAGAGGTCGTCGTCCTTGCCGCCTTCTGGTCGCAAGTCCAGCACTCCGAGTAAGCATTTGCTGCATCTCTCAGGCTCGAGGGGCGCAGGCACTGGGCACTGTCTGCTCATTTACCATTGCTCAGTCTGGCACCTCCGGGCTGCGCTGAGCACGGCCCTGTGGTCTCCTGTGCCTTACAGACCCTGCAGGTACAGCTGAGCAGGCTGTCTGCTCAAGTGGGTCTGTTACGAGTTTATGTCGAGGAACCTATGGGCAAATAATCGCTCTTCTCAGTTTTTGGAGGTGATAAGACAGCTGTTAGTCATTCATTCAGACCTGGGAGCTGAGGTTGGTCAGCTTGGAGAAGGTGCATCTTTGTTGCCCCGCCCACCCCCTCAGCACTGAGTCTGTGGGACCCCAATTTCCATTTCATACACAGAGGGGATCCTTCGGGTACTGTGTTGGAGGAATGCTCCCTGTGGTTCCAGCTCATTTCCAGTCCACTTCTAAAATCCTGCAAAACCAGTCTGAGCTGGAAAGTTGAAACTAGCCTGATGTACTGAAGTGCTACTGGTGTTGCTCTCTAGATGCCAAGACAGGAGCTATCCGATTGTTTTTGTACTCTTAGCATTTCACAATGAAATGGTCAAGCCTTATACAAGTAGAAAAAGTTCTAAAAAAGAAACTGTTCTGCCAAAATAAAAAGAATATTTCCTCTTTGTTTTCTTCTGTAGCAAAAAGAGAGATTATGTTAACACCAGTGACTGTGGCTTACAGTCCAAAGCGATCCCCTAAGGAAAATTTGTCCCCAGGATTTAGTCATCTACATAGCAAAACTGAAAGCAGTCCAGCTCGGTAAGTACTGTGCCACTGTGGCATAAAAGGTATATGTAAATGTACTGTTTTTAAAAATATGAACTCATGCCTTTAACCATCAGATTTTCGGTCACCATACATGGGGCTCTTACTATTCAGATGAATACCCTGGTAACAGTAACCTCGTCCTGCTTTTGGATGGAGAACCCTGGTTCTTGTTCTCTCCAGGATGTGTGTGACACAGGCGGACTGCTGGGCCGTTTGCAGCAGCCAGCAGTGGCTCTGCCGTGGCCCCGGGCCTAGCTCGGGCTGCCCTTCCAGGAAAGCCCTGGAGTGTCGTGGGTGGATCTCTCCTCTGCGAGGTCCTGCCTGCTTCCCACAAGCACTTAATCTCCGGTGTGTAATATGGGTTTGTGTTAGAAAATAGCGAATTCCGATGCTAGACAGCCATATGACCAGCTTTTTTTTTTCATTTTTAAGAAAATATGTAAATATGTGAGTTACCTGGACGGCATCTCATATTTGTAGTGGAAATGGGAAAAATCACTTAGCATCTCATTCCAAGTCACTTGCTTCATTCAACAGGTGTGATATCCTTCTGGATGATTTAGACACCGTTCCTGTGTCCACATCACAACGCACCAATCCAAGAAAACAACTGCAGTTTCTGCCCCTGGATGACTTGGAAGGTATCTTCTCCTAAAGATTGTTCCATAGTTTTAATTGCTTAGTATGTGCAAATGTACTAGATTCCCGAAGTGCTAACATTTTCTTACAGCATCCCATGCTCAAAGTCCTCCTGGGCCTGTGAGCATTGGTGGTATGTTGTTCAGCTTTGCATTGTTACATCAGCATTGTCATCCTCAGTGAAAAGTCGGGAAACCAAGGTACAGGTAAGGTAATGTTTAATGACCAGGGCCCTGCTATCCAGTAATTTCCTTTATTTTATATTCCATAGTTTATATATAATATCAAGGTGATTTTTTTTGCCTTTACTCACTGCTATTTTAAATTTGGAAGAATGTTACAATATGTAAGGGCCATGTGGGTAGGCCCTCAAGAGAACTCATCGTGCATGGTAGGGGGTACAGGTCCACTCTGTGGATTGCCTACTGTGGATTGCTAATCCTAGTAGCTCTACTTCCCATCCAGCTCCCTGCTTGTGGCCTGGGAAAGCAGTTCAGGACGGCCCAATGCTTTGGAACCCTGCACCCAGAAGAGGTTCAGGGTTCCCGGCTTCGGATTGGTGCAGCACCGGCCGTTGTGCTCACTTGGGGAGTGAATCATCAGACGGAAGATCTTCCTCTCCATCTCTTCTCCTCTCTGTATATCTGACTTTGTAATAAAAATATATAAATCTTAAGAAAAAAAGATTTATTTATTTGAAATGCAGAATTATAGAAGCAGAGTGGAGAAATGGAGAGTTCTTCCATCCACTGGTTCTCTTCCCAAATGGCTACGACAGCCTGGGCCAGGCCAGGCTGAAGCTAGAGCTTGAAGCTGTATCCTGCTCTCCTAGGTGGGTGCATTAGCCCAAGGAGTTGGGCTGTTCCCTGGTCCTTTACCAGGGTCATTAGACGGGAGCTGGATCAGAAGTAGGACAGCCTGGGCTTGAACTGGCACCTGTTGAGGATGCCAGCATTGTAGGCAGCAGTCAGATCCATCAGACAGCAGTGCAGTCTTTAAAGGTCGTTTGTGTTCACATTCATTTTGAGGAGTTGTGAAAATTGTCAAGCTGATGGCAAGGCACTGCGTCAATACTGATCATTGTGCTTGTTTCCATTGCTTCTTTGGGCCCTATAGCAACCATTTCGAGAAAGTGAAGTTGGGCGTTACATTTAACATATGTGTGATATATTGGAAAAATTGATAAAATGTCTTTCCCCTCTGACAGAAAAAAACTATTCAGAAAAAGCCACTGAGAGCCATATTCATCACAGCTCCTGCCCCGACCCCTCGCCAAGTGGAGTGAAGAAGGCGCCTGTGCCAGCAGCCCGGGAGGAGTGGGAGTCAGCTGGCCGCCAGCCGTGCCAGCCTGTTCCCGTAACGGCACAGGGGGCTGACTTTGAATACACAGCCAAAATTAGAACTCTAGCTGAAACAGAACGATTTTTTGATGAACTTACAAAAGAAAAGGACCAGGTAAAAACAAAAGTATTTTGAAAATCTCTTTGTGCACGTAATGCCTGTGTCTGCAGAGTGGTTAGAAAGGAAGACTGAGTCACACCATCGCAGGAAGTGATCGTGGGGGCGGGGGGCCCACGGCACCCGCGCAGGGTGCTGCTCAGGGGTGACAGGCGACCCAGGGAACCCAGGTTCACACAGTGCTGGGCTAAAATGTTTTCTTTCCATTCTTGGGTGACTGGAATGCTTTTATTTTTATCGGAACATCTGCATGTTCACAGATTGAGGCAGCACTCAGCCGAATGCCTTCTCCCAGAGGAAGAGTCACTTTACAGACGAGATTAAATCAGGTGAGCAGTTCTGCCGGAATCTCCTTGCTGGCCAGTGCCTGCGAGTCCCCACACAGCAAGGGGCGTTTTAGGACCAGCACAGGGACAAGTGGCTCCTGCGCCGACGTGTGGCGCCTGGCAGGAAGGGCTTACTGATGACATTGACAACTGCATGCTAGCTTTCAGGAATAAAAACTCGTCTGACTTACACACTTGAAGAGGATGCTGTTCATGCCGTATTATATCCCAGACCTAACGTGGGAGCAGCTGGCCACGTGCCCGTGACAGATTGGCATTGTTAGTTAATCCTCCCTCAGCAGAACTCCCTTGAACTCGCTTTAACTCGCTTTGTGGATTTGAGGGAGGCACAGTGCTGAGATTCAGCAGCAGAGGGTGCAGCTGCCCTGGCCAGGGACGTTTTGTAGATCATGCTTGCTTAGTTGCTATTCAAAGATTTTAAAGACATGAAACCATGAGACTTTTAAAATCTGCTCAGTTAAAAATGTGCCAAGGCCTGGTGTGTTAACTTAGCTTCTGAAGTCTGTGCCTTGCGTGCCCTGGGATCCCATGTGGGCGCTGATTGATGTCCCAGCGGCCCCACTTCCCATCCAGCTCCCTGCCTGTGGCCTGGGAAAGCAGTGGAGAACAGCCCAAAGCTTTGGGACTCTGCACCCACGTGGGAGATCTGGAAGAGGCTCCTGGCTCCTGACTTCAGATCGGTTCAGCTCTAGCTGTTGTGGCCATTTGGAGAGTGAATCATCAGATGGAAGATCTTCTTTCTGTCTTCTCTCTGTATATCTGCCTTTCAAATTAGAAAATAATAATTTTTTAAAAAAGTTCCAACTATAACAGCAAGAATGTTCATTTATTTATTTATTTACTTACTTGCTTATTGGAAAGTCAGATTTACAGAGAAAGATCTTCCACCCACTGGTTCACTCCTCACGTGGCCGCAACAGCTGGAGCTGAGTCTATCTGAAGCCAGGAACCAGGAGCTTCTTCCAGGTCTCCCCCATGTGTACAGGGTCCCAAGGCTTTGGTCGTCCTTAATTGCTTTCCCTGGCTGCAAGCAAGAGAAGTGGAACAGCTGGAACACAAAATGACGACCAAAAGGGATCTTGGCGGCTTCAAGGTGAGGTGTTTAACCACCAGTCTGCGGTGCTGGGCCCAGCGAGTCCATTTCTTGTGCTGCATGTTTGGCTTTTGAGTGTCTCTGCTTAGAGTTCCTTTAAGCAGAAGTCTTTGGGACTAGTGTTCCCATTTCCTCTGTGCTTCTGAACATAACACTTGTTACGATTTTTGATCTGAAAGTTTTTATTCAATAATTCATAAGCTTGGATTAATCATGAAATTCAAAATAATTTACTAGGAAAGCAGAAGAAAAACTTGTGGACAGTCTGATGCTAAGTCGATCTGAAATACTTCTTTCATATATCCTTGTATATTGAAAAATTTGGGCTCTTCCTAACTCAGGGAGCACTGTGTCTGTGACAGGAAAACGGCTGACAGCGCTCAGTGCCGACGCAGTCTGCTAGTCAAACCAGATGGAGATAGGTGATGAGTGTCCTGTCTCATGAATGAATAGAAACAGCACACCTTTTTTTTTTTTTTTTAAGATTCATTCATTTTCATTGTACAGTCAGACATACAAAGTGGGGACAGACAAAGAGGAAGATCTTCTGTCCCTTGATTCACTCCCTAAGCGGCTGCAATGGCCGGAGCTAAACAATTCGAAGCCAGCAGCCAAGAGCTTCTACTGAGTCTCCCCTGTGGGTGCAGGGTCCCACGGCTTTGGGTCGTCCTCGACTGCTTTCCCAGACTACAAGCAGGGAGCTGGGTGGGAAGTGGGGCTGCGGGGATTAGAACCAGTGCCCATAGGGGATGCCAGCACATGCAAGGTGAGGACTTTGGCCGCTAGGCTATTGTGCAAGGCCCTGAAAATCTGATTCATACTCTTTAGTTTAGAAGAAAGAATATAAATAAGATGGTTTGTATAAAAATCAAAATAACTGCAGATTTGATGTTTATACTTACTTTTTAGGTAAAAGGTCAGTTTGGTTGTAATTATAGAAACCATTGAGCTTGATGCAGAATTCGAATTCAGCTTCTCCCTCTGTCCCACCTAGGAAGCCTTGGAAGACCGTTTGGAGAGGATCAACCGAGAGCTGGGTTCAGTTCGGATGACACTGAAGAAGTTCCACATTTTACGCACCTCTGCAAACCTTTGAGATTTGTATCCATTAAATTCTGAGACATTTTTGTTTGCACTAATGTATAATTATGCACTCAGACAAGGCAAACTATTTTGTACTGTTTATGAGCCTTCAAACAGTAGTTTTACAATCATGCTATTCTTACACTTGCTATTTTATACTTCAAATGGCCACATATTTTCAAGATATTTTTGTTATGCTCAGGATCTCTTGTATATTTTACTATTTAAAAGGTATTATTTTTAAATAGTATGTCTCCAATTTATATCCAGAAAAAAGAAATGTAAATAAGAAAGGCAGCTTGTTTCTAAATCGTGTTATCCTTTTATGATAACTTTGCACACCAGTTTTTTAACTTGTTCTACATTGTAAATATCGTTCATTTTTTAAAATAAATGTTCAGCAATAGCTTCCACAATGATAGCTTAATACATGCTGACTATAAAAAAGGTTGACACACCTTGGATATTAGTGTTGAGGTTTGTAATAAATAATCATGTAATTCCTGTTTGAAATATGGCATAGAGTGATAGTAATGGTGGACTCTTGCAACTCTTTGGAAATTACATGGATGGAACTTAGTTTCCCTTAAACTCGTTGATATGAAAAAAAAAATGACAGGGGTGTGAGTCTCCAGTTTTCTCTCATGTAGTATTTCCAGAAAGGGGTCAATAACAGGAGAGCTGGTGCTCCTTCCCCATTATTCTGGATGTAAGTTGTGGCCCTCTGGATGGCAGGTGGAGCATGGCCAGCCCCCAGTAAGCTGCCAGCAGGGATGCTACTGGAGCTCTAGGTTTGGGGTCAGAGCTGTCCATGCACCTGCTTTTGGACGGGGACTGTGTATACGCAGAGGCTGCTGAGTTCCACATAGTTACCTGGGTCACTGCAGGAACTGTCCTGGGCAGCACTCCCTGGCTCTCAGAAGTACCACGTGGCAGGGTACTCAGCTCTGATCCACAAGTACTTGTGGGTTTGCACTGGGAACGCTGGCTCAGTCAGTTACTGAACCATCTGATGTGTGGCACCAATCAGAACCTGGTACCCACTTGCTCACACTTGGTGCGTGTTGATAAAGACTTATCCAGGCTTGAGCACCCAGAGCCACTGCAGATACTCGGGCTCCAGTGCTAGCTTGTCATCACTGGTAGTAACAGTGAACCAGCTCAGCCAGGGGCTCCATCCAGGGTGTCCATCCGCTTCTGAGCAGGCTCTCTCAGCACTCCTGGCTGGGCTCCAGAGAAGGGGCCCATAGGCTGTCCTGTATATGTGTGCCGGATTAGAGGGACCCTGGTGGAGCAAGGGACCCTTTCCACAGTCCAGGGGGAACTTTCCACAGTCCAGGGGGAACTTTCCTTCCTGCTCAGGCAGCCTCATCAGCCTAACTTAGGAACAAAACCAAGTGCCTCTGGAGTTAGTTCCTGTTCTCCGACTTGCTGTCAGATTAGGAAAGCTCTTGAAGGGACTGGGAGGGTTGACTTTCCTGATCACATTGCCGTCCTTGTTTTTTTCCTGACTTGATAGAAAAAAGTAACCTGAAAATTGTTAATGCATTTCATTTTCTCCTTTTGCTGTTAAGTCTTCCATATTTTTAAAAGAAAGGAAATGGCAGCTTCAGAAGTACTGAGAGCTTTTTCTTGCTGTCTTAGTAACCTATAATTGGCTGATTCTGAAAAAGACTTTAAGCTCCATCAAAACATCTTCTGTGCCTCTCTCTGCAAGCATATGTTTTGACTTTTAGCATGGAATACACTGGAACTATCAGTTACTTTTTTTATTATCATTATTTCTTATTTGATTTTCTTTGAAGCCATGAAGAGGGAAACCAAGGCAGACCCTCTGTCCCCTTTGTAGTGCTTGTCTTGTAAGAACATTCAACCAAAAAGTGTGAAAGGCGGCAGTCACATACAGCACCTGTTATCCCAGCGAGGTAACCTATTTTTGTTGCTGGCTGGGACAGTGCTGCAGTTAGTGGTGAAAAAAAAAAAATCCCTGCGAATCTTCCACTCCTGGAAAGTGCCTTTGCACGCAGAAACCAAGTGAGCCCTCCTGGCGGCCTCCGTCTGCTTGTCACTTTGCAATGCAAAGCTGCTGTCGGATCAATGCAAAGCTGCAGAATCTCTCCAGTGGAAGCAGTGGCAGGTGCAACCCCAGTCAGTGCCAGGGCCTGACACAGTTGGGCACAAGGGGCCAGGAAAAGGGAGATTGGCAGGCAGTTACCTGTGGGTCCCACCTGCCTCAGGCCTGGCTCGCCCTGCAGTGTGTGACAGGACCAAAGGGAAAGAACAGTCCTTTGAATCAGAGAAGATGAGATTAAAAGACAAGGTTATTTGGGTGCAAAGTTGAAATCCATGTTCCTTAAGTGTTCAGAAGTTCATGGGAAATGAAATGTGTATTATGCAGATGCACATGGGCTTCCACTGTGGCAGCAAAATAAACAGTTCTATTTTCTCAGAAACTTTCTGCATTACCCACATACTTTGGAAATCATTCTAAGTAGGTTTTTGAAGATTTATTTATTTTCATTGGAAAGACATTTGCAGAGAAAAGGAGAGAGAAAGATCTATGAATTGGTTTACTCCCCAATGCTGCAGTGGCCAAAGCTGGACTGATCCGAAGCCAGGAGCCAGGAGCTTTTCGGATCTTCAGTGTTTGTGCAGGGTCCCAAGGCTTCGGGCTGTCCTCTGCTGCTTTCCCAGCCCACAAACGGAGCTGGTTGGAAAGCGGAGCAGCTGGGACATGACACGGCGCCCACATGGGATTTCGGTGCTTGCAAAGTGAGGCTTAAACCATTGAGCCATCACGCCTAGACTCCAAGTAGAATTTTGAGACCTGTGTCTTAAGCAATTTGAAAGTGCCTTGGGCTGACTTTTCTGTGAGGTGAAATGTAAGAAATGTTCTCTATGCTTTGCAAAGAAATATTTTTTTTTTAGTTTAAGTGAACTTCCATCTTACGTGTGTTTGAAATCTTAAAAGGTTGATGCCCCAACAGATCAAGTACAGAGAGCACTTGAATCTTCATTGGTGATGCTGGGTATTATATGTTACAAATTCAGGTCTGGCTGGCAGCATGTGGTGGCTGGTAACCATCAAGTGAAGGAGGTGCCCGCCCTTGGTGCTGAGGGGTTAGGTGGGGAGGAAGATTCTAGAGTTTGATAACCAGGTACTGCCCTTTTTAACCTGGAAAAGTCAGATTCCTTTCTGAATGCTATTTGAAATTCTGAACCCATGTATATGCAGTATTTGTTATTTTAATTTGTAGATCTCCCAGAAGCAGTTTTCACTGAATTTTAATGTACCACTTTGTGTTGTCTTTAATAAACTCTAAAAAAAAAAGTCCACCTGGATCCCTGTGGAAGTGAAAGATAACTGCGACAGCCGTATGTGGTTAGATTTACAGGTCTGATTAAATCGATTGTATTGCACAGCTTTTGCTCCAAAAGAAAAGTCCTGCCAAGATCTCTATGGCAGTTTGATAATCATTACCCAGCATTCTTAGATCTGTGTTTCTAAGCCTTTCCCCATTTGGTTTGTGCTTTTATTTCAATGCCCCCCCCCCCGGGTATATAAGGAATCAAGCCATAATGTGCACTGCTAGACATTATATGCCATATGACTACAGATTTCAGACAATTACATTTTTAACAATTTCACTGTTACATTGACCGATAATGTGAAAAGTTGGCTTCCTCTAATGCTGCTAAGTAAACCCAAAGAAAAGTGCTTGTAACAGGTGTTTCTTCATGTAGTCCAAACATTGGGGTGATTAAATTGTAAGCAGAGACCATGTCTTCATTCTGGAATATAGGTACTCAATAAACATGGGTGGAGATGAACACTACGTCAGTGTTTTTATTCACACCTGCTAGCTGTCCCTAGCCTTGAGGTCCTGGGTTTGTGCTCGGCCCCCGCTAGCGGGATCTGGGAGCACTCCCAGAAATCTCAATTCAGGAGAGCTCTTGGGCCTTAGCAGTTGGGGCCCTTTCCCTTGCCTTGGTGTGCGGCCATCCCACAGCAGGCACTGTGAGGCCAGTCAGGGTGGCAGTGGCCTTCCCAGCCGGCTCTGGCCCTCCGCTTCGGCCAGTGACCCAAGGGCAGGGCTGACCCAGCTGGCACTCTGACGTGGCCACCGAGGGCCATGTTAGCAATGCCTGTTTGCTTTCCTACTTTAGTTTTGGGCAAACCAGGCTCTGCTCAGCCCAAACAACCACATTGTTTTCTTTCAAACTGCACCAAGGCCTAGCTTGGCCTTTTTAATTTACAGATGGAGAGTCCAGCAGCACAGGGACGGGAAGATGACGCTTCTTTTCTGATCCTCTTCCAGTTCCTCTTGGCGAGGGACAGCTTGCAGCGCACACTCCAGCTCCTGACATCCGCGCCGCTGTAGGCCGGCGGCTTATCCGCATCTGACAAATTCCCGCAGCCTGGCCTGCCCTTTGCCAGCCCCGCTGGCCCTTCTGCCCCATCACTTCACGCCCGGAACACTGCCATTTTACAAAGATGTTTAAGCCGGGCGCGATCACCGGAGTGAGCCGGGAGTGAGCGGCCGCCCGGCTGAGGGTGAGGAGGGTGCGAGACCGGACCCCACGAGCGAGCGCACTGCCACGCGAGGGCAAAGGCGAGGAACAGGTCGGGGTGCCCAAGCCGCAGAGCTTCTTCCGGCGGAGGCGCGGGGCCCGGGCCGAACTCGGCAGCGAAGCGCCCCCACAGCCGCCGCCGCTCCCGCGCGCGGCCTGAGGAGGCGCCGCTCGCCCGCGGCCGCCGAGTGAGGGAATGCGAGCCGGGCCCGGCGCGCGCGGGCAGCAGCAGCGGCCGCTGGGGCGCGCGGGGCACGGCGGCGCCGCGGCGTAGAGCTGTCCAGCCGGCCCGCTCGCGCCCCGCCGGCCCGCCGCTTCCTCAGAACTGCGGCCGCCGCCCCGGGAGCAGCCGGGGGCGCCAGAGCCGCGGCGCCGGCACGTGTGTCGCCCGCCGACGGCCCGGAGCATGCCCGCTGGTGCCCAGCCGCTCGCGCGGGGCCAGCCGGCGGCTGAGGCGCGCGGGGCCGCGGGGCGCAGCCGGCCCGGCCGGGGCCGCAGGGCCAGCGCACCCCGGGAGGCGGCGTGAGGCAGTGGCGGCGGCCCAGCCCGCGGCGGAAGAGGACGGAGCCCGCGGCCCTACCGAGCGGGGGTGAGTGTCCCGGCGGCCCTTCTTGGGCCCACGGGTCGGCGGGCGGCCGGGGGACGCAGCCAACCCCGCAGTGCCCGCCGCGGGCCGGGAGCCGGGCCCGTGAGGCCCTGTCCGCCGGCTCGCCTGCCCGCTGCCTGGGCTGGAGATCGGAGGCCAGGCGCCGAGGCGGACCGGAGGATGTGGCCTGCGGGCGACCCCCACCCAAGGCGGGGTCGCCCGGATTCCTGCCCCGAATGCAGATTTTCCAAATTCCAGAGGTGGCTGCGGGGGGAGTGGACTTCCCCCTCCCCTTGTCGAGTGCCACGTGTGGAGGCAGGTGTGAGTGCAGGACTCACCTACCCCGGGGACCACCGCTTGGCCGATGGGGCGGGTTAGGGCCTGGGTCCGGGCTTCTGCGCGGGTGGCTGTCAGGTTCTGGGATGGGGTGGGATCATCTTCATGGGGGGTCTCCTTTCCTGTTGCAGCTGGAGGTGCCAGCTCCCCCTGCCCTCTGCTTCCATGCCCCCTAACTCCTTCCGCACCTCAGCAGGGGCAGGGCCGGAGGGTGATGCGCGGTCATTCCCTCCAAGAAGTCCTGACGGGGTCAATGAGCACTGTGCCCCCAGCCTTGTCCTTCCCAGGCTACTGAGCGCCCCCACTTAAGGCTCCCCATCCTTCCGTCCATCCCTCCCTCTGTCCTCTCCCTTGGCTCTGTTCTCTGGGGGAGTGAGAGCTCTCCCTTCCTCACTTCTCCCTTCCCCTCCCCTCCACTCCCACTGCCTCTTATCTGTGTGGCTCTTATCATCAGTCTGCTTTATTTTATGGTTACTTTTGTGCCTGGCTTATCTCATTTGTGGGATTGTGAGCTCGGGATAGTTTGATTCCGCTCTAGTTCCTTGCTCTGTAGGTCTGGAGAGTAGGAGCCCATTGGTTCGGTGGTTGGATGCTTGCCTGGCCTGCCCGGAGGACCCTCCCTGTCTGTGGGAGGCCACGCTCCATGGCAGGAATGGAGTCCCAGCCGTCTCGCGCTGCGGAGACCCTGGCAGGGCCCTTTTCCCGCAAGCAGCGGTGATTGTGCCCGACGGACAGGACAGCACCATCCCATGCCCTGGAGGCGGGCACAAGTGGACCGTGGAAAGGGCCTCTCCTCTGGTCTTCCCACCTGCCGAGGCCTGGGAAGCCGGAGGGCACAGGGTGGAACTGTGGGAAGCCAGGGAGCTGGGTGCCAGGCCGAGCTTTCTCCACAGGCTGCTGCCGAAACCTGACCGCATCCCTTGGTTTCCCCACTCTTGATTGCTCCTGAGAGAATCTTCCTTGGCACATCCGTTAGTCCTTGGGGATCTGGGCTCTGTCCACCTTGTCTGCTTCCTCTCCACCATTCCCTTCCTCTGGCACTCAGCTCTGGCCCCCCAGGCTGCCTGGGGGTTCTTCCCTCTGGTGGTCTCCCCCATTGTTGTCATGGGTCATGCTTAGAGAGAGGTTCTTGACGCCACCATCTTTTTTGCGGAAGCTCAGCCTGCTTGCTGGCGTGGAACAACAGTTATCCTGGCTGGTTATCTGTGGTGCTGAATTGGACTAAACTTCAAAATGTCCAAGAAGAATTTAAAGGAAATAGGCATTTCCCGCAAACTTCCTAAAGCCCTTCACTGTTCTGTGTTTTTCTCTTGTGGTCACAGTAGGCACCCAGGAAAATCCTTACTGGGTAGATGGTGCCAGGGTTGGTTCAGATGTCCCCTGGATGTTCTGCGTGGTGGGGGCCTCGCGTGGCCCACCTCCCTGCCCGGAGGCCATGCAGTGCATCCGGTCCTGCCTCTCCAACCTGGGCTTTGAGCCGAGCCGCTGTGAAGGATGTGTGGCTATTTGGGGGGTTGAGAAGAGGAAACATCTGGTGCCTCGAGATCCCTGCTTGCCACGCTGTTTTTGGAAAAGATGCCCCGGGCAGGGTTGGGGGAAAAACAGTGACATCGCAGCGGCATCAGTTACCACAGGCAGGGAGCTGCTGCTTGAGGCCAGCAGACGGTCCTCCCAAAGTGACCGTTCACACCCACCCGCCAGGCTCAGCTTGGCACAGATGGGATCAACCCCCCCCCACCAGCAGCCCTGGAACCCGCTGACAGGGGCCCCTGCCTCCGGACACAGCTGTTGCTAAATGGTCCTTACGGGTTCCCCAGAGGCCACTGGATCACTGTTTACTAAGCTTTTTCAAGTAGTGCCACAGCAAATCCTCATCTGGTCAGCTCTAAATCCATAATCTGAGGCACTGCCCCTCTGCTGAAGCCTTCTTAGGGCATCTTAGATGAAAAACTTCTTTCAGAAGCAAGGACCAGGCGGCCTTTTGGCCTTCCTCCAGAAGCTAGGTTGCTTTCCCATTTGCCAGTGATAAGGGAGGCGAGAAGAAAAGGAGGTGTCGTTGGCCGGTCCACATCACGCTTCGTGGGGACAGCGGTGTGCCCACCTGCCGTTAGACTTTTGAAGAGGAAGATGTTGAGATGCAGTGAGGTCAGCTGCTTCACAGTCTGTCTGCATTGTCCCCAGTTCTGCTGGACACTTTCTGCACCCCGCCCTGGCTTTCCTGTGATTTGTGGGTCCGCTTTCCTCCACGCACACTGTGAGATGCTCTCCATCTCGTTGGCTGTGGTCCGCGGTGGTCCTCCACCTTCCTGTAGGGTGGCCCTTACAACGCATATTTCTGTGTACGTCTGTCCATCTGGACTCTGCAGCAGTCATTACCAGAGGTTTCTGGAAAACAGCGGACAGACTGGGGAACTGAGTGTGCTTACTGGCCCTGTACGCAGCACTGATACCAACCCACTGTGTGCTTAGCCAGATGAGTTCACACGTGACACAAGGTGTGTGTGTGTCCTAAGTGTTGCTTCAAGACAGAGTTCAAGGAGGGAGACGCCCTTTCTGGGTAAGGCAGTCAGGGCTGACTTCCTGGAAGAAGCGGAATGTGAAGGAGGTCTTGAAGAGCAGGCAGCGCTTTGATCAGCCCACCACAGCGTCTGTAAAGGTGTGGAGGACCAGGAGTCCAGCATCTGTGGTTGTCACGAAGGTCCACCAGGATAGGGCTTCTGATGGGAAAGAACTGGCCCAGAGGCTGAAGCAGGGAGCTGTGGTGCAGTGTCTGAGTCCTCAGGGAGGCCCACACCCAGCTGAGGATCATGGAAAAGAAGTGACTTGGCCAGGGCCTATAAGCCAGCCTGGAGCCTGATTATACGTACCAGTCCAGTCTGGTGCTCTTTCTGACGGTTCTAGTCCCAGCTGTCAGTCCCAGTGGTGCCAGCGGCCCTGGGCATTGGACCTTTATTTATTTAATAAAATGGGAATGGCAGTGCCGCCTTCCTCATGCACAGCCCAGCAAGCTCCAGGACAACCCTCCGTAGAATCTTTATGGCCAAAGACATAAAGAGCTCTGTTAGGAGGGGCTGGCTGGCATTCGCTGAAATTACTCATAGTAACAGCTGCCCTTGCCAGAGGACAAAGAGGAAATGAACCAAGAGGCAGGGATCTGGGAACCAACAAATCAAAAACCCGAACAGCGACCTTGGACAAAGAGCATCGAGAAGTCAGTTTCACCCCTCTTCTTGCTGAAGTCCCCGTCCTTCGTAAAGCTTTCCTGTGAGTATCCTCCCTCGGCAGTCAGGGGTCAGGGACAGCCGAAGGAGTCCCGGTGGGGTGGCAGTGTGGGGATCGCTGGGTCTGGCTCCAGTGTGGGCACAGTAGCTTGTAGCTTAGCTGTCTTGTTGGGTATGGCATTGCCAGCCTTCAGCTCCAGGCCAGCTGAGCCCAGCTGTATTTCTGACTCATGAATGTTGGACTCAGGGCCACAACAGCGTCACTCGTGCCTGCAGGGCGCCAACCTCACCTACGTGTTTTCTTCTCCCACGAGAACCTTCTTAGCTTAGGAACATGAGGCAGCATGGCAGTCCTGGGCCTGGGGTCCATTTTAAACAGTACAGTTGCCAACAGAAAACATACATTTGTAGAAAGCCAGCACGGAGTGGACCCCAGAAGGAGTGTCGTTTACAGACTGCCCTGTTGGACCTCAGCTGCTTGCTGCACGTGGGGCCCTGTGAGCTTTTCGCCACTCTTCACAAGTTAGGACATGACTTGCAAAACATTAGGCGCTTTGGTTTGGGGGATACAAATAAATTTTAGCAATTAGGTCAGTTCATAGATAGGGCCTCCACGAGTAATGAGGTGCCCCGTTGGTATATCCAGTCTGAAGCAGGGCACTTGGCTGGCACTCAGCCAGTCCATGGGGACACTGGAGCCCGGGACAGGCCATTGGGCAGATTCTTGCATTTGCTCATCTTGGATGCTAGAGAAACCTCGCTTGGCCCTTCTATAGCTTCTTTCAGAAGGGCCTGCCTCCCGTTGAAGGGCAGTACCCACTCCCTCCTCCACAACGGAGGAGAGACCCCCAGCTCTGACACACAGAGGGTGACAGCAACGGCATGGGTCTTCCTACAGCAGAGCTGGGCACAGTCCTTCCTGGAAGGAGCCATCTTCCCAAGGAGCTGCTTCCAGAGGGATGGGGCTTCCTGGGACCCCCACATCTCAAAGTCCCTCTTTTGTCCCAGACTATCTGATCAGAACCTTTCTCAAACACCGGCTCTGCCCTGCCTGGCTGTAGGTCCTGCCCCTCCTGGTGACCTGTCTCCTGGGCTGCCTTGCTTGCCTCTTGTAGAGTGGTTCTCAAGTGGGGGGACTGTTTTTTTTTTTTTTCTCCCACCCCTCTGTCTCATAGGCTCCGGGGAGGGAGGGAGGAGATGGAATGGGGATGAACTGTGCCAGGAGAAGCAGGTGGCCCTTCCTGAGGTTGGAGGCCAAGCCGGGCCTCCACCTGCAGCACTGGACACGTGGAAGACATTTCCTTTCTCGCACGGAAGGGCCCATTCATTGCTTTCCTTGGCACTCCATAAGAGTTGTTTTTTCCCTTGCCTGGGTTTTGTGTGTGTGTGTGTGTGTGTGTGTGTGTGTGTGTGTGTGTGTGTGTGCATGCATGAGTGTGTCTGTTT